TGTGTGCTTGTTTGTTTGAAGTTTAATTACGCATTAATTCGATATGAAGATAGCTCACATTCCAGATTATCTCAAAGGTCCTTTCGGGCTCAGATCCTTTCGGGCTCCACCCAAGTGGCCCTGGGAATTCCCATGTTAACCTTATCAGTATTCATATTTGAAATCAATTAAAGAATTTTACCTGCTGTTTCAATTACACAAGTTGGTTCTATGATATTCAACAGCATTAAGGATTTATAGGGTTTACCAATAGAGTGCAGCACTATTATATTTTTTTCATTAACGACAACAGCTAATTTGAACCAAGCCGCAACAAAAACCTTTGATACACAATTGGAAGTGACAAAATAGGATTGTTTACAGTTATGCTTATGTTTTTTATTTATAAATAATTTGTCGTATTGTGCGAATCTTTGGTGATTTACTTTTTTCTGCTGTTTAGATGCAGCGGTAGAACATTATTATGGATATGGTAGATGTTTATACTATAGCATACTGTAATCTAGTTTTCTCGGAGTAGGCAGTGTAAATTTACATTTTGTCGGTACATACAGAATGACAGAAAGACAGACAGACAGAAATTGAGATGATACTAGTTTCGGCTTTCTTAGGCTATGAAACGTAAAAATAACCAAACAAACTGCATGATTCTACGCAATGGACAGCTTTTAATGTGCCGTTATAGCCTTACTTGGAAGAGGGGGATTTTTGGACCACGAATGAGTTCGTATTTGTTTAGTTTTAAATAAATTCGACCTGAATATAAAATAGCAAATGCAAGTCCGCAGTTTGCGTTTTTAATCAGTAACGTCATTAAAATTTACCAAAATAAAGTAAAGTGTCTAAATCTAGTGCATCAAACCTAAATTATTGACTACTGGTTTTGATTAACGTAAATTAGTAATACTTAACGTTATTTAAGGCTATTCTATGTTTGATAACTGACCTCCTGAATTTTATTTAAGTTCCTAAGTACAATATCATTGTCAAACAATGCAATAATGTTATTTCATAAAATATTTACCTGAGAAATTTAAAAATGGAAAATGCATTTCTCGTGTAAGACAATCTTAAAATGATACGATTCGTAATGATACGATCTTAAAACGAGCCATTCAGTGTTCGTATTCAAAACACCAAACACCTGCCACTGGATCAAAATATGTCCGCTACAAAGCATTAAAACAGCATAGTACAGTGTATGAAAGAGGTGTGATTTATTTCTTGGTACTAAATTAAGTCATTCTTCAAGTATAAGTAAAACTTCAGCATGGGCATACTCTCTAACGTACTATCATATGGTGGATTAGCTGAAGGCAGATAAGTCCGATTCAAGCTTATATTGCTTACTATAGGCTAAAGATTGTTGTAATACAATTATATTTAACTAGTGGTCGTCCAGTGGTCGAAAACTCGACCAAAAATATGTTATGTACAGGTTTCAAATGATTTAGGCCCAAAAATCTTTAGCTATGTGAGTAACTACGGACTTCTGGAAAATTTAAATATGATATTTAGATATGTGCTTACTCAGGAACAATGCCGTTCCGGGACACTCTGTAAAAATGGACGTTAACGTGATTATAAATTTGCATTTTACATAGTCAAAATACAATAGGTATTGCGCAACCATGATATGTTATGTCATTAACCTTGGTTCAGTAATAAAAACTACACCGTGTGTTTACTCAAACAAAACAAAACTTGCTTACTGTACAGCAATAAACACGTAAAGAACAAAACAAAAGGAAATCTAGACTAGTAGACTACTGATACCGTAGTCATCATAGGCTACTACTACATGATGTTTCAGAACAGAAGTATGGTGATTAAAATATTAAATACCGTAACTCATAAAACACTATAAAATCATAGTACTGTACTTAAGTCTTTCTGGTAATAACAACAGTGATAAAAATAAGATAAAGATAACAATGATGTAAAACCCCTCTTATTATTTCTCTTTGTTCTATTCTTTCTTTGGTTTCTCTCCATCCACAAGTGGTCATGGTTACTAATTACCCAACGACCCAACCACAAAATGTTGTAGTGTTGTGACAGCAGACAGGAGCAGACGATTGTCAGTATGTCAGTGTCAGTGCAAGATTGTCAGTCTGTAGATGCGAGCGTATAGCTTGACCTTGAAGCTACTGATCGATATTTCTCCGTTTTGCTTCCATCTTATTTTTGTCAAATGAACTGTAATGTTTCAATAATGGGGAACCTACTGCAGATAAAAATTGCCGTAAATAGATATATAGTTCATATCGAAATATTAGACTGAAAAACACAATTCATAAAACATTTTCTTGGGATTTCTGAGGTAATATAATATATAGGCATCATGTTGATCCGATCCCAGTTGAGCGAGGTTCTAATGTATTTGCAAGTTTAAGCCACAACTCCATCACATTATGGTTGGTATTCAATGACCGATGTATTATCAAAAATTAATTCTTAACTTATTTTGATATTAAACAGAAGCATTCATTACAGCTTGCAGCACTTATTGGTATATATAAATATCCAAGTTACTATTACTAAAAAAAATAAAACACGAAATTGTGAGGCCGTTCAATTTTTATAAACACAGTGTTAAACATTTTACTCTGCAGAATACCGGATGGTAAAGAGTGTTTGGTTTCAAGAAAACAAAATAAAAACATTGTTTAGCGAGCTTTACTTTTTATTAAAAAAAAAAAAAAAAACAATAGAAAGGAAACCATAAGGATAGGTATAGGATTGAACTGAAATAATTGCAGGGAAACTTAAATAGTAAAGTCCACAAACTGTACATCGTTAGAGATAGAGAGGGGGGGAGTGAGAGAGAGGGAGGGAGAGAAAGAGAGAGAGAGATTTGATAAGGAATCTGAAAAGTAAACAAATAATCGTTTCTGGCGTTTGTCATGGTGTACCCCCCCCCCCCCCCCCCGTATTTGCACTCGTGACCACTTTTTGTTGCTTCCTTATCTTTCATCCGTCCCAAAATAGAATTCCTGTAATGGTTTGTTTGTAAAATTGAAATTATTATAAACATATTTTATCTATCGAGTGTAGTTTCGTGGTTATTCTTATCAGATCGAATAATATCGTTGCCACATGTAATAGTTCCTCCTTCGCGTTGCGCAATAGCGTAAAAAAACAGTTTCCGTATCTCGGAGAAGATTCACGTATGTTTCCCGAGATAAAGAAAATCCGTATAATTCCCGATCTTCCCGGTCCGTGGACACACTGATTGTACGTCAATAAAGGAGATATTGACTAAAATTTCTACTGAAGGTGAAAAAAAAAACTTAAAATATGGGATGATGACCGGGTAGGTTTTTAAGATTCAACCATTTATAATTAATTAATATTCGTAGTTCCTTATTAGAGGTGCATCATCTTTATTTGGAATATGAAAATGTTTAAACATTAACACGTAGTTAATCACTATCCCAACATCAATAGTAACAAGGAGTAAACGAAGGTTACCGACCGCTGGGTGTTACCATTACAAAGTAGGCGAGGAGGGTGCCGTACTGGCTACACTACTCCACGATAGAACACACGATGAGACAGTCTCCCTCCGCATTGGTATTGCAGTTACGCTTACCGACACAGGCAGCAGCACCGGTTAAGCTGTTTTCAAACGTATAAAGTGCACGGGAAGCCATACCTGACTGGCTTTTGGGAGAGCTGACTGGCTTTCGGGCGGGTGACTGCCACACCGAGTAAATTACCAGCGCGGTGACTGCCAAACCGGGTGGGCACAAAAGTATATATATATATAAGTCTATATATATATACATATATAAAAATTTTAACGAATGGTGTTTTTGGCCTCTGGGGACATCAAAATGAAAAAGTAAATCGGTCCCGGGTCTAGGTCTTACCGTGCCACCTACGGTAATAGCTACTTCCCTATAGGGAAATTCGCTAAAACTAGATAATTTATAAATAAAAATACTTTTTTAAAATGCCACTTTTTAAACGCACTAAAAAGTATAAAATAATTTATAAAATGTTGAGAGAATAAATACTTGTAAGATTTAAAACGAAAAACGTGGGGCGCATGCAATAGAAGTTAATAGCATAGGTGAAGCATAGGTGAAGTTAATTGTAAATCAACATGCGCCCCACGTTTTTCGTTTTAAATCTTACAAGTATTTATTCTCTCAACATTTTATAAATTATTTTATACTTTTTAGTTCGTTTAAAAACGTGGCATTTTTAAAAAGTATTTTTATTTATAAATTATTCAACTATAAAGTCATAAACAAAATCAAACAATACTACTAAGATTTATCTCTCTAGCTCTGAATACAAAATTATAATTTGCTGTTCTATCTGGACAGTTGTTTTACAACATTAAACTCGGAAAATGATCACAAAGTTGCCAAAACGTTGAGGAATGACAAAATTTGAAAATAAATTTCCATTTTTACGACTTTAATAGGAGGTTGATTACCCAAAACAAATGGAGATTGGGGCTGTTCAGATAGGTAATTGATTTTTTTGGATAGTCGGTCATTGACAGCAAAAATGAGATATAGCCTACATTGTTTAATCAGTTATTGAAAACTATAAAGTACATTTTTACACGTATTTTTTTCTGATTTTGATCGGCTTCTGCTATTGCGGCAACATCCGTGAGCATATCTTGCGGTCAGTGGTTATAACCAACTCAAACATGTTACTTATTTTGAGAATGCAGTTTAGGTAAAATCCACGATTATTAGAAAAATACCGGTATGGATCATAAACATAAACAAATGACGTTGTTGGCCCGAATCCTATACTGATAGCATTGAACATATGTTTTGGCAGTTCCATTTAAGCAATGTTATATAATGTTTATTTTCGGGCCAAAAACGTCATTTGTTTATGTTTATGATCCATACCGGTATTTTTCTAGTAATCGTGGTAAAATCTCTACCCAAAGAAACAAGAATTGAAGTTAACAGTGAAATCTCACAGCTGACTTTCCAATTAAAGCACCATTATTGTCTACACATTACCTCAGTAGTAAGTATTATCTGAGCAGATCTGAATTGAAGATTGGGTGACATCTCTGATGAATCTTTCAGCTGGGAATCGTCTTCTTCCGGCATCAGAAGAGCCTCATTGTCTTCAAAACTGTTAAGACCCTAAAAACAATCAAAGGTCTGAGTAGTAATCATAACATAGTAATGGTGGCTTAAACTTTGCCTTGTTACACATTTGCTTGTGAAATTTTGAGTAGGAAGTGTTTTGCTATTTTGTGTAAAAGTATGTTAGAATATTTTAGGTAAAATGTACTTTTCCTATATTAAGATTGTTCAATTAAAGGCTCTAGGTCAGAATTTTTTATTAGAAAAGGGAATATAGCAGCTAGCTTACCTTGGAAGAAATGCAGGCAGGCCACACAGAAAACACAAAATGGAACCAAGCTAATTTGAATGCATATTTCATGATATCTCCGAGCCAGAAATGGGAAAGGTTCATTGTGAAAAGATGGAGAGAGAGTATAAAAGTATAAAAAAAACTGCTGGTTTAAAATTGCTACAATTACCTAATAAAAAACTGTAAATTATCATTAAAAACAAAATCAGCTATGTTAGAATAGGTCTACTTATTGTTAGTTTTACCTGGCATTTTATAACTGAGAACATCAAAAGATTCTAAGGGAAAGCTATCCAAACCCCTCAAATCTTTATGGAAGTGCCACGTACTGAACCCATCCCTCCCTTGCACCAAAGTCTGAGACACTAACTACTAGCTCTTTGACTATTAATACAACAACTTCTGTATCCAATAGTCAATGCTACTAGCTAGCAAGACACTCTATTGTCATGACCCCTGTCAATACATTATTGAATTGACATAACAAGTGAAGTAAGTAACATAGATTTAAGGCTTTAAATCTAATGAAATTACTAACCTGCTCAGAAGAGAGGCTGAGCCCTGGTTGGCCGATGCTGAAAGACAAGATGTCCGACTCGCTCAGGATGATTGGTTGCAGCTGAAGACGATCATCATCGTCAGGCTGCAAAAGTGTGACTGGCTGCAAGTCCTCACCTGGCGCAGCACTTTCCGTCAGAAGTTTCTGAGAGCTTTGGTAATCATCTGTTACAAAACCTGAGTGTTATTTGTTAATTGCAGGCTTTTGAAACATGATCAATGGCGAGCATAAGCTTGTAAAAATGAGTTTTACAAAATTATTAGTTTTATAAGCTCTACATGATGGTTGCAATGAAAATTGGGCATTTTGATGTTTTAAGGTTAAGTTCCCTTGACCCGATCTTGCTCGCCCGCGAACTCAATGAAGTGTACAGCCAGCCCTCCACGCTCATGAAAAATGTCATCAAAATCGAACAAAAAATAATCAAGATAGCGTTTTTAGGACTATATCCAGGACAAATTTACTTTTTATTTTCGTGTCCTGAAATGTCACAATAAACTATTTGTCCAAATTTGTATGAAGGTATAAATATTTACACAAAAATTGGTGGATTGGTGCCGGGTCGCACAATTTATATTTCAGCTGTGGTTTTTAGATACGGACGAAATGAGAGCATTCTATTGGTTGTCATGGCGTGACGTCACCTCCTACTTCCTCTCGTGACATCCTCTCTTCTCTTGAGGGAACACCATTACTGTAACGATACAAAGTGTATCAAACGGTGTTTGTGCTGTAGTGGTTTGAGTACTCGGCTGATGTAAAAGATGTAACCAGATCAAATCCCACTGGTGGCATTAACTTTTCGTCAAAGCTTTTGCTTAGAATGTGATTACTTCATAACTGTACAACTTTTGTTAGAATTTGACACATTTAACATTTTATTTTATGAACAGTACTACTTTTTCGATTAGCCTAGTAAACCTTCATTAATTTTTTTTCATTATCAGCAAGTTTGGTTAATTGGGTTAGGTTACGACAGTTTAGTTTTATAATTGATATGGTAAAAAAAAATATTTAAACCCAACTGAGTCAACAAACAACAAAGAGTGACGTATCAACCCTCAAGAGAAGAGAGTGACGTCACGCCATGACAGTCAATAGAATGCTCTCATTTCGTCCGTATCAAAAAACCGCAGCTGAAATAAAAATTGTGCTGACGGGTCTAGGTCTTACCACGCTATCTACAGTAATAGCTCCTTCTTCAGAATAATTCCCTGAAAATAACCAAACCCCATAATTTTTATTTCTTCATAACAAACTAAATTGAGATCATACAAAAATTTCTTTAATTGGATTAAAAACTACAATTAATTGAAATAATTGTTTGAAAGATTGAGACCATCCTAAATTTACACTAAAATAAATACTTAATCACTGGGCTTTTAATGCTGACTAATGAAACAGCTGATCTCAGTCAGTAACAAAGCTACACATGTAATCTCACCTTATTCTATACTCACCTTGTATTCATATTCAGCTGAAATACGCAACCAAGTATGATGTCTCAAAGAACTATTGATTGATGGAAACAACAATATTTTCATCTTAATAGATAACAAATATTTTAGTTTCCATCAAATTATATATTTTACTATACAATTTTGAAACCAGAAATACTTTATTTAATCAAACCTACTACTACTATAACTTACTCAGCTGGTGAGTTTTTTTGTGCGTCATGAAAGTCCCAAGTGAGTAAAATTGCTTCTTGCACTTCCCACACTGGAACAAGTCTTCTTCATCATTGGTATTGGCTGAAAGTAAATATTCAATTACAGTAGTCCTTTGTACAGGGTTGGCGTATAAGTGTAAAATACTTATTGTAGTTAAACTCCGGACAGTTATAATGGGAGAGGACACGTTTTTAGAAAATTAGCTGTTGTCATAAATGCAAACAGAATTAATAGAGCTGCACCCTGTTGGTAACCTTTTGATGCTATTGAATATCATAGAACCAACTTGTGTAGTTGAAACAGCTGACAAAATTCTTTCATTCCCTTTTAAAAATATGAATAGTCATAAGGTTGACATGGGATACTCTAGAGCCACTGGGGTGGATCCCAAAAGGATTTTTGTGATAAGAATATGTCTATAATGTTAATCGGGAATGTGAGCTATCATCATACCAAATTTCAACCCAAACGTATCAGTCGTTATTGCGTAATTGAACTTAAAACAAACACACAAACTTTCACATTTATATTAGTATGAGTATGATAAAAGACTAATAAAAGTGTAGCCTACTTAATTCAACATAGCAAATTAGAACATCCGCTTGGCAGAAAGTTTAATATCTATAAAATACTTCATAATCAAAGTTAGCATGCTGCATAACAGTCTGTCGACTCCTTGTAGAAATCACTATTACGCTTCACAAGTAAGTGAAGGAACGAATGGAGACAGGTGACTGTATTTTGCAAAAATAATAGTTGTACAAAATACCAATAGGCCTACTGGTTATTTTTATACATTACGGCTTCAAAACTGGAAAAAGGTACCCAAATGTTTGAATGAAAGACAAGCTTAAAAGTCTTAAAAAGCTTCACATGACAAATGAGGGTACTTTCCTGTTAAAGGGAACATTCATTATTATCGATGATTTTTTTCTCGATATATCGATATTAACCAATTGAAACATATCAGCTGACAACTACGATAAATATTGTTCAGCACCTTAACAACAAACAATAATAAAATGAAACTGCTCTAAAAAAAAATAACCTAACATAACTAACCAAACTTGCTGTGTGACATTTAAAAATTCCGTGTTTAACTTGCCTTTTCTGTTATCAAAAGGAATTTTTAAATAGTACAACAAGTTTGGTTGGTTATTTTAGGTTAGCTTAGAACAGTTTCATTATTTCTCAATCCACCTAAACAAGATCAGTTGTCAATTGTAATGGATCGGAAAACAAAATATCGATATATCGAAAAAATTCATCGATAATAATGAATGTTCCCTTTAACAGGAAAGTACCCAAATGAGTAACTATAAAGTTTAATTATTTTATTAATATACGTATTACAATAGTTTTTATTATTGGTTATTTACTTTTATCCTACCTTTAAGCTGATCGGTGTAGGTGAACTTACTACTACTACAATATACAGACTAGACAAAATATAACTTAGGAGCTCACATTGAATACATCATTGAATTTCACCAGACTTAGCTTCCACCCCCCTTGAATTTCCTAAAACCTCCGTCTTATTACACATCAACCTACACCATACAGGGCCACTATATTTTGTGAAATATGATCAACTGTCAGTCACTGGTATTTGCCTTTTACAAGTATAACAGGTTTAAACACTAACTCATAATTACCTGCATCAGCAAAATCACCAGTTCCCAAGAGGGTTCCGACAGTAATCACTTCAGAGTTCAATCCTGAAAGCACAGATCTTGTTAGCCTACTTAACTTTAGTCAAGTTGACTGCAAAAGGAAATTTGGATAGCCTACGTCATCAAAACAAGTAGGCAAGTTAGGATAAGATAGGTAACTTAAGTAGGCTAAGTTAGTATCACCAATGTCAATAAAATAACTAAGCAGGAACAGGATAAAAATTACTTCAAACAGGCCTGTCGCATCTCGTTCATCACGGCAATGTCAACAGGTAAGTTTACAGTGTGTGTAACAGGTCTGTTCAACGAAAGTTAATTTTCATATTTTTTTTAGTTTTAAATGTTAGTTTGAGTTGTGGTTCGACTCTTCTATCTAGCTAAATCCATGTGTCTGATGATGGCATTGTAATGCCAAAACAGCTGTAACCAAGTTACGATGCATCAAGCTGCTGATAAAGGTTAAAACCTATTTTTAAATTTAGGCATATAGGCCTACAATAACTTAAGGAAAAATGCAGCAAGATAAGTTACTCTGTACAACCCCTAATTGGATACAGTTTCTTAACTGGGCTACCCTAATATCGATTGAAAATGTTGCTTAATAACCGATATTTTTAACTATATCAATCATAAAATGAAACTGTCATAACCTAACCTAACTTAACCCTAGAAAGGTAGGCCTATCGTCATACAGCATGACGCTAAGGGTATCAATAGGTAAATTTAGCCTAACGTACATAGAAATTGCATTGTAAGGTATTGTCATACAGTGTGACGCTAAGGGTATCAATATGAAAATTTGATGTACTGCCGGACTGTTTTACTATACACAAAGGGTATTGACACACAAATTTGACGTATGCCTATTGCAGGCTCAGTAGGACAAAGGATGCTTTCCCGGTCATGGCCCTCAGACTGACCAATAAATTGCCGGTTGCAGTTAGGGACTTAAACAAAAACCAGTTTCAAGCCAGGTTAAAGTGTTGGCTAAAAGCTAGGCCATATTACTCGCTTAAGGAGTTCTTTGAAGACGACCTCACGGGACTTTAACCCTTTGAGTGCCAACGTCCGGGGAACCGGACGTTTTTAAAACGAGCCAAAAGTGCCGACGTCCGGCCGACCGGACGTTTTTAGAACGAGCCAAAAGTGCCAACGTCCGGCTGACCGGACGTTTCGTAATGATCGAACAGCTGTCATAGCAACCGAATGGATACTCGGATTCTTTTAACCCATATATTAACATTGAGTCGAAAGTTACTAGATGCGATACATCGATTTTCGTTGGTCGAAATATCGAAAATTCGATTTTTACGAAATTTTAACCTAAAAATCGCCAGATCGCGCTCGGCACTTTTAGCGCGACCTTCGGGAAAAATCATCGGCATTTTTGGAGCGTTACTTTTATTTCTCGCCTGGCACTCTAAGGGTTAAATCCACCGCCATTAAGTTTATTAATCCGACTTAATGGAAGTTTGTAAATATTGTAAATATTAGTTTTCATTTTTAAAATTGTAAATAGTTGACGCAGCCTAACCAGCTTATGCTGGTATCAAGCCAAGGAGGAGGTAATAAGGTAATAAGGTATGCGTTCCAAGAAACCGACTAGCAAGGAACATAAAGAAACACGCTAGCCTACAACCCAACCAAGGCAGTCATCACTAGGCAAATGACTACTGAGAGCACTGTTCGAAGGAGGGTAGCGTCGGTTGAGGGGGTGCGGGGTGGGACGCTGAAATTACTTGCCCTACAGTACTTCAAATTTACGTGTGATACCCATCTAGGGTTAACTAACCAAACTTGCTGATAATAAAACAATTGAATGAAAGTTTACTAATCAAATTGATATTAGGGTAGCCCAGTTAAGAAACTGTGCCCCAAACGGTCACATTGTAAATAGCTAGCTAAACATGCGTAAACGCCAGTCACGAGCTCACATATAAAATCTGATTTAGGGTAATTTATGTGACAAGCTTCTTCCAAGCACTTAGCTTAATTGAATATTCGACCCAGGCCTACCTTGAAGGGAGTCGTAAAGTGTTTGGGTCATGATTAGGCCTAGTTTATTAACAGGCTACTAATTATTCATTGACATACACTATGAACCCCTAAGTAAATAAAAACTGTAATTATATTAATTGATACCAATAAAATATGGTATAAATAAAATTATAAAATAGGCCTAATCATAATAAAAAGATGTCTTATACTTTTAGGTTAATTTAGCAGAACAAACAGAAAAGAAAGAAGAAGGAAGAAAAGAAGCGCTCAGTCAGCTCAGCAGTTAGCCTCAACTCCCCACTCCACTCACTCAGTCCACTCCACTCCAGTCTCCAGCTACACTCCTCTCCTCTCCTACTACTCACTCCACTCCAACACTGTTGCTGCTCATCAGTCATCAGTCACTTCAGTGCAGTGCAGTCTAGTCCTAGTCTCCGTCTGTCTGTGCTGTATCGCAGGATGTATTCGCAGTTTGTTTTTATCAAAAGCTTCAATTTTTTTATATTAGTAAGAACTTAATTAGTATTAGTTTATATAGTTATTCAATATAGACATAGGCCTAGCCCCTAAACAATAGCCCAAGTTTTACTTTCAACCTTCGTAAAGATACTAAAGTTTAGAGTGTCTCCCAAATGTGTTATGTTAGGGCCTATATTGTTTCATTGCCCTGACCTAGGCCTAATCATCTTGACAGCCTGCGAGGACCTAGGCCTAGACTACGTTATTAGATTTTAATGTTGGATACGTTTCTGTGTTTTCAATCATAATATGCTTAGTCCTGAAATTTGGAACTTCAAGCCACCAAAACATAATTTCTCAACTCTTCTTGGAACAAAAGAATTAAGCTCTAAAGTTTCTTCTGAGATTAGTAAACACCATTTCAACCACAGTGTAAGTAGGCTTAAAAGACATATACAACTGTAAGATTTATTTACCATAAGTCATAAGTTCTTTATTCCAAAATAACAAATAACTCATTGTATTGGAAAAGTCATAAAAATAAACAATAGTAAAAACTGAAAAATTCTTATCAAGGTAGGCTAAATAATATGTACAAAGACTATGCAAAATTGGTCGGTGCCCTGGCAATTTTGGCCATTTTGCAGAGGTTTTTTTACAGTTCGCAGTGCCTATAGTAACTTACTGTTGATAACCTAGTCATATAAAAAAATTAAAGTTTAGCCTACAATTCCATGCTCACTGGAGTTGTTACAATAACTTAGTGTTTGTAACTTACTGTAACTGTTTGGACGTGAGGATAGGAGATAATGAAAAGAATAATTGGTACAGTCCCACAAAGAACCTAGGAAGTGTTCTCGGATGTTATTATCTGATTAAATAGGGTTAATAGTCCAAATTAGGGCCAAATTAAAACAAAAAGCATAGTGATTAAATACTTATGCTGCTTTTGTTTTAGGTGACAGTTGTCCTTAAGCTGCTTTTGTTTTAGGTGACAGTTGTCCTTCCTGATACAGTTTTGGTGCCAAAAGCAATCAACTCAACTCTGATCAACGATTGTATTTACTACAAAGTCGTAGGATTCTCTGTCCACAAATTGCTTGATAAGCAGTTTATTGAATCCTTTATTAATAAAGGTATGTAACCATGTGTTCAAAATGTTATGAAAGTTTGGACCACTGATAGCCTACAAGATTGGAAAATGTTTAAATATTTAAAAATACAAATTTCTATCTACTAGTAGGCCTACCTATTATAATTGTAAAGACTTTAATGAATAGGTAGTATAATAAACGAGAAAAAGGTTTTCAGTTTTTTCTCAACAACAGTTTTCAAAAATCTGACTTGACTTAATAGAAGTTAGTATAATTCTGGCAACCATTTAATATTATGAAGGAATGTTTGATTGATCTCAGCTTTCAGATAGAGTCATGCTCTTTTATATAGTTGTACGGTAAGTGGAGTTATGTTATGTGTTATGTTGTTAGTTTCAGTTATGTTTCTCTTTATGTTTGATAAATCGACCTTTGTAGCTAAAGGGAACTCAATCGCTGATTTATATGACTGAGTGTCAGATTGCAGAATTTAACACCAAACTTAACCTGAAAACTCAGTTCGATTCTGTCAAGGTCACTCACGACTGGTAATAGACTTATCACAACACACCTGATATGAAAGTGCACTGATATTTGCTGATCACTCGTTTTTTAGCGAATTTCCCATATAGGGAATAAGCTATTACCGTAGGTCTCATGGTAAGACCTAGACCCGGGACCAATTTACTTTTTCGTTTTGAGGTCCCCAGAGACCAAAAACATCATCCGTTCAAATTCTATATATATATCCGTTCAAAATATATATATTTATACTAGCTGTACCCGCGGGCTTTGCCCCGTTTAACTTCATAAGTATTCGCATGGCTCATTCACGTCCTGGTTGAAGTTCGTTCGCTACGCTCACTCACCTTTAGGTTGGAGCTCGTTCGCTGCGCTCACTTGCCTTCAGGTTAGCTCGTTCGCTACGCTAACTCGCCTCCAGGTTGAAGTTCGTTCGCTACGCTCACTCACCTTTTCGTTGGAAATTAGCTGTTGTCATAAATAAAAAATAAAAATAATCGTGCTGCACCCTGTTGGTAATCCTTGTAACTTTGATGCTATTGAACATCAAAGAACAGAACCAACTTGTTTAATTGAAACAGCTGTTAAGATTCATTAATCCCTTTTAAATATGAAAAATCATAAGGTTAACATGGGGAACTACAGAGCCACTGGGGCGGAGCCCGAAAGGGTTTTTTAGATAAGAATATGCTTTAATGTTAATCGGGAATGTGAGCTATCATCATGCCAAATTTCAGCCCAATCCGTCCAGTAGTTTATGCGTGATTGAGCAACATACACACACACACAAACTCATAAACTTTCAGATTTATAATATTAGTAAGATATTATATTTAATTTCTTTGTATCAGCTGTCTGAAATTGTGATACATGCAGTTTAGAAGTTATTCTTGTTTACATTTAAATGTCAAAGCAAATGTAAACAAACATTGTTAGTGTTCTCATCGCAGCCATGGAGACCTATCAATATTTACTTTTAAAATGTTCACCTCAGAGCTTTTAAAGCCAAAAGGGCAAAGCCTACGGTCAGTATCGAAATGTGAGTAGTCCTATAATGGTCCTTGGTATGGTAGGTATATTTTTGTAAAATTTAAGCCCAGTTGGTTTAGTAGTTTTTGCACCTATTAGTAATACACATACAGACAGACACCATTAGATTTTTATATAATAGTATAGATATAGATATGTGTCCGTTAGCGCGATAACTCGAGCAAAAATGATCCGATTTTGATGAAATTTGGTACAAACGTGTAAACCTACGTTTATTCGAACGAGTTCGCGAACCAGCATAATCGGACCATGGGAACAGGGGTTTATGGGGGGTTTTATGGGGTAAAAATGGGTTTTTCCCATTTTTTACCCTAAAAACAAAATATTTTGCAATTTCTTTCTCAACCATTTTGTAGAGCTTAAAAAAAGAAATAATTTAGTATATTGAAGCGCTGTTGTATGTCTAACGGTCACGGAGAAAATAAAAAAAACTGTAATTTAAAATTCCCATGTTATTCTTATGGAGAAAATGAAAATTGTTGTAGTTTACTTGTTTATGGATATATGTTGATAAAATTTGGCAAATTTATTTATTTCATACTATACTATTGACATATGGTCAAAAAACACTTTTTACCTTCCCCGTAGCAGCAAACCTAAGCACTTGTTAAATCTAATGTTATTTAAATTGGGAATAAATATGTCTTATGTATGGAAATAGTTTAGTAAAAATGTAATCAGACAAGTTGAAATTCGCTTAGTCTGCAGGTTTGCTGCGGCGGGGGTATTTCAACTTCCGATGACCCAGGGTATCAGACTATCAAGTGTTAAAAACCAACTGTGTTTTATTCACTCATAGTGATGTAAAATACCTGGGTATTTAAAACTCGGGGTAAATACCCTGGGTATTTACCCGGGTAAATACCCAAAATCCATAAATACCCGGGTATTTTGGGTATTTATTAAATCAATTTAAATTCGTTTATATTTACCCCTAAATATGTTATTGTTATCACTACATGATAAATTAAAAATTAGGATAGCCTATAACACCTTTTACAGTAACTTGAAGCTTTGATAGTACCTTTTATTTAATGATTTAGCACTTTTTTTGTAAATAATACATAAAGTTTCTTAAAAAGCATGGGGTTTCGTGTCTTAAATCGAGTAACATCAGTTAAATTTAACATAATAAAAAATAGGATATTAAAAAAGGCTGTGGCTATTTCAATTTTTATCATTTTATAAATTTATAACCATAACATAAACAGGCTGGGTGTGCAGGTGTGCAGTAATAAAACAAGCCTGTGATGCTACCTTTGATTGAGAATGCTAGAAACTAAACACTCCCTATGAAATGAAATCAAAACAACACCTCATCAGAGAAATAGTGAACCTACTTTTACTGTTATTTAATTACGATAGTTAAAATTTCTATTGTATAAATGACTTGGAAGGCTAGACAGACCTAAGCCTGATTTACATAGGCAGAATGGCAGAATACTAAAAGTAATTAAACTTTTCTGTGTTACCGCTTAGTTGGAAACAATAATATATTTGGATAAACCTACTAAAAAAATGTAACTGCTGTTTTTTGGTCTAACTTAATATAATTTTGAAAGATTTATTGTGCTATAGATTCAAATGTTTTGTATCACAAGTTTATGAAATTAGGTTTTTTTTTTATTTTGATACCATTGATACCAACAAAAGATCTAGAACAAAAATATTATTAAATCCTGCCATATCCTACAGATTGAGTTTTAATTATTTTCATAAGTTGTTTACACATAGGCCACTACTAGGTTAAATCTTCCTGTCATTCTTTCTAAATAATAATTATTACTTTACAAATTATTTTTCTTCACTTCCAATAAAATAAATTCATTTATCTTATCATAGAAATTACAAAATCATAAGGAGTCAGGACCAGTGCAACCATGCGACCAGGGTATTATGCCGATAATGCTTTATGCTCAGACCTGGGTATTTATGGCGATTATACCCATAAGTAAAATGCTAGTAGTGACCATATGAAATTTTGTTTAACACATTTTATCATCATTTTACTATCCTTACAGGGTAATAATTGCAAAAAAAACATCTAAATCTTCTCTAACTTTAATAAAAATTATAAATACCCAGTTTTGGGGTATTTACCCGGGCCTGGGGTAAAAACCCGGGTAAATACCCAATTTATATTTACCTACCCACTGGGTATTTACCCGACCCACATCACTATTCACTCAACCAGAGTATATTGTAAAAAGCTAGAAACTAATACTGCTTCAACAATGTTTTCAGGTGAGCTGACAGCGTTGAGTGTGGGAACTTGTATTGACACTGATGATTGTGCGGCAATCATACCTTCTGGTCACTTGGTCCTGAACCTTACCAAGGAAACCTTCCAAAGTCTGGGTCTAGAGGGGTCACAGTCTGCCTTTTCCACGGAGCGATATGGTAAGTGTAACATGTAGCTAGTGGCAACAAGTGTTTGATTGGGTCCGAAACTCGATAAATTCTATTCAACATGTGATGCATGTTGGTTGTTCTGAAGTAAAAATACTTCTTTTATCTCATTCAATCCACTTAACTTGTAAGTTTTTACGCTTTTTGATTATTTTGGTCATGAGCGTAAGTTTTCCAATATCTTACATTTTAACAAAACTGTTAATAAGCATAGCAGTAAAGCTGGTAAAGGATTACCAGTTACCAGTTGCTAGTTTTTCTGTAACAAATAATGAAAGGAACACATAATCACTTGTTCATTTATGTGTGTCAACCAGCAAACATTATAGGCCTAACTAGAATCTATCAGACATATAGGTTATTGGGCGAACATCAGAAGTGTGTTTGTGGCATGGAATCAAAATTGTTGTTTAGTAGTCCTGAAAATCTAACTGATTTTTAAATAGTTTTAAATTTAAAATGTTTCTCAATTTGCAACATTAGTGGTTTGCAATATACCTTATTTTCAATTTTTGCAATAAAGCTACTCAAATAATAGTTTTTTGTGATTATACATTCTCTGTTGGCAAATGAAACCTTACAATGTTTGTAGAAAGTTTAAAAAAAAATATTTGTATTGATAAACACCTTATCACATTGCTATTGGCATCTTTCAATAGTTTTGTATAAAAAAATCAAATCTGCCAAGTTTTTGTTGTATTTTTCATAAAGATAATTATAGAAGGTAGTATTTATTTTTCTTTGCTTTCAGTCGTGAGCAATTAAAGGACAAGACCGGCCATTTCTGAAACCATGCCACAAAAGCACGTTGTAGCCAGCCTGCAAGACTTGGCATTGTTATCTGTAGGAGAATGGGTGAAGATGGTGGGCCGTGGCTTGATAGAACCTACGTACTTGATAACACAGAAAGACCAATGCCAGGGTCAACTGTTTCTGGTGAACACTCTGTCCTACGTCAGGGAATTGTTGTACACTTCCGTCCCAAGATATCTACATGACCAGATGGCCAACCAGGTGTTAACCTCTACTGACGAACTCATCAACGAAACAAAGTCCAGTTACAACAACTTCTGTCCGATGGCTGTGTTTCTCAATAAGATGAAAGTCGTGGTCAGTCTGACTGAAGTAGTCATGCACCCGATGCTGAAACAACTGGATGTTTACCACTGGCCGAAAATCATGAGGCACGTGATGAACCAGAATCTGAGCAAACTCGTCGGACTAGAAAGGTTGAATCTGGGGTCCGGTTCAGCAGGGTGGGACACGAGCGAAGCGGAGAAACACATCTTATCAGGAGTCCAGTGGATGTCCAATCTCACACACTTCTGTCTGTGTTTTGACTGTACCAACACCATCATCATGACTCTCGGTAACAATTGTCCTTCCTTGCAAAGTCTGGACGTCACATCTTCCAGGTCAGTGACTGATCGCAGTATCCGCTATCTTCTCCAGTGCAAGAGGTTGAAGGAAGTCAAGCTCTATCGAACTTCAGTATCCGTCACCGGCTATTGTGACTTACTCTCTGGTCTTCCAAACATTCAAGACATCGGTAGATGTGATGAGCTTGGGCGAGTGCTGATTAGTCTCGAAGAAATGTCTTCTGAACCTCTGCCTCTTCTCGCCCTGCAATGTAGAGATTTGACAGAAGATCAACTCAAGTTACTTGTGACCTACTGCCCTCGACTGAACAACCTCTCTATTTTTCATGATGAAAGAATTGCCGATTTGACTGTTCTGAGTGCCTTGAATGATTTGACGGATCTCAAAATTTTGAACTGTGATTTTTTTACTGATCATGTTAAAGAGCTTTTGGAGCAACGGGGCAAAAACCTAAACTCTCTTTCTCTTGAACACGTCGATGAAATTGATCTCAACGCTTTGATTGCCATTAGCCAGTACTGTCCAAATTTAAAAATACTAAGTTTTGTAAATTGTGAATTCGGTAATCACCGCACTCTGTTATTCAATTTGAAAAAGTTGGCTGTGCATCCATTTGCATACTTGGAAAAATTGCTTCTAGTCGCAGACTGTGATCGGGAACATCTGGAGTTTCTGATGGCGCATTGCAAGAACATTCGCATGATTCAGCTGGGTTCCTCCACCGGCATAGACAATGCTACTTTTTGCAGAGTGCTTGGACAAAACAGTATGCACAAATTAGAGGAGCTAAGAATTTTATTTAGTTTTGACTTGAATATGGAATTCATCCGGTTGTTAATGAGCTATTGCAAAAATCTACGCAAACTGACCGAGCTGGAGAGTTGGGAGGGAATAACTCCTTTAGAGTTGCAACATTTTCGCACCTTCATTCGTGCCAACAACATTGATTTAAACACAAAGCCTACTCTGTACACACCAAATTGACAAAATTTGACCTGGATTACCTGTAGCTCGTGCGTAAACATTTCTATTGTGTGCAGAAAAGTGCCACTTCGCACACTATTTAAACAAATAACTCTTCTTTTATAAATTTTCAAAGATTGAATAGTTTAGGATGATTGTCTCTTGCTCAAAATTTAGGTGCCTTTAAATGCTACGATGAATTAACATTTCATACCCTAATCAATTTGTTATGGCAATTCACTGCTTGCAAGACAAACGGGCTTAAGTACATCAATATTGTACTCACGCCCCTCTTTGATTTTTATGATTTAGCATCATATTTAAGTGAACACTATATGAACGTCATATAGTATGTTAACATTCTTATTAGTTATGTTTGTACCTTGTTGTCTACTTATTGTCGTGGATATTATTTGTAGGCCTAGTCATATTGTGTAAGAAGAGGTGGTTGTTCCAGAATAGAACCAAAGTGTTTAACAAATTTGAAAGTATTAATTATTTTCTTAGCAAGAACTAGCAAAATGCTTATCACTTGGGATGTGATATTTGCCCAGTTGTTTTATCACTTGGAGTGCTGGGAAATTTTTTTCAATGCTAATAAAATATATTGGACGATGAATTAGCATATGATGCCAGAATAATTTGTAACGTTAATTTAGGTTTTGACTAAAACCTTACTTCATAAGATAGTATCAGACTGTAAATTCAGTTTTCCTTCACCTTAAAATTAGTTTTAGTGTGAAGTTATCATTTGTTTATCACTTGCGTGGTAAGAATATCTAGCACTGTACTTTATAGGGTATTGAAACTAACTTTTGTTTAATAAAAAACTCTTAATCATTCTGTTTTGCCAAAATAACTATTCCTCGATTGTGTTAAAACATTAAATAAACTACTTAAAATATTTACTTGATACTTTCAAAGTTTTTATTCAATGTACGGTATTTATTATCTTTGACTTAATGTAACTCGCCACTTTATTTGCACTAGGTTTCAATGTAATTTTCAGGCCATCGCATACTTTCATGCTTTTAGGTCAATAGTTTTCTGTACGACACTATAATTCATCCTAGTTTGGCCAATTTTTACCCCTAAAAAATGTTGATTAGAGTTTTTTTATGGTTTATTCATTCAGCAAAGTTATCATAAGGATTTTACTAATCTCATAGGCTAACTTAAACTATTTAAAACAAAATCCACTTTAAAAGTAGTAGTGTCTAACCACTTTCCCAGTATACCAAGTTTTAGATAAGTTTTTGCTTTTTATTTCATGTTATACATATACTTTTTTATAATTGTTATACTTAATACAGAATACTTGTATCTTTGTTAGTGATAGTTTGATGTTATCTCGCTTTTGTTACTTTATAAAATGTTTCTTTCAGTTAGCAATTGAAGAATTTTTTTATATTCTAGATTTAAGGTAAATATGTGATGCAACCAGTCTTCGTTAAACCATTGTTTATTGTTTTAATCTTTACCAATATTATAAATGTCTTGTAATTGCCATTGATATTAATAAATATTTAAATTATATTGGTACAATTGCTGTGATTTTTTTCCCTTTTGATTTTAAGAGGTTGATAGGAAAAGAATTGAGAATTTTCTAAATGTGGGGTAATTTTGCAGGGTAAGACAAGTGAACATGGAAAATCAAATGTGGTATTTATTTTCTTGTAGGTGGAATGGCTGAGTCAATGACGAATTATTTAGTTTATTTTTTAGTAGTCATTTCCCATTTCTACTAAGGGAAAGGTTTCATAGTAAAAATACAAATCTTGCAGCTTACAAAATCTAAAGTTTATATTTTATTAGAAAATTAAACACTTTTTTGAAAGAACTCATCAGCAAACCTATTACAGTTGTGAAAATAGACCTGAAAAATCCGAGTTTCACACCGGGAAAGAAGAATTATGAACGAGCACTTAAATGCCTATCAGAATTCGCACCCCTTCAAATGGATTTCATCATAGCGTGGGAACCACCAGGTACGTTTCAGAATTGTGATGGGAATTTAAAGATGGCATATAGCAATTTTATAGAGGTCATAGTGTTTCAATTATCAGACCTTAACCAGCTATGGTGAGGTAAAATAACAAGGAACAACAAAGATCAGTTTAAACATGTTTAGTTTCTATGATTAATGCTATAGTTTAATAAACCTATATATATATATAGCACTTAGAATGTCTTTAATTGAACCCGGCATTCTCTGTTTTAAAGCCATCATCACAAAAAAATATCAAATAAAAAACGGTCGTTTCTGAAATATAAAAACTAAGCAACACTTTCCTTTCAGCCTCAAGTTTGCACATGTGACTGTGGCGTGAGGGTAGCGGAGAGTTGTACAACATCATGTTAAAAATTATTACATTTTCTTCGAAACCAGTACAACCTTTTTATCAGTACCATTGGATCTAGTTAATAGTGGATCTGTGGATGCAAAGATTAGGGACGGTGAATTCCCTAATGGACATTATTGCACTTAGACACATTGTAAACACTTAGCAATATGAAGTGCCCCCGAATGCCATTTCAAATATATATGTTTCGAGGCATTGCAAAATTGCTAAGGGTTTGCTAAAGAGGTTTCATTGTAATAATTTAGTTAAAATTCTTTTCCCCTAATCAGTCATATGAAAGAAGTACAGTTTGTACACAGAATTTAAAAACAAGAAGGATATTAGGGCAATTTATGTAAAATGTTATCAATGCTGCTAATGGTCAATTATATTTCTAAAGGACCACCTGTGTTTGACACTTATTGCTTTTTAATAGCTACTTGAACAAACAAGTTACAACCTGTTTGTCTAGCACTGCTCAGTTGTTCAGTTTGTACATAATTGCTGGCTTTCTTTGCTGCATTCCTTTATTTTCATTCTTTATTTTTTGTGCAAGTCATGTTGAATATGAATGCAAAATGAATATACAATAGAGCAAATTTGTTTTGTTCCTGACTAAGATCAGCAGTTACTATAGCCTGTAACATAATTACAGCACAAAGCACAATGATCAGCCCAATGACAAAACTTCAAAAAGCTGAATCTTCTAATTTCTCTGGATTAAACCCGTGATCTTATGATTGTCAGACAAGGAGACAAGCATTTAGTTTCCTTATGTAACCTATCCATTATTTTTTGTATTGCAGATTGTTTTTTAGTTCGGTCAAGGGTTGGGGAGCTGAGTGGTTATAGTGCTCACCTAACAATCAAAAGATCCCCAGTTCGAGCCTGGGAAAAGTAATCTTTTTGATGGTTCGAAAGTCGAAACTGGACCCAGCTGTTCCTAATCATTGGGCTTTCATTAAATGCTCCTGGCTTATGGAACAGCTGATCTTTAGTCAGTAACAAAGCTACACAGATCATCTCACAACATTCTACACTCATCCTTCACTCAGATTTAGGTTGAACACCTAGGTGGCGTCCTCATCGCAATAATTGATGACTGGTTATGTCACAAGGTATGAGGTATCTTACAGACCATGTTACAGAGGCCCCTCAGAAACAACAGGTCTGTCCCTCGTCAATCGCAGCATATCTGTCTACTTGTGGGGAGCAAGTGAGCGAGTGTACCCCTAAACTAACGACCTCACGTCAGTATAACGTTAAGCTTCCATCATTGGCCAACGTAGAACTGCCCGATCTGCTAGAGTGGCTGGGTGCTGTATCACACGGTGTGGATATGAAGTAGGTCGATTTGTTTTTGTTCCTTTGATGAGTTCATTGTGTCGCAAAAGGAGTTTTATTTAGGATATTTTCCCATCTAGCAAAACAACAGTTTGTATTTTTGAATGTTTGGAAAATAATCTGTACAACTAGGCAAGGCTGAGACACATTACAAAAACAACTTTTTTAGTACAATAAAGTTAAAATAATCAACAACAAAATTAGAAGATACGTACATATAAGAACTGAAGTTTCAAGATTTTCCCCTATCTAAACACTGAAGACTTGAAAACATGAAATTTTTTTTAGATTTATTTAGGCTTATCCTATCCTCTAATATGAGCTTGTATGCATGTACGCTTGCTTGCACAAAGATCTTGAAAATGGCTTTGACGATGTAAAGTAAAACATGTCAAGTAAATTTTAAGGATTTTCGTAAGGTTGGCAGGCTTACCTGAATAGGAAATGGTCCACTCTGGTACAAGAAACATAAACAAAAAAAATCTGAAAAGAGGAATAGTTTTTGCGCACTATAATGTACAGTGTTATGTTTCTTGTGCCAAAAAGGACTCTTTGCTCTTCAGGTAATCCTGCTATGCTCAAAAGACCTGTGCCCTTGTGCTATATGTTACGACTGCACCTTGTATTTGTTATTGTAATGATAAAAGCAGAGTTACATCTATCTACACAGCACTATTCCTAGTAATTTTGTTCCCGCAGCCGGGAAGACGCCGAAGGTCACTACTTGTCCACATACCGAGGTCCGTTAGAGACTCAAGGGGAGTCCCAGGTAGCAGTGCTTACCTTCCGCGGACTCTTCACAACTAGGCAGATCGACAACTTCTACTGTGTGCTAAGGTTGTTTTACTGCAGTATTAGGTTATACATATTTAGTTTTTTTTTTTTTTTTTTTTTAGGCTAAATGCAAACTTAAAGTTGTGTTTGATGTAGACTTATGAAGTAAGCACATGGGGCCAAGGATTGTAAGATTTTTTGAGAGGATAGTAGTCTGACCTGTATATGAATCAGTCTAAATTGGCACAAGAGACTCAAGACTTCACAAGAGCTTCACAAAACATTAGAATTTTCACCGTCACTGAAGTAAGAAGAGAGAGTTTTCTTCAGGTCTAATGGCGACCCAATGGTCAAAATGTCGGCCACCGTTAGAACTGAAGTAAACACCCTCTTCCTTAGTTGAAAATAGTCAATTCTCACTAAAACTCCTACTATTCAATACATTTGAGTTTTAACCACAAACGTTTTTCACTTAAAGCTCAATTAGGATTATGCTGTATTAGCTTTTTGCGTAAATCTTTCATTATATTATTATACAGTTTTCTCATGGTATTAGGATTTTTAATGGGATAGAGTTAAACTAGCTACTTGAGAAAATTATATTGAATAAGTTCTACTCCATGGAAAAGTCCTATATTGTTATGAAATATTAATGGTATGCTTTCCAACCTTTTATTGTGTAGGCCCTACCTATATTAGCATCTAGACAGCTAATTTTCTCTGGATACGCTAGCTAAACTCTAGACTTAAAAAAACCTGATCAGCCATGTGGCTTTTCTTTAAAATACTGTCACCTGTTATAATTACTAATTTGTCTTTTAGTACTGGACAATTTTCTCTCTTAAACCAATATGGAAGTAAGGAGCTCAATTTGAATGTTGATGTAAAGAGATACCGTGAAGGTCATTTGTCAAAGATAACCAAACTTATTTGTTACTTTACCAAATTGTTAATCAATCGAGTTTGCTGTACAGGTCATACATAGAGGAGCGCACAGATGCATTGTGGGCTGCCATGCACGTTCAAGGGTTCGCGGACGCACCTGTGTCGTGGGGTCTACAGGAACACACGTTCCACAGCGATGGAAACAACGACTACACAATTATACACAATTCGGATGGAGCCTACCAACTTATCAAATGCTCTGTCGCACCCGCCAAGTTGAAGCACAAAGTTCAATAAATCTTTTATGTAAAAATAAAATCTTTTTCTAAACTTTTTGTATATAAATTGTTATTTATTGTCCATTAATTTTTAACATCTGGATTACTTTTATAGTTAAAGTTTGAAATATCATGAGTACTGTCAGGTGATACAAATTTTGAGACGACCGATTGTTTTGAACCTGAACCAAAAAATTCGTTCTCAAGCTGAATACCAGGCTACGAATTATCTCACTTTATTTTCAGGCTAGGCTTGATCACTAGGGTCGAAAAGAGATGTCCAAAGATACACACACACACACACATAAAAACACTTAAAAAAAGAAATTTTCTATGTGTGAGAGAAAAAGGACCTTATCTACAAAGAAATTACGTGAAACGTTGTAAACTATGATTTTTGGCAGTCAAAAAGTAGATATTATCGTTAAAAATACTTATTTGTTGCCAAAATCCTATTTAAAACCTCACAGAGCATGGTAAATTTTAAATTTAATATTTTCCATTTTTATTTCACAACTTTTTTATCTACAATCATGCTTTTAAGAAAGGTTTAAAGGAAGGGTGAATAATACAAATACATACAAAATAGTTGAACATATAATCCTCAAACTTATGACTTATTACAATAAAATGTAAATCTTAAAAAAGTTGATTTTTGGTCATACGCTGATGAGAACAAAAGTAAATGCAGGATGTGAAATTGTTGGAAGATGGAATCTACGAGCGAAGATATCCTCTGAAAAATGAAAGTTAGGTTTAGTAATTAATATTGGTATATAACTTTTATTTGGGTAAAGCAGTAAAATTGCAGTTTCGATAAAAAAAAATAATATGAAAGTAACTTTAAACTTAACTATACAATATCTCTAAACTAGTGAACATATTTGCCACCAGTTTTGTCTTATTAATGGTATCCTACTACAAAAGGTTAAGATGTTTATACCTTTTCACCTCCACATAGGTATTTTAAATTCATTGAATGATTAACTTATGAAAAAGCTGGTACTGATATTTAGGTTTACTATGAAAGTCCATAGGCTATGAGTTTTTATTCTGTGTTGTTATAGAGTTGCGTGCAGACAAGAGTGAACTAACTACACGTAATCATATGACCATCTGTGTTTACTTTTACATGGCAATTGAGCTAGTGGATACACGTTATGGTAAATTACATCTAAGGGTGGTTTATAAGTCTTCGGGTTTGCATGCAGCTCTTGCTGTGTATCATTCTTATTTTATGTCTAGGTCTTCCTATGGTCCCCATTATCTCATGGGGCAGCTCCCCCATTACCAAGAATATTTTTATCTTACAAAAAATTGCCGTTAGAATTTTAGCTGATACCAGATCACGTTCCTCTTGCCGCCCCCTTTTTATTCAGATGAAACTCTTGACAATTTATGCAGTTTATATTTTTCAACTGTGCATCTTTGTAAAAAGAAATTATAAGGAATTTATGTTGAAAAATTACACTCATCAATATAACACCCGACACAGGAATGATCTTCAATATCCTGTGCATAGAACAGCTCTGTATGAAGGATCGCCATGGTACATGGGTAGGAAAATTTACAATAACCTCCCAGATCAAATTAAAACTGAAGAAAATATGTCATCCTTTAAAAGAAAACTAAAATCTTATCTCATTCTCTTGTCTCCTTATTCCCTAGATGATTTGATAAAAACTTAGCTTTAGGTTTTATGGATTGATAAAAACAAAGAATTTAGCATAAGGTATTATTAGATAGTAAAGTGGTATTGACATGTCATATGTTTATATGTGAAAATCACAATCTTGTAAACTTATGTGACGAATAAACATTTCATTTCATTTCATCTTTAATTTTCATTACTGAGTCCTCAATACTTTTTGGATCCAAATAAAGATTTTTATACCACTTTGGTTATTTTTTTAAATTGATTTAGGCAAATTTTATCTAGAACTTTTTTAATGATGATTAAATGTTTGCTGCAATATTTACTAGACTTAAAACACTGCCTATCATGTTTTATACACACATTAAACAATAAAACTGGTGATAGACTAATAGAAACCAATTAAATTTGTATGTACAATGTAGTTCTCTAAAAAGTAACAAGACACAAAAGCTTAAAATAAAACTAATAACAGCCCAGCCTACAAAATTATGACATCCAGAAAATATATATGCCAAAACCCAAAACAGAAGTTGGGGGAGGTATTGTTTTGTTTCTAGTCCTAAATGATAACCATGGATTGCAATTTTCAAATTAATTGACCTAAGTTAACCTGCCGCTTAAAAGTCTGATTTTAATTCAAAGGCAGAATTGGTCATAGGAATACAAAAGTTTAAAAGTGTGGGATAGTGTTCAGACCTTTGAATTGTGTTTCAATTGTTTACTTACTAGTTTGTGATTTGGGCGTAGCTTGTTTTATTAACTATGTTTTAGTCACTACTATAATCAATTATACAGTGCTTGTATAGGCCTACAGTATATAATAGGCCTATTTGACCTTTGAATGATTGGTTCATGGTTGCCGAAATGCAGGACTTTACCTGATGATAATAAACAAACTATATAAATATCTATCATTCATGTAATTCTTTGTCCTAAGGTAACTGAAATATCACACAATTTGAAGTTGCAAATGATATCCTAATAAAGCATCATTCTACATTTTACAAAGCTGTTGGAAAAGTAACAGCTGTTTATGGGAAGTTGCCAAAGTCACATCCCTTCCATTACAGCTAGTAACAATAAAATCACTTACGGCAACTTCATTCGCATGAACACCCAGCAGGTGAAAAATGAGATGATGATGCACAGGAAGCCGACCGCAATGAGAAGAATGCGGTTTAGTTTTGGAGTGCTCGGGTTGTGAGTGTGGTCGAGAACAACGAATCCGAGACCTCCGAGAGTGAAAAGGAACGAGGATGCCAAACCCTCCATGATGTACTGTCCGTTCACTCTGTATGGCAGAAACGCCACCTAGGAAAAGGGCAACAAGGAGGTTAACTTTGAGGAAGGGTAAAACACTTACAGAAATATGTAATACATTATGGCCTTGCTTATGGTGAGACAAAGAACTGTTTTCACACCAGCTTAATTTAACATTTGTTTATAGCCATCATACCCCAATTTGCAAGGTGTGTGGCACATAATCGGTGTTTGTGCTACAAACTATGACATTCCGGCCTTTGTGTGTTTCAGACACATAGACAGGAGCCTCAGCTAACGTGTCTCCATGTGGAAACATGGCAACACAGTTTCATATTGTGTGTTCCATCGGGTATCTTATTTCGCTTGCAACTTAGCATGTTACTGGCTTATAACTCAAAGAAAATATTTAGTATTGTAAGTCTACATCCAGTTGATTCCCTCCGGTTTTTTATTCCTTTGGTTCATACAGCCAAAAGTGCAGGACTCATGCATACATAAGCCGCTAGCCTCGTAAAAGTAGTAACTTAATCTGTTTGATACATAGAGAGATGTTAATTGTATTCTTTTGATGTTTGTATTGAATTATTTGTTTTAGGTTCAATCTCTTTTTATTATATACTACGGTCTAGCCCCAAAGACTCTGAACAAGAGGGAGGACACTGTAAATCAAAAGTTGACTGTAGATGGGTTTTACATAAAAGTTAGGTTTAAACTGGTCTTACTTTGTTCTCCAAAGAAACTATCAAGAATTCCTACTAATGTTTCTTCATTTTGGCATGACCTTATGCAGTCAAAAATAATCTAGTAGGTAGTTGCCCTTTACTTTAAACTTCTACACATGTCTATAGGATTATTTTGGGATTGCTAGTATCCAACCCCTATAGTTGGCCGACCATGAGTAAAATAATAAAACTCGGCACAGGTTTGTTTCCAAAAGAGTACTAAGCTGGGTGAAAGACTAGGCTCAAATTTACAGGTTTAGTGTCAAAACTGTTTGGTTTTGTATTTGGTACATCAACAAACAAAATAAGTTAGGGTATAGGTACGATTAATTAGGCCTACTATTATACTCATTAAATGAATAGTCTACCTTACATGAAAATCTAATAGCATATTGTTAGTCAATTTAGTTTTCTTTCTTGTTACATTAAGTTCTATGTTAAAAGTGATTGTGAATTGTTTAAGGAAGGTAAATTAATAGAGTGTAGAAGTAGTCAGATGGCACTAATAACAAAGCCACAACTGTGTTTACTGTTGACACAAGTGTTTATACTCACAGGTCTGGAGTGGCCATGTTCGTCTGTAGTAGAGCCAACACTAGGAGGTTCAATAATCACATCATAGATGATCCCTGGAATAGAAGCAGTGTATTAGCACCTGCTACGAATGACTTTGTGATAGCATGTTTAAAATAAGTTATTGTGATGTAAGTTTACAGTAGGACTACACCTTAAATTTGGTTTGGGCTGAGAAACAGTTAAGATTAAAGCCAATGGACTTTTTACTAAATAATGGTATTCTGTAGCATATAAAGTTAGCTTGCAAAAGGCAGACAAGTAAAGACTACTATATTCTAAAGCCTAGGAATATAATAATTTGTTTTTAATTAACAAGTTCATAGATCTATTATAGTCTACTAACTTTTCAATTAGAAGGTATTCTAACTTATCCTAAACTTAATGTGTTTTATTCATAGGCTAGAGTGTAAAAAGTAAAAAAAACCTAACTTAATCCAAACCATGATTAAGAATTAAAAGTACATTACGTATTTGATAAGTGTATTAGGCCTATTATCTGTTATAGAATCAAATCCAATCGATAACAGTCCCGTTGTAGATAGGATAGGCCTTTCGCTAAGTAAGATCTATTAACTTATAGGTCTCGCCACCCTAAGTTGAGGCAGCCCAGACGGACGGGCAGGGTCATTATCGGCCGGTCCCACCCGACCCTTTATAATCCGATTAGTGACACTTCCGTGAACGCTCTAGTTCCATAATTGTCATTAACAAAGTTAAAAACCGAAGTATAAATTTAGTCTTTTACATTAATAACGTCGATTTAACAAACATTTCCGTTTTTGTCCCATCAAAATCGGACAATGTTTACGGTTTTTGGATTTTGGGATCTACACTACTTTGTTTTTTGTGTATAGCTCACAAACCATAAACATTGTCCGATTTTGGTGGGTCAAAAACGGAAATGTTTGTTAAATCGACGTTATTAATGTAAAAGACTAAACTTATACTTCGGTTTTTAACTTTGTTAATGACAATTATGGAACTAGAGCGTTCACGGAAGTGTCACTAATCGGATTATACAGGGTCGGGTGGGACCGGCCGATAATGACCCTGCCCGTCCGTCTGGGCTGCCTCAACTTAGGGTGGCGAGACCTATAATAGATAGATTTAACCATTGCAGTCTAACATCAAACTTCTGCATAAGTTAAGTTAGACTTTTATATACTTTTGTTCAAACTTTCAAAACCTAAATTAAGAGACTTCAAACTTAGTATATATTTAATGGTGATTAAAAATATCAAATAATGTCTCAGCTCTACCTAGATTAAAAATAAAATAGGCCTACCTGTAAAATACCTAAGTTACTTCCCTTATAAGCCAGGTTTCTATGTTTTCTGTGAGAGCAAAAATAAGAGAACCCTGACATATGAATAAATAGCTTCGGTCTATATATGAATAAATCACTATACATTAAATTTATCTTAGTGAATTTCAGACCCATGATCACAGAAATTTATGAGTTATTATAAGTCCCGTACACTAAAAGATGTGTACAAGCATCCCAAGCAAACAACTACCGGTTAAATTAGCCGTTAGTTACCACTAGAACCCTTTACGAATTCTATGTACATGCAATGAGCTCTAAAATTTGTATACATTATTACTAACAATATCGATGGCTTACATGTTTTAAGTACATAGGCCTAACAACTTTTTAATTACTTACCTCCCGTTACCAGAAAATAGGATAGTAAAACTAATGAAAACATAACCATTGCAGAGGGTTGTTGAAACCATGATGGGCGCTTTATTTTCAAATTAGGGACTTCTAAAACTAAAAATGGCAATCCGTAAATAAACTCCATTATTTATGTGTAGGTGTAAAATTGAAATATATTATTAGACGTAATCAATAATCAAGAAGACGATTTGCCACATAACCAAAATCTACACGAAGGATTCCAAATTCCAAAGCGTTGGCCTTGGCGTTGGCGTTTTCGCGTTTTGACAGATGGGTCGTCGATTGGTTGACCGGTTGGCTTTGATTTGACATTCGTTGATTGTCATGCAAAGGCAAGTAAAGTCGGAATTCGGAAATATTCTTAAAACTAATCATGATAAGCTATGATTTTATTAATACTGTAACCTATAGCTTACAATGAAAAATTTTATAGTGTTATATTGAGTACTGTTGTAGTTTGTTTGTTAGATTTATCTTTTCGGAATTAACTAAACATTTCCAAATTAAAAACTATAACAGGAAAAGGGATTACAGAGTAAACTGATAAGAGACAAATGCGTGTTAATTGTGTAGAGTCATGATTTGCGGCAGCAAAACTACTGCATCGGTCCACTAAATCTGTAATGGATAATTTTATGTAGGGTTATTTTACACATTTCATTAAATCAGGGTATGAGAAGGAACTAAAAGCTATTTATAGCTAAAAAGGTAGCCGTTTTTTCTAGTTTTTTTCATACGCCAGTGGCATTTTTAATAAAAGTCAACGTGAGTCTTAGGCCCATACTATACGGACGCTAAATGCGTCACATAAATGCGTCGCGTTTACGCGAAGGTTCGGCGCATAAGTAGTTCTAAACGGACACAAAATGTGCCGCACAGTTTTTGCGTCAACGCTCCGATTGGTCAGACTATACGAGCGCAGAAACCACCACGTTGCTTCCAAGATCACTCACCCCTAGGCGCAATTTATACATCATTTTTGCAAGTTACTAATATGGATGCAGTGCAGATCGGTGCTGTATGGTATCAGTGTCTAATTAGTAATAACAAGAAATACTAAAAGAAGTAACTTATATGTATGAAGTTACTGCAGACTATTATGTAAAAATAGGCTATACATAAAGGTAAAACTTTGGAAATGGCTAATTGTTAAGATAAAACTCCAATAAAATATAGTTAAATAGGAGGAAATAGTTCTTTATGATATTTTCAAGTAGCCTACTAACTAAACACAGAGTTTGAAAATATTTTAAACGCCAAATTTCGCACAGAAGCACAACTACTCAATGCGAGCGACGCATCTTATAAAACAGCGTCCGTATTAGTCCGGCCCTTTTCGTTGCGCTGCGCTATCTATATTTTCAAACTCGACCCTCTGCTATCGTTTTTCCAGGACTGGTTGCGTAAAAATGTGTCGATTTTGGAGGGTAGTGCGCCCCGTTGACTGCGCTCGTATAGTCGTTCCAATAGACTTACATTGTCATTCAAAGGAAAAATAGCGCAATGTATTTTACACGACAAATTTAGCGTCCGTATAGTATGTGCCTTACCCATGGAGTTTTACCATATGGTTTTACCCATCACTAACCACCAACGTATTGTGTCCTCTATTGCGTGGTAAAAATAAGAATTGTTTTTATTCATCTGTCCTGAGACACGAAGCAATAAATGCATTCAAGTGCCTATCAATATGGTGCACTGTGAGGCTATAAATGTTATTTTTTGTAGTTTGGAATTGTTCTCTAAGGGCAAGGGAGTCCATAAAAAGCTAACGGCCATCTTGGACTTGCCCGCCATAAGAGCATTGCTAATTTCGTTAATTTCAAACAGCCACTGAAGAGTGTATTTGCCATCTAAAAATATTTTTTTTTACCAGAATGATTGTAATTTAAATATCCATCTAACTATGAGATTAAAATTTTTCTATGTAGGTTTTTATTGCTAATTTTAAGAGTTAGAACGTCTAGGCTCCAAGGACTCTTAATAACTGTTCGTTCAGAGTGCGTCCTGTCAAGCTTCCACTCAATATCGCTAAGTAACCACACAAAGAACTTCTTAACGTAGATTTATTAGTATCGTATTCATTTGCAATACTTTCTTGCATTAGCTACAGTTATTCAGAAAATAAAGTGCCACCTCCGGATTTTTTAAGACACAGTAATAAACTTAACAACTATAACTGCAACTGTAAGTATAACTGTAACTCAATGAAATTTGAAGCTAACACTCCCAAAAACATAATTAATAATTAGATTACCAAAACTAAATAAATTAAGAAATGCTATCGGGTGGTTGTATTATGATACAGAATCATACAGCTAAAATAATATTAATATGTTACACAATACTTACAGATTTTCTCTTGCAATATTTTAATTCCATTGAACGATATAAATGTTATAACGGATTATTTGATTTAACCCTTCAGAGACCGACCCTAGTTTATGACACGATGCCTAGGACCGGGGTACTTTTAACAGTTTCTGCAATTTTGTATTTATTTGTATATTGCATGTCATCTTAAAAAAATAATATTAGTATGTAATGTTTACTTTAGAATAAGTCACCATTGTATACCATTTTAAATTGGTTCTTAGTTCTTAACCTTGAAAGGTAAATTAAAATAAAATAAAATGTTATAGAAAAATGCTATAACTTTTGAAAAGCAGCCCTATTTCACATTTCTTGAATACTGTTCTTATTTTAGCGAATTTCCCATAAAGGGAATAAGGTATTACCGTAGTACTCATGGTAAAAACCTACGTTTATTCGAACGAGTTCGTGATCCAGCATATTCGGACCATGGGAACGGGGTTTTATGGGGTAAAAATGGGGTTTTCCCGTTTTGACCCTAAAAACAAAAAATTTTGCAATTTCTTTTCAAACCGTTTTGTAGAGCTTAAAATAAGAAATAATTTAGTATATTGAAGCGCTGTTGTATGCTTAACGGTCACGGAGAAAATTCAAAAATAGTGTAATTTAAAATTCTCATGTTATTCTTATGGAGAAAATGAAAATTTTTGTAGTTTACTTGTTTATGGACATATATTGATAAAATTTGGCAAATTTATTTATTTCATCCTATTGACGTATGGTCAACAAACACTTTTTACCTTCCCCGTAGCAGCAAACCTAAGCACTCGTTAAATCTAATGTTATTTAAATAAATAGGGAATAAATAATATGTCTTATTTATGGAAATATATTTGAGTAAAAATGTAATCAGACAAGTTGAAATTCGCTTAGTCTGCAGGTTAGCTGTGACGGGTTTATTTTCATATTTTCTCAATAATAGTTTGTTCAAACATCCGTTATCGGAAGTTCGCCTTTTTTAGCAAAAAATATAAACAAATGGTCATCCTTGAAACATAATATTTCAGGTAGGTCAAAAAATCTTGGAAGAGGCCTTTATATGTACAGTAATCATCATTTTAAAGTACGAATGAATGATTTTTTAATCATTCTATATTTATATATAGTTTTTATATTTTCATATTATTGACCTACAGTAGTACTTCCGGCAAGTGAATACGCGTTGTGATAAAAGTTTACCCACTAACTTAAATACAAACATATATGCTCAAGCTCAAGAAATAAATTTCTAGATACCTGCTGTTAAAGCAAAATTGTACGTGAGGACGACTCCATACATAACATAATTTGAGGGTCTTCGGATGTTGATTTGTAGACGTGGAACTTCCAAAAAACTATATAAATGAGTAAAAAACATTTCTATGGTCGTATAAATGCAATAATATTATTTGCTCGAGCACACGTAAAACACAGATCGGCAATACGTTAACTACACATCAACGGATGAAACACACCTGTATTTTTTATTCCGTGACTGAACAAGACCGAACTGAGACTGAAATCACCAAGCGTTTACACCTGAGCGGTAAAATATTGGTCGGAAACAAGTTAGTAAACTGTCGCAGTCATAGAAGATACTTACATATAAAAATCAAGAATTTTCGCCACTCGCTTCGGTTGGGCAGGATTCTAAAGACTTATTGGAATTGACGAGGAAGAGATAATTTATATATTTTTTAACCACCCCATTATCGTTATAATGTTGGCATTGGTTATAAGTGTTTAGAGGCATTGAATAAAGCTGTATTATCGCATTTTATACGTTTTGATTTGTACAGTTGACTAAAAACTTACTTAGTATTTTGTAGGATTTAAATGTCGGTATAATTGATGTGGAATGGTATATCGGTATAATTGATGTAATTTTTAATTATAACAAATATTTTTTTTTACTTTAATAAATACTACAATTGCAACACAACTACTACATAATGCAATCACGGGAGATGACTATAAAAAATAGAAGGGGTGTAGTCTTATGGAGAAAGAAAAGGTAAAATGGAGTAATTAAAAAGTTATAAATAAACACATTTTTGTATTTGCCAAAAATTAAAAGAACTACAATAAATCGATTTTATCATTTTTTCCATTTATTTTCCAGAACAATCCTCTTGCAATGATTCATCACTGGATATGACGTTCATTAGATCTGTATTGTTCAACTTAGCTAATACTAATCTGACCATTTCATTGGGAAGTCGTGGTAAACAAATTACGCTAAAGGCAATCAGATTGCAAAGTGACGTCAAAGCCATATTTATTAGTTTGTATCTGAGCTTAGCATTTTTCAAGAGATTGTTCAAAGTATCTGAATAAATTGGCACAACATGCTTTAAATCAGTCAATTCCAATGTCTCTACAAAACTGGCGTTGGCGATATAAATCGGATCCTTTAACTGTTTTAATATATCATAATAAGTGAGATTACCGTATCCTATTCGAGTGGTTTTCATAATTTCTATTTCATCTTCACAGCTTAGAATGTACATATGAATAGGACTCGGATGTTTGCAGCTCTCGACTACATTTAGATTCTTTTCATGCAATGCCAACCCTGCCAATTTTAGTTTCACCATGTGCTCTTTGAGTAGATTTACAATCGAGTTTGGCCCAGTTAACATTCGTCTAGTTAGTCTCGTTTCCTCGTTGTAGTCAACGTAATGACAATCTATGTAATCGTACGGAACCCTTCCACTACTACAGACAGCATTCACATCAGCTCCAAACTTCAGAAGAATAGAAGCAGATTCTCTCTCATTGTAAATACAAGCAAGATGAAGAGGGGTTCTTCCATTATCATTTCTACAGTCAATGTTTGCTCCATGTTCTAGTAAGTCTTCGACAATGCGTGGTGATATTCTGATCGCAATATGCAGAGGAGTTGAACCATTTTTGGTACGAGATTCCAAGTTAGCTTTTCGTTCCAATAACAGCTTGACAATACTTCGTTGTCCTTCCTCTATGGCTGTATGTAAAGGGGATCTTCCTTGCAAGTCTTTAGCTTCTACTTCAGCGTTGAACTGCAGTAACTTCTCAAGTATGCTACAATGACCTCGTTGGGCTGCAATATGAAGGAGTGTCAATCCGTTTGAGTTTTTATAATCAATTTTACAGCCAGATTCTAGTAAAAGTTGAACTACGCTGGAGTTTCCTTCAAAGACTGATAAACATAGGGCGGTTCTATGAAAGTCATCTTTTGCCTCTATATCAGCACCGTATTTCAAAACTATATCCAACGTACTTGTATACCCTCTTTGGGATGAAACATGAAGAGGAGTCAACCCTAGTTTACCTTTGGACATTACATCAGCGCCTTTCTCCAATAGTGTCTTGACGACTGCGCAGTGTCTTCCTTCGATTGCATAATGAAGAGGCGCTCTTTCATCTCCGTCTTTTTTCTCTATGTTTGCCCCGTGTTCTATTAGAAGAGCAACAACATGTTGATGACCTCGCAAGGCGGCTACATGGAGAGCAGTAAGTCCACATTCTGTTTCAATATTTACGTCTGCCCCCTTTTCAAGCAACAGTTTACATACTTTACTGTGGCCACCCTCTATAGCCAAGTGAAGAGGAGATTTCCCCGATTCGTCAATACAGTTTATATTGGCGTTGAAACTTAAAAGGTTTTCAACTATTTCTAAATGCCCCCTCTTTGCTGCCAAGTGCAAGGCTGTTAGACCACCTTTTATTTGCTGATTCACATTGATTCCACCTTCAAGTAAAATTCTAACAACAGAACTGTGCCCTTTGCGAATTGCCAAATGCAAGTGAAACTCTTCACTATCATTGGTTCTATCCTCTGCCATCGCTTTATTGTTGGGTGTCACACAATTGTTAGAATATTGATGTTAAGTAGATCCGAGTTAAAAACTATTTAAAATTATATCTTTAATTTTTTGGTGTGAATATTTTAGTAGCAATCTGCTTTTAATTCTTCGTGAAATCTATATACTGTGATTCTAAAATTCGTTAATCACTTTGAATTTTACAAACTTCTTAGCTTGTTGATATGCCAGTGTTTGCTATCAAACTTAAAATAGCATGTTGGTGTGCTTCCGTACAATACTACCTGGAAACAATAAATATGTTTTTGTCTAAGCAATACAAAATTTAAAATACATAAATAATCTATTGTGCATCGAATATTATCTTATGATTCAAAGAACACTCAATTGGCATCAATCTGGTGCCTGACATAAAACACAGTTAAATCAAACCAGGCACAACATGCTACAATATAGAACGAGAAGTCCTCTAACATTAAACAAATTAAAGTCAATGGTGTAATAATTTATTGTCCTCTTCTAATCCATGGCATTTGGGATAAACTAGTATTGTTTAGTCCTCAACAACAATGTTAAGTCAGTTCCAATTTCTTTTGTTTTTAGCAAATTTTCCATATAGGGAATAAGCTATTACCGTACTACTCATGGTAAGACCTGAACCCGGGGCCGATATATACCCCCCGGTGTGTGTGTGTGTGTGTGTGTGTGTGTCTGTGTGTCCGTTAGCACGATAACTCGAGCAAAAATGATCCGATTTTGATTAAATTTGGTATACTCGTGTAAAACTACATTTATTCAAACACGAACCAGTATGATCGGTTTTATGGGGTAAAAATTGGGTTTTCTCATTTTTGACTCTAAAAACATAAAATTCCTTTCCACACCATTTTGTAGATCTTAAAAAAAATAATTTAGTATATTGAAACGTTATTATGCGCCTAATTGTTACGGAGAAAATTGCAAAAATTGTAAATTTAAAATTCGCCCATGTTATTCTATCCGCCTTTTTAGCTGGAGAATAAAAGTAAACTGTTGTTGTTTGATTGTTCATGAGCATATTTTGATCACATTAGGAAAATGCTTTTATTCCATACTAAACTATTACCATAAAAAAACACTTTTTCCGCTGCCTCTTGCAGCAAACCTAGAATGTTCGTTTAAACTATAATGCTATTTAAATAGGGAATAAATGTGATATTTTTAAGGGGGCCATTTAGTGTAAATCCAATTATGCAAATGGAAATTCCCTTAGTCTGCAGGTTTGCTGTGGCGGGGGTATTATTTATTATTTTAATTATATTTTTTTTATACGGATACTAGGTACCGAGCTCATAAGTTATAACGGAATTAATAACGGATTACGTTCATCTTACTCGGATTTTTAGGTTTAATTATACATGTGTGTGTATAATTATGGTGTATGCTAGTTATGCATTACTCTTACCAATACCGTTGTAGGTCCATGTTGATTTTCCTTGACATGCTAACTGCTAACCACTAGTATAAGATCTGATAAGATGCGTTGGAATCGGGTCAACTATTCCCAACTGCAGCTATTTCTGCAAGAGTGATTGACATACCAATCAGTTTTAAATCAATCGTACAGCGCTTCTCTACATCGGCGGCATCGACGCATTCGTAGCGAATTGTGTATTACATTGAATAAGTAATACAAGTAAATCTCAACACTTAAAGAGTATTTTAGATCAATTAAATTTTAAGCTTGAGAGAAAAAATTGACAGTTTTGAAGAGTGTATGAATTACGAGTTATTATTTAAAACCATAAATTACTCACCCAACGGATTTTGGACTATAGGATGAAAATAGTAGGTTAAAAGGCCTTTACTGCCTGTAATAATCACCACATATCAATTAAAGTTGTCGTTGATTCAGGGACCCTTGTTATTACAAATGCTCACTATATTCTTTCTTAATGGATGTTTTGGGCTTACATTTTATTCCGCTTTAGATATCTGCCCCCTTTTATCCTAATGGTCATCATAATGGTAAATCAATCATCATTATTAATTATTGATCCCGCCAACCTAGTGGAGGAAATTAATTCCCTTTGTACCGAGAGGAACATCATCGTCGGATGTCTTTGCTTACTCCTACCTGTTTCATGTAGTAAACTATTGTAGTTTACTTTTGTTGAAGTCAACACTATGGTAACCTAATATCTATACCGGGTGTCCAAAACCACCCGTACACCCCTTTCAAAACGATGGAAACCATTTCTTACAAACAAAAATAATACAGAACTAGCTAAATTGGGCACGGTCTACCAAATGGTGATAATTTCAAATCCAAAATCAAACCGGAAGTGGCTTTTTCAGACCGGAAGTTGACTTTTTTTAATGTAAACTACCAATTTTGATTACAGAATCGGATTCTACGTTGAAAAATACATAACTTTTGTCTAAAACATTTTTTGAAAAAAACTTGTTTTCTGCCTCTAATGTCCCCTTAAAGTCAATAATTTTTGGTCATTCATCCGTCAAAGTTACTCGAAACAATAATAGAGAAAAACAATTAACAAAGATTACATAAAGACATGTGATAAATAGTATCAGCTGTTCATTGTAAACACCTTAACAATTGAGTTAAAGCTGGTCTACCCATTGCTTAGTTTCATTTTATTTTTAAAATAAATCATTTGTTTTTACATTTAAGTAGTCATATGTAACAATAAACTATAAAAAAATTAAACTTAGCAATGTGTAGACCAGCTGTTACTCAATTGCTAAGGTGTTTAAAATAAACAGCTGATTCTATTATTCATATGTCTTTATGTAATCTTTGTTAATTGTTTTTCTCTATTATTGTTTCGAGTAACTTTGACGGATGAATGACAAAAAATTATTGACTTTAATGGGGCATTAGAGGTAGAAAACAAGTTTTTTCAAAAAATGTTTTAGACAAAAGTTATGTATTTTTCAACGTAGAATCCGATTCTGTAATCAAAATTGGTAGTTTACATTTAAAAAAGTCAACTTCCGGTCTGAAAAAGCCACTTCCGGTCTGAAAAAGCCACTTCCGGTGTGATTTTGGATTTGAAATTATCACCATTTGGTAGAACGTGCCGAATTTAGCTAGTTCTGTATTATTTTTTGTTTGTAAGAAAAGGTTTCCATCGTTTTAAAAGGGGCGTACGGGTGGTTTTGGACACCCGGTATATATAATACGTGAAGCCGTTTTTTGTTAACGCAACTCCTCCCTTATTTGTGGACCAATAATGTCAACTAGGAGGTTTGAGTTATCATACAATTTATTATGTTTACATTTTCGCGAAATACAGTAGTTGATTTTGTTGCTTTCAAAATCATTTTTTTGAACTTCTTCTAAACTCCAATTCAATATTAATAATTTGCTAGGAATTCAATGCCTATTTACTTTGTTGTTATTACATTATCGGAATTTGTTACATTGCTATTGATGTATTGTTGATATATGCTGTTATTATCTATGCTTATTACTGGTTTTTATGTGCTTTAGTAATTAATTATTTTACTCCTGTTCTTGTGACTGCCAAATATGTATTTTTTATAAAATGGCGTATCCGTTGATATGAACACAATAATAATATAACCAATGACCTTGTATGATTTTTCGACTAATATTCTGATTCTTTTGTTTTTATTGTTCTGTCTGTTGTCGTTGTCAGCTGTCAGCAGTCTCAGTCTCTCTTTCACTCTTTTTCTTTTTCTTTGGGCTGTCTGCTATGTAATGTCAAAGGTTATGTGCAGTTTACAAATAATGTCGATGTAGAATCTGAAACTTTTAACATTGTTATTTTGACTCAAATTCACGAATTCATCCCTGCCAACAGTAGGCCTACCTACAGCTTTCAAGCAAAGAAGAAACGTTATAAAGTAGATTTAAAGACCACCTTGTTATAAGGTTAGTATAGTGACATTTAATTATCCAGTCATTACAGGAGGGTGCGTACATATTTGATTTCTCTACCTGCTACCTCACTCCTTCAAAATGGTCTAACTTAATGTTATTTTATCACTGTTGGCAAACCGTTAGATATGTAATTATGTGTACCTTAACTTAGTTAAAAGGAGAAGTTTAAAGTGGGTTACATACATTCTGTATATTTTCTGCTTAATTTCTTAAATAAATTAAGGGAAATGGGAAAAATCTTAATTGTAGCTTAAGGCTTACCTTAGGTCCAGGTTTGAGTTTATTAGGCCTAGTTCATAAACATAAAATATGCCTAATTGAGATTATCTTTATTTCATGAGAATTCTGTTCGCCTTTCAGGTTTCACTCCCTAGGTTTATGTCACACATATCAATGTCAAATTGTCGCGTAAAGTTATGGAACTTTGGCATAATAAAAGTAATCAAATGTTCTCTTACAAATTTCAAATTCAAATAGTTTATTTGGCCACTAAACATTACATAATAGGCTATCTTCCAATTTATTTCCAACCTAACCTAACTTATTACTGCTGACGACCCTTTTATCTAGGGCACAAGTCAATGTGACGTGCCACAATCAAGATAACCTAGATATTGTGTTACTTTGTAGTCTCAGCAATAATACCATTCAATGCTAACAGAAAGGCAAATAACAGTTTTTTTACTCCGGGATTGGCTGCTCCACCATCCTTTCTACGGCATTGGAAAGTTCTTGGACTGGTGAGCTCTGTAGATAAATTATTCTGAAAAGCACTCTCGAAAGAAGATTCTGTAATAGGCCTACTGTAATATAATTGACGCAATTTTCAATCTTAATGATTAGTAAATAAAGATCTCTCTCTCTCTCTTTCTTTTTTTGTCTATAGTTTCTGAATGGTTTGACCAGTTCTTCTCTCTGCTTCATTATTAAAAGGGCATTATTTTCAGAAGTTTAAAACAAAAGTGTACAGTAGATAAACCTGTTAGGCTTAACCTAACAAACTTTTGATGATCAACCAAAGACATGACTTTTAGTCAAAACAAGCTTATGGTAAGTTTAATGGCAATAGTGTTTCTAGTGTGGAATTATTTTACTCATATAAAATATGATAGCGCTAGTCAGCCATAATTTATATTATTTTAGCAACAAAAAACAAAAACAAAAAACAAGTAATACTTAAATACTTTTCAATAAAATGGCTACCTTATAAAGTAGGTATTTTAAGCCAAATATGAATGTAGATGAGTGGCACAATTTGTGATCATTGCCTACCTTTTGTTTAAGGAATTTGACAGAGTTCAAGTTCCAATTAAGTTTAACCTTTTCAAACTCAATAACTGAGAAAAAGGTCAAGTAGTGATGTATTACATGTACAACATACAGTCAAAAATCACCCCTAAATAATAAATAAACTATTAGATTGCTAAAAAAGGTTGATGTTGATGAAAACCAGAGTAAAGATTTTATTTGGTTCCTCATTTAAATAAAAGCTAACTTAATTATTACAATCAGCTCTGTTCTAATACACTTTTTTAATAATTGATTTGAACTTTTCAGGTACCATCACTGCAGAGGGATGCAATAATTAGAGTTTGAATACACTGACAAACTACAGTATCTACAACTAAAACACAATCAAGAATAATTAAGATTGGTTTCAAGAAGTCTAAACCAGAAATATAATTTCTTCAATTAATTTACTGTTGCATCTGTGAATAGGACAAGAGAAGATAATGAGTCTGATAGAGAGTAACCCCTTTAAATAGATCCGGACCTACACTTTTCTTACGATGAAGAATTTCTATGTAGTCAACTTCAAAATTGAATTTTAGTATTTAGTATACTTAAAATACAGTAAAAAATGAGTTTGGTTAATAGACTAATTGCTGGAGATACAATAAACAATGATCTTTACAAGGCAATTTTTTCTGGAGACACTGCAAAAGTTAGCTCAATTATAGATTCTTATGGCCTATCCCACCATCCAAAATGGGCTGATGGGGAAGATCTACTTCTGACGGCAGTTGAGTGCAAGAACTTGGAAATTGCCAAACTGTTGATGGAAAGAGGATGTAAAACTGGAGAAGGGCGAAGCGTGCCTGATTTGTTGAAAGAAGCTATTTGTTTAGCTGTAAATAAAGGTGATTGTGAACTCATCGAGATGATTTTGGGGAAAATGAATAATGCAGAATCTAAAGCAAATTTTCTAGACTCTTTAAATTTGTTACACATCGCTGTTAGCAGTAAGCAAAAAGAGGTAGTAGATTTGTTGCTATCATACAAAGCGAATTTAGATCGTAAAACTAAAAATGGTGAGCTTACCCCTCTACACATAGCAGCAGTGAATGGGAATCAAGAAATTGTAGAGTCACTTTTAAACGCTGGCTGCAATTTGGAAAGCAAAGATGAAAAAGGGAATACTAGTTTAGCCCTCGCTGTATCTGTTGGGAACATAAATGTGGTGAAAACTTTGGTACATCGTGGAGCTGACTGTAATTGCAAGAACAAATGTGGTTTGAGTGCACTGATTAATGCCACAAGTAAAGGTTATGTACACATTGTGGAGGATCTGCTGGCCTTCGGAGCTGATGTCAATGATGAAAACTCTCTTGGACTGACTCCTCTGCATATAGCCTGCATGCTAAAAAATAAACATATGATTTCGGTGCTACTCGATGGTGGGGCAGATATCAATGCTATGGACTGTTTTGGGTCTGTTCCATGTGACATCATTTTCAAGAAACTGTCACCAGGCACTATCTTTTTTGAGAATCCATCTCTTTCGTACTTCCTAGCCAAGCAGTTAGCAATTTTAAAAACTGGAGGATTTTACTTGAACAAGAAGAATGAAGCATTGTACAATAGGTTTTGTAGCATGTATTGCAACGACATCACAGTGAACGATTCCGTTTTGTCACCTTCATCTTATGTAATGGCATCAACGATGAAAAGCTGTGTAGAAGAGATTATAAAAATGAAAAGTATTAGAAATAGTGGGTTTACTGTCTACAACATCTTTCAAAAATTTAGAAACCCACTAAGCTTAGTATCCGAAAATGAAATTTTATTTTTACAATCGATGGATTTAAAAAATGAATTCCCCATGTACGAAAGTATAATGAGAAATGGTCTGAAAAGGGTCAAGTTAAGAAACAAGCTGGTTGCATCAGGTCAAGAATGGTTTATGTTCATCAACCAAAATAGACTGGATGATGTTGTTTTCCTGCCTGAGGAAATGAGGATACACATAATTTCATTTTTGACTGATGAAGAAATTAAACAATTAATAACATGTGGGGAGCAAATTCATAGACAAAAAAACTGTTGATTACTCAACTGGAAGCTAACAAATTGACTTTCTTCTTGTGTTCTTTTTATTTTATTTGAAACATAGTTTTATAATATCAGAGCTTAAAATGAGATGAGAGTCAATGCTTTTGCTGAATCAAGATCAGCTGTTTTTTTCCATTTGATTTCTTAGGGCTTCATCATTGTATTAATGGTCAAAAGTTTCATTTACAAAGGCTAAAATACTTATGGCGATTAGTAATGTTTTAAACGTATGATAGTTATTGAAGTATTATTTGTTTTATTGCCATGTATCTTAAACCAAAAACAAGTTTTTGATGGGCACAATAATAACAACATTAAAAAAACCAACAACCAAAAGCCTATGTGTAGCTTGCATGCACAGTTCTTTTACAAGCCACATTGGATATTTTCTTTTATATGGTATGATTGTACCAATAAAATATTTGTCTATCATGGAAACTTTAAAAAATTTGTTAATTGTATTAAATTTGGTGTTCTTTCTGTTAGTCCAACAGTACTTCCAGTACACATTATCCATCAATAATAAAATTTTTTTTATAGAATCTATTATTGTAAATGCAAGCTTTTATATATTTCATTAAGTTACTGGTGTCCAGTACTACCTTTAAAACATTATTTTATTCTTGGTTAGATAATTTTGAACGTTTTGTATTATTGACTGTATTTCCTAGAGTTTTTTTTACGATATTTAATCATAATGTTCAGTTGTAAATATTTTGTATCATATATAGTCTTACTTGAATAAATTATTATACTTATATTTTATTACTGGCTAAAACTTATTTACTTAATTTCAGTTAACTGTGAACCAAATGCAAGCAGCAGACATAATTTGCTGTTATAAAAATGCAGTGTAGATATTTTCCAATAATCAAAAGCAAGTAAAAGTATTGAATCTAATGCTTTATTTTTGTAAAAAAATACAACCGACTTCAAACGCTCTAAAAAGAATGAAATAATTTCAATAAAGTAAACTTTTGTATTAGGCAAGCTCACGTACTTTAAGTCGGCGCGGCTCTATGATGATTTTTTATACAAAATTGAAAGAGGATGTCCATATTGCAGGCGACTATCTATAACTATCTGCATGTCTTTTTCATAGTTATGCGTTAATTGTTATTTTATTACCGTAATCAGAGATCGGCATTATAGTGGTATTAACGAGTATCTTTAAAAAGATTATAACGCATTTAAATGTTTCTAACTTGGAAAAGTAACGTTTTAATACTAAACTAGCTTCTTTTCCCTATCATAATATCAAAATAAATTATTTTCCTATTCATATAGAACATTTGTGTGTGTTATTTTCATAATGCATTTATTCTGAAGTAAACATAAAATACAAGAAAATATTTCCTTTAATATATAAACAAAACAGTTCAGTATGTTTTATCCAGCTACAATTTATTGATTTTCAAAATACACACACAATATTTAATTTCAATCATATTTGCAGTTTGAGCCGCGCCGACTTGAAATACGTGAGCTTGCCTAATACAAAAGTTTACTTTATTGAAATTATTTCATTCTTTTTAGAGCGTTTGAAGTCGGTTGTATTTTTTTACAAAAATAAATTATTTCATGATTTTTAGTGACTGCATAATTTTTTATATATTAATTACTTGAGGATTTTTGATAAGCAAAACTGTTTGAAACAATCAAAAGTTCCACAGAACAATCATTATTTTAAAACTGCTTGAGTCACCTGTTCAGGTTACATAATCAATGGGCATGAAAATAAACATCTTTAGATATTCTTTAAGAAAGAAAGGGTTGCCCATTAAATTAGGCCTAATGAAAAACTAATTGTCTTTTCTAGATACATTGAAATGTCAGACATCATCGTTTCCTGCAATCAGTGTACTTCTACATTATAAAAAGAAATACAGAAACGTCTCAAGCCTTTTGGAACAATATGAAAGTTATTCCTCAGCTACCAGCACTAAAAAATCTCTCAAAAGTGGAAAATTGGTCGTTAACACCATAGTACCTTTCGTATAGTACCTTTGGAAAATATTATATGAAAGATTGGTTCAGCTAAAAGTGGTGTAAGTCATGTAGGGGATTTTGTTTGCTCAAGATATAGCCTAGTCGAAATTGCAAATCATCTTCCTCTAGGACTTTCCGAAGCAGGCATAATAGTATTGATATGTTATAGTAAACTGGGTAGAGAATATTAATAAACATTCCACATCTGCAAATGAAATATGTATATGAAAGATTGGTTCAGCTTAAAGTGGTGCAAGCCATGGAGGGGGTTTTGTTTGATCAAGATATAGCCTAGTCGAAATTGCAAATCATCTTCCTCTAGAACTTTCCGAAGCAGGCATAATAGTATTGATAGTAACTGGGTAGAGAATATCAATAAACATTCCACATCTACAAATGCATGTTTAGTAATTAAAATATTTAACTCAATTGACGATTATGCACTGTCACACTTCTTAGGTCGTGTAAGGAATAATTGCATTTGATTTATATTTAGACCTGTTTTACGAATGCTTTGGTTTTCACAATACACCTTTATTTGTCAATATCATACAGCTATTCACTGAAACACATATGTTTTTGTAAGTCAGAATATTCAATACTAAACACAGAATTACTGTATACACAAATCAGGTTAAACGTTAAAATACATTTTTTATAGTAACCAAAACAAAATGCATTTTTCTCAATGTAATTCATTTAGGCTCCATGGCAAGAAATAGTTTATTGATCAATATGAAGCAACTGTTCCATGAAGAATTGTCTGTAGCTTCATTTAAACTAGTGTACCTGTTGCTTGAAATCAAGCAATTGTCAAGTACCGGTATTATACAGAAGTTATTTTAAAACTACAGTAATAACAGTCATAATTTTCGATGAGTTTAAAAGACCCGACAAAATGCTTATGTAACTAATTGAAATACTCACACTATTTAATAGCCCCTTTGAAATAATAAACGCATCTTGTAAAAATATTTTAGCATTTTTTGGACCCGGCCTTATTTTTTAGTGTTTTCTACAAATGTTTCCCGACTTAAAGCTGTTACCAGTAAACATTTCTTGCATGTATTTATTTGATCTGACTTGAAGTTGGTTTACTTTACCACTGTGACTACATGATGAGTATATTCTTCATGTTTTTTTCTTTTTTTACTTCCAAAATAAGTTGCTTAGCATAACTGGCAAAAATGATTCATCCACCCAAGTGATTGTGTACCTGGATTCCTTACTGTGAGACCAGGCCTCTCCTCTACTCTTCTCATACGCACAAGATTTCCTATTAATTGTCTCCTCCTCCTGTTTTCAATATTTCTCCTTTAAACTCAAGAAATTGTCTGTTCTTCCAACAAAAATGATTGTCTGTTTAGATTTGTCTATAACCTCCTAAATATTACAAACATCAATATTTACTCCCAAAAAGCTGGTGAGCTTCATTTTATATACAGCTGTTTTTGTTTTTAAATTTGTTTTCAATGTGATTCTTATGGGGGAAAATGCAACCTTTGAGAGCGTATCGTGCCCTTAAGGGTAAGAGTTTTAAAATTCTAAAACCTTTATGCAAAACTACGAATTGAGACGAATTATTTGACACCTCAAACGTTGAAATCGGTCCAGAAATAAAGGAGGAGTTTTGTTCACAAAAAGCAGCCCTCACGTATTAATATAAGAGATGGTTTCAACTAACAGCTGTCGGAATGTTATTATTATTTATTGCCTTCTCTGCAAAAATGTAAACAATCTGCACAAATGTAAACAAAAAAAATGTTGAATATTTAAGGTTTTCAGAATTTTTCACCGAAACAAATATTATACTTAAACATAATATATAAGGTACCAAATAGAGACTCTCCTGGTTATTTTGGTGGTGGAACCACACTGATCGGTAAAAGAATCACAGAGAAATTGGTGAACATACATAGAAAAAAAAAACATCGCCACAAACAAATTGAGAACCTCCTCCTTTTGTTGGTAGTAGGGAAGTCGGTTAAAAATGAAACATTGTCACTTTTAAATTTGTAATGAGTTGTAATTTGAGCTTTAATCCTGCAGTGTATTTTTTTAATTTATCCTAAATGTGGTAAGCAACTATGTTCAGTATAATAGGAAACATCAAGCAATAATAGATCTGTCCTTTGAATTGATGCAGTAAGAAAGGGCACAGCCCTACCAGTCATCGCCTGGATTGGATACTAGATTTTACTGGGTTAGTTGAAAAGATAAATACTCTATTTTTGTGCTAGGAAAATTAGGTTTTTTACGGCATAAAATTTTTTTAACACGTTCGCTACTGAGCGTCGCATAAATGCGATGCCGCGGTCATTGCCACAGACCGAGGTATACATTTGAATCTTACACATAGACCGGCTGTCACTTGGATAACAGTACACACAGACCACGGGCGAAAACCTGTAAAACAGTGATCATTTACATTGTAATGCTACAATCGTGTTTGTAAATAAATTATTCTTGGTTATTTTGTATTTTTTATAACCTTTTGTAATGTCGCATATTTGCGACGCCCGGTCTACAGCGAAGACAATAGTGAAAATTATCATAGTTTTCTTGAAATAGACTAAACGTCGCATATATGCGACAGTTCATTTTTTTGTGTTTTAAGGTGAAAGTAAGAGAAAAAATAAACAGATTATTCAAGAACAGTTTATAACTGAACAAATATAAAAGCTACATAGGGTAATGCAGCATACATACTGCATACATACATACAGTGATGCAGAAAAGTAAAGACCAGTTTTTCCAACTATTATATGACGTCACCAATCATCATATCCACAGACCAAGCGACACAGTTGTGCGTCAGACATCTCTGTAGACCACTGCAGGGAATTCAGTGCCTTCAAATAGACCACTACAAAGATATAAGAATTTTAATAACATTAGAACCCCGACGCAAATATGCGTCGGCAGTCTATTTTAATGTGACTAGCTGTCGCATATATGCGACGGCAGTCTATGGGTGGAAACCGGCCGTCGCATTTGTGCGTCGCTGGTCCATGTGAATGGAAAATTTCGTACTATTGCAGTAGCGAACGTGTTAAAGAAGTCAAGATACACACAAAATTACACTATTGGTTGCGTTTTAATGGTTTTACTGAAACTAAATACTGTAACAGGATATTATTTAATGAGTGGAGCAAATCAATGTCAAAGGAAGAATGATTTTTTATCTAGTTTCATATATTGTGAGGGATGGCACATGCTTTCTCCTGTATGATTATTTATGATAGGTGCTCAAGAACTATAGCTGTCAGAAGTTCTTGATATTAGTTTTAAACGTGTTTTCCATTATTAAAAAGAATATTTGATTTAATTGAATAGGTAAGAATAGACCGGTCCCGAAATTTCAGGAAATGTTCAGGGGAAATATATTTTTCATTTTCAAGAGCAAATTAGATTTAATTTAGGATTTTCCTGGGACAGGACTTGTTTCAACCATCAGCGATTGTGCCGCGTTGTGAGTGACGATGATAACGTCTCTGAGATCAAGGAAGATGTCCTCGATTTTTCCACTATTGCGGCAAACAATAATGATGTCCTCCATGATCGTTGGTGATGTCACGATTTCTTCGAACCCACAATCACGGATTATAGTCATGATGCCATTGTGATGGTATACACACGTGGTGCACTCCTGGCCCCGCGGTTTGAAATCAACCATAATCAATATTTTATTAGGCAATAATATAGAAAATAAAATAAGTTCCGAAAACCGATAAAAAAAAAATTGGAAAATAAACTGTTAACTCAATTAAGACTTCCACCTTTACTAACAAGACCAAAATACCCTTAAACTCAAAATAAAAAATAAAATGTCCTTCCCCTGTGTCTAGGTTGCCTACGATTTTTAAGCGGTAACGGTAACATACAGAATCCCACTGCTGTGCTGGATTGTCAGATGCTGAGCTGGCAAAGCCAAGAGTTATAGTATGGCTGGTCTGGCATCTTAATAATATTTAAGGCTACAAGGCCGGGAAGTAGCAACTGATGAGTTGTGAATGATACTTTTCGCCATACCAGCAACAAGTTTTTATATCAGGGTTTTTGCTAATTCAGACATATCAACTAACTTAACTTTATTAACCTAATGAGTGATTCCAAAAATTTTGTCATTTTGAAAAAATGGCATGCTCACTCATACTGTTTTGTATTTATCAAGCAACAGATTTGATCTGATTTCTTTTGACTAATATTTTATCATAATGCATCTTCTGTAACACATTTATTCATAGATTATGTCGCAATACTCTACACAACATCTGTCAGTGTTAACAAAACATTAGTATCGTTGCAGTGAGTCTTTATGACGTACAGGGGATCGAGCACACACAGCATGAGCATACAGAATTAATAGTGGGCAAGACTATTTGGTGTGAGAGAGGTAGCTTGGCCTATTAAAAAACCGTTAAATACCAAACTACAGCTAACCTTACCAATTATTGTTAGGTTGACAAAGGAATTCCAGGAAAAAAATTAAAATAAAATAATCAAATTTATTCACAACTTTCATACAACATACAAAACAGCAAACATTCAAATAAATAAAGGCAAAACGACTAGCAATGGACACTTATCGAGGGGAAGAAATCCAACCTCCAATAAATAAACCTGCTTTCATTGGGAAGTAATACTGGTTAGTCTAGATAAACATTTATTTTGATTTCGCTTACCTTATTTTAGTTTTATGTTAATCAACTTATTCTATAGAAGTAGTTTTAAGGCTGTTGATTGTATTGCCTTTAAGATCACTTTAGTAACCCTATTTACACTTAACTCTATATTACAGCAATAAACTGTATTGAAATATGTTGTTCTTTGTTTTGCCATGTACAGTAAATAAGGAGTTAAACATTTGAAACTGAAGTTTAATTTACTAACAATAAATTAAGGTAATTTTCTCTCAATTTAATGTACACGATAAGTATGCTAGGTACAAACCAGCAAACATAAAGTGCTAAATGTTTTGACTTTGAGTCTCAGCATATTATTCTGTAACTGCAGTTTTATAAGTTATTTAAAAGGGAACTTTAAGAATATACAAAAAAATTTAAGAAGTATAAATAAAATCTATTGTCAAACCAAATCAGTTGAACATGAACATTGTGATGAGACATATTGGTTTTTGCAACTGTTACGTAATAAGATTTATTAATATTACTATCAGATTTATACAAATTTATACCCTTTAAGATGACACCATAAGTTTAAAACCCCATTGGATGGAGCACTAGGAACGGAATTATAACATATTATCTATAAATAATTATAATGATAGAGTATCATGGGATAATTATTTGTTTCTGTAAAGAAAATTACCTTTTTTCAAACTTGATTCGATCCATAACAATTATTTACACACATTTAATGTACATTTCAGGTACATTAAAACCGGTAAAATTTGATCTAACTAAAATTGTATCACATTAATTCTTTACAGAACATGAAACTAAATAGGTACAAATATAAAATTGTAGAACTATGGAATTTGTACTTTTTCAGACTGTTAACCATTAATAGTTAGGCAGGTAGCTGGCCTAAAATGAAATTCAACAACCTACTTTAAAATGGCAAAACTTAAACCTTAATTCATATAAGATAACAATGTTTAAACTAATACTTAAAATATAACAAACATTAAAGCTCACCATTATAAGTTTGGCGTTAACAAATAAGTTTGTCTATTTGTTTGTGCTGAATTAAAATCAAATAAACATCGTATAGTTAAACCTAGTGAAAAAAAAACTGTCTTTTACTATTATTCTTTACAAAACTAAAGAAAAATAAAATTAAAACTAGGCGGCCACGGAAAATAATAAAAAAACACTGATGTAGTATGAGTAAAAACCCAATGACGTGACAAATCTAGTAGGCCTACTGTACTTACTTGTAAAAAATACAGTTAAATGTAGTATTGAGTTGCTCGAATTTTGCTCGACCTGTCTCGAATTTTGAAATAATTAGGCACTTTACTGGATTATTAGTTTTGAAAAGACAAATTGTTTGCCATTACACAATTTTGAGTGTTCTCAACTCGTTTTTTAGTTAACAATAAAAACAACGATGCTGCCCCATCAGTGACATAGCCTATTATGATTTTTTTGTGTATGTGTCCAACCGATTGACACATCATCTCTCTGATCCTGTCACTTCACAATAAAACATTCAGTCATTTTTATTCATATTCTGTAAATGTGAAGCTTAATAAGCACCTACCATGCTTGTTTAAAAGTTGTTCATAATTACGTTGTTTTTTTTTCAACAACTGACATTGTAACCAACAACTGGTGAATTAACTTCAGAATCGGAGGTGCTGAATGAATGAAAAACTGGCAGTACAAAAGTAATTCCAGTATCAAGTTGGATTTGGAATTAAAATATTTAGAATCTCCACTACGAATAAACAGCGATCAGCTTCGATCTGTTTTGATTAAACGGCAGAGTAAAACACGTTCTCAGTACTTGAGTACTGACCCAGTTTGTCTCAGTAACTAGTACAAATGACCCAAGAACCCAAAAAAATACTAGACTCGTCACATCACTATATGAAACTGGTGTTTGAAAGTAAGTTTTGGCAGAAATGTCGCTGTTCTCGGGAAGTTTACAAACCACCTCCACTTCTCTCGACTGAAATCTTCTTCTTGAGAACATCTTTTTCATGTTGTTCGTGTTCCATTTCCGCCATCTTGGCAAACCGGGAGTAAGCGATGTGCCCAGACTTGATAGCTGACATCATCTAGATTCCACAAATATTGTAAATGATTTGTTAATGACAATCATTATGGTAGTTCAAGAATATAAAATATCACGAAAGAATCCAAAATGTGTCTACAAGATAAGTATTTAAAAATATTATAGCAGATTTTTTTTTATTGATGATTATTTTACTTTAAATTTTCTTCCAAATTTTTGAATATTCTAAGTGCCAGGACTTTGTTAGGTTTTGAAAAATGAGCATTTCTTTATCCTTTGGAATAACACGTTAAGTGCGGTTGTACAATGGCCGGCCACGTCCAGTGGCTAATGTGCTGCTTGGTTGAGTGTGTAAAGCATTTAAATTTAGTTTCATCCAAATGAGATGCATATATGTACTGCGCTCCTGTCATTGTGGGTGTAGTTTAAAAGAACCCAACAGATAACCGATAGCAGCACTAAACAAAACTGCTAGCAGGATCTCAGTATTGCTAAATGGAGGGAAAAAGCGGCGACAAAAAACCCAGGTACGCCATCAAAAAATACCGCAAAAAAGGCGCCAAGCACAATTTTGAGGTTCGGTTCCTTCCACAATGCTACACTACAGTAATTAACTAAATCCAAGACAAACCCCCGTTACCCGTGTGAGGCTAAGCTCACACTGGACCAATACTTTAGAGTTAGGAATGCTACGTAGTTTGTTGCGCGCGCCAGTTCCGCACTACATTAAATAGCTTAGGCCGCACTCAACGTGTTAAAGGAATTACCCTCATCATTAGAAGACAGCTGGTTTGACCAACTTGTTAACTTATTGAATTACCTAAAAAAAAGCAAAGAGTAATAAATATAATCAAAACATCTCATTGATCAAATAAGTCACATTTTTGTGCAAGGTCAAATCTAAATTAATTATGCTCAAGATTGTTTGGTTCATCCATGCAGGCATTTGTGTTGGCACATTAGTTCAAATTATCTCATGCTTCCTTAGATTGGGATTAAAGATAGATCATAGGGTTAAACTTAATTGTGCATTTATGTCAAATGTCTTGCATTTCATTTGAACATGTACAATATATAAACAAAACATTTGACAATTGAAAAAGTATTTTATTATTTTGCAGGACCAATATCTTCAATACATTTTCATTTTAAACATTAAAGTTAAATTCCAGCAAAAGCAATAAAGCTCGATGCAACATGTTAAGCCCACTAGCTGAACACTGGTACAAAACCCTTTTAATACAACAACTTTTTCATCACAACAACCCAAAAATTGCACATATTCCTGAATTCAAAATACTGCATTTCATTCTACAAATTTATGACATGTACATGCAAAAGGTTAAGTTCATGCAATGAAAAATCAACAACACTAACATGTAAAGGTCTTCAACATAATCTAATATGGTGACAAATGCAATATCAAACACACACTTCTTATTTGGAAGTTTGTATAGAACAGGTGCAACAAATTAATTGAACAACAGACTCAAGCATGAACATGAACACACCTGGAGGTATTCATCCAGTTCAACCTGGCCGTTCATGTTTGTGTCAATCTCACGGAGAATTTCGTGAAGCTCTTCACCGGGAACATCTGCTTCTCCAAAGGTCTGCAACATACTCTCTAGTGTCAAAAATTTCTCAAATCCTTGTGTTGAACAATATCACAAATGTGGCAAATCCCTGTGATGAACAATGTCACAAATTTCTCAAATCCTTGTGTGTTGGACAATATCACAAATGTGGGAAACGCCTGTGATGAACAATGTTACAAACTTCTCAAATCCTTGTGTTGAATAATATCACAAATGTGGTAAATCCCTGTGAGAACAATGTCACAAATTTGGCAAATCCCTGTGATGAACAATGCCACAAATTTGGTAAATCCCGGTGATGAACGATACTGTAAACACTATAGCTAACTGGCTTGCCGAAGTCCTGAATAGTTGTCTCTCAGTTAGATGTTGACTGTGTCAACCTGTTACGAACCTATGCAATCCCTATCTGCTAAGTGCTTAGATTTCATAAGTAATTCCAACTAATCAATGGCCTGTAAGAGATTGCCTGTAATTCACAATCTAGAGTTTTTTTAAGCTAAAACCATCCAAATAATAGTTCACGAGATGAAACACAAAATCATGTCACTTATGACAACAAAGACATTTATTAGTGTTCCAAAGCATATAATTTTGGATTTGAAGGAAGAGGGAAAAATGTAACACACTTTCACACACACCTTAAACTGCATAAATATTAAGAATACCTAAACTGCCAGATGCTAGCCAAGAGGTTTGAACAAGAGCTAAGAAAACACAGGTATAACCTATAACCAACCATTAAATTTGTTGATCGTTTGGCGCCAAACAACAGACACTTGTAGTCTTAAATCTTTTCTTGCAGACCTCATCCCCTAATTTATGATCCTTTTGGATAACTTTTTTAACAATATAGACATATTGTTTTATTAGGAGGACGAAAAGAAAAGAGAATCCAAGAAAAAATCCTATAAACGGATAAAAACAACTGATTGACAACACATACAAGCTGTACAGTTATTTCTTTCTGCTCCATCTTCATTGCCAGACCGACAAACCTACCATTTGTACTAACTGATCCTAATTCCGCCTGCTTTCACCTATTCTTATCCTTGACAAAAGATACCTGTGCAACACGGAATTTGATGGACACAATTAATATACCTAGTAATTATAATCTTAACATGGTGAAAACATAACAGGACGGAAACAAGAAGAAAACTTGATGAAATGAATGATGAGTGAGCTGCACCCGTAAGCTGTACGTATGACACTTAGGCACGAGTCAAGTTTTACCTGGATATAATCCTCAAGTCGGATCTGATTGAAGTAAACTGGAGACGTTTCATTTACAAAGAATTTTACTTCTTCTTCACTATATTCTAACCTCAAATCCTGCAATCATGTCTCATTAAATACACAAATACCTTAAGTACTACTTAATGTGATTTACAATTTTTAGATAAAAATGCAATTGTGAAGCATTTAATTTAATTGATCTAGATTGTTTAATGAAAAACCCAGATTAGCGTGGGTTAAAAGTTTTTTTTCTCGCAGAACAAGTCTTCTAGTCGCTTTCTGCAGAGTATGCAGTCAATTGGCAGATGTTAGACAATACTGAGAAATCATAACATAACACGGAAAAGGAAAACTGACATGATACTTTGTAGTACCGTAATTTCATAGCCATTTTGACCCTTTATTTTGGAGGTAATTTGCTAACTTCAGAAAAACTGCTATTTTTGGATGGCACTAAGTATTCTCGGATTTTCAGTAACTTGGTAAGCAAGTCCTGAATTTGGCAAAGACCGGTTTAGCGGTGTTGTCATAAAAGATACATGTCATAAAAGATTCATACGGATTCTTTCGAAACATGTCTTGAATAAAAGTTCCAATCAAGTAACAGATTAAATACCAACACAGTGATAGAAAATCAAAATGTTTTTAGTTAATAAGATATAGATATTAAGATGTTCAACATATTTTTAAATTAATTGTTTTTCTAGTAGACAAGTAAAGATAAAAACAAATTAATTGAAGTTTTATATTTTTGTTTTAGCTATCTATACTGCTTTAAACGTTTAAAGTGGCTAATCCATCTGAAAGCAGTTCCATCTAACTGCCTAGCTCTGTTCTGTTCTCCTTCCTAGCTTTAAAACAGCTATTTTAAATTACGCATTCTCCCCAACATAAAGAAAATCTGTTTGTTATGTTTCTCCAAACATGGAATCAAATTCTATGTCATGGGAAATACTAGACAATAAAACCTACATTATTTCTTTTTGGGATTTAAAAAAGGAATAGATTTGAGCTAGCTCACATGAGAAAATTTAAATTAGAGTCTAGGGGCTAATAAATACACAATAACTATCACTCCAGTTTTGAACTTTTTCTGACATTTCTGATTTCTCTTCAACCTTCTTTCTGAACAAGTCCTCATCAGGACAAAATAGCCTCCCCTCGACAATAATTTTCTCAAGTAAGCCAGTTGAACTATATATCTTTTCAAAAATATCCTCAATTGGCACTTCTCAATAAAAAAATTTTCGCACCTGTAAAATGTCCTTAATAAAATATCTTGGAACAAACAAAAGATACTATAAATGTGATAGACTTGAACCAACCTTTAGTCCTCGTCTGATGTCATTGATGGACACGTAGCCCTTGCTCTCCTTGTCGATGATGTTGAATCTCTTGATGTACAGCTGAATCTCTTCCTTGGTCAAGTTGATGGGTATCTTGTCTCGTGAAGCGCGGTTCACCATCTGTCCCATCTCGTTGTGTAGGAACTCCACTGCCATGTCAAATTGTTTCTGTAAAAGATTTTAGATTTATTAATCAGTAAAAATTGGAATTGCACTAAAAAAGCCTACAAAAGTCTTCCTGTAGATAGCATGCATGTGAAAATTGTATAAATACCGGCAAGACGCGTAATGTTTATTTCTGTATGTATATAGTGGTTGTAAATACAAACATCGCTTGGTGGGATTTATTGTAAATACTACATAAATACTGCTGAAGATGAGCTGTAATACCCTCAAAAGCGGTACATTATGAAAGATAACTACGTTTGACACCTTCTGGCATACCTACTGATTTTCATCTATAATAAAAAATTGTAATAAAGCTTATTATTCAAGACATGTATTTTTATCTTGATATCGCTTTCAAATTGATTAACATTGACACCTTGATATTGCAACTGAAAAGCCCAGAAGTTTGAGATAAAGACAACAAGCAAGCTTCTTTAACGTTTTCAACAGCAAAATACACTGTAATTCATAATTAAAGTTTACATTAAACGCGTGGTTCTTAGCTCTTCTATCCTAACCATAAAATGATTCTGTCAACATCCGTTCCATTCTACCAAAGCACCAACCTTTTTCTCAGCTTCATTCCACTTGAGTTCTTCAGCCATGATGTCGATGATACCTGGAAGAGCCTCTTGCGCCGCCTGGACGTTGAGGAACGACAAACGCAGTCGTCGCGCGATCATATCAATGGCTGACATAGCGTACTCTCGTACTCCGTACCTGATCTGCAGACATAGGTGAGCTTGAAAATATTGTTTTAATGTAACTGACTGGGAAATTTGTCTTAATTTAGCTACTGGTGTGTTGAGAAAAAATATAACTGATAACTAAGTTCAATGTCTTGGCAACTCTTGCGTGAAGCAATAAGAAATCTAATTTCACTTGATGACTGTAAAAAATTTGAACAAACTCATGTAACTTCTGTGACATGATGAGCAAAGCTTTGCAAACTGTTTGTACACAATTCATTGAAACTAAGGTACAGCACTCATTGATACTTCAGTTTTATTTTGCATAAAAACATTAAGAGTGATTGAAACTGTGATACCTACAGCTAAAATTATTGTTCAGTATTGATATTATATGTCAGAAAAAGTTGTGTATACAAGAAATGTTGTATTGTAGTGTCAGAAGCCAATTAAATTGAATTATTAATTAAAAGGGCTACAACACAATAAATAACATTTGATTGGCATAATTTCTACATACATAAGACTCCCTCTTATCCGGACACTTTTTAACCGGACTGCACTCGGCGGAAATGACATCTCTTTAACCGGACAATTTTTATCAGCACATCGGTTTAACCGGACTAGATCGGCAGGCTGGTCGGTAATGAAACCACTGTTCTCTTGGGAAAGATTTCATACCAGTGTTGACGTGTCTAAATATAATGTTCTTCAAATACTATATACAGTATGCATTTAAACAGTCCGTTTTCACGAGTTTTTGGGGGACGTTGGTTTAACCGGAAACCCCATTATCCGGACTGGCCTCGTTCCCGAGGAGTACGGATTAGAGGGAGTCTACAGTAGTAATAAAAATATCATAGAAATATTTTACAATACAGAACATTGCTAACCTCAGCATCAATGTAGGGGAACTCTGGATGTATCTTTTTGCCGATGATGGGCCAGCGTTTGCCGGTCAGTGCAGCCAACTTAGCTACAGCAAACGCTCGGTCTCCATAGCTGTTACTGAGATGTTTAGCAACCTAGGATAAAAAAAACCACTTGTAATAATGTTAAATCTTAGACTAGCCATACAACTAGACATTAAATCACCATGATAAAGCTGTCACCATATTTATATCAAAATGGACGTAGTTGAAATGAGCTACCAACAGATTGCGCTGATGTAAATGGCTAATTTCTGTCACATATGCATACTTTTTAGCCAAGTCAAACTGACAGGATGACTTTTTGTGTGCTATGGCATCTTCTATGACACATCAAATATCTCAATAACAAATAATAAGGTAAAAAATAGAATCAAGAATTTAATTACCATAGACCTTTCTTTGTACAAAGGAATAGACATAGTCATAACAAATACAAAACTTTCCAATATAATAAATAAAATACAAAGTTTACAAAATTCTAGGTTAATTAAAATATGACAAGTCTAGATAATATGGATCATGTAGATACAAATCAAAATTCAATACAGTATTAACATTTGTTTTTAGAAATTCACGGATATCAAAGGATTGCTTATCAACCATTCACATAATTTAGATTTAAATATCTGGAAGGATACAGTTCAGGGTGAATCAGGTAATTTATAAAAGAAAAACGTATGCAGTTTAGTCTATGACTATTAATTGCTACTCTTTTTAAGTCTATGAGCCGGAATGTCTAACTGTAATTAAGAATTTTAGACACTAGCGCAATCTGTGACTCACTCACTGAACTACGTTCTATTTACTGTTTCGTTATATAACGGGAGGATGAGTTATTGTTTATAATTATATCGTTTTATTTGGCTAAACGGGGTTTTAAATAACTGAAATAACAATAAACAAATTGTAAACAAAACACAACATCTACAGTGCACTGGACAGAACTAACGATGAAATTGGCTTCTGCTGTTCCATAAGGATTGGAAATCTACTAAGGGAGATCGTTTTATCCATGCTAATAGTCAGTGGTTATATTGTATAGTATATGTGGTGTAATGCTTAGTTTAAGAATTTAACATTATAAGATCTGAGACAGAAAATAGCAATGCTTCTAAGTGCTTTACTGAATTTGGTAGGTCTTAATTGGGATTGTGATGTCCTATGGAATACACTCAGATAAAAACAGACAACAAATGGTTTGATGTCTAATAATATGTCACACGTTACAAAGCTTATTAGGTGTTCAAGAAATGAGTGGTTGGCCCAGCGAATTCAGAATAATAATAGAAGGGGAACAGGGAGTGTAAGTTGTCGTCAATTTTTACCAGCAAGTCAAACTCTGCTTTAGATTGGCTGTTACCAGGGTACTTATAATGTATACAAAATACTATTCCAGGATGTGAATTTGCTAACCTAATACAAAATGAAAACATACAGAAGTTGTTTTAAATGTAATGCATATAAAACTACTTTAACAACAAACTATTGATATCCACTGATATATATATATTATTTTACCTCAGTTTCCAGTCCAAAGTCTTGCACCAGACGTATATACATAGTGGGGGTCCAACCATGGGCTCCTTCTATCAACAGCCCGTCCGTCTGACACTCCATGTGAGTTGGCTTTAGATTGCATGCTAAACAAATATTTTAGGTTGCTTTAAAGACTAGTAAATGATTTTTCTTAGCGAGTTTTGACTCCAAAAAAAGTTTCATCATAATGTACAACAATTCACTTTTTAAGGCTTAAAGCGTCAGGTAATCCAACAAAATGTTTACAGAATTTAAAGAGTAGTAGTTTTGTCGTACTTGCATTTAATTTCTAGTTTCCCATGTAAAGTAGTCTTGAGAAGATGCAAAATGAATAACTGTTATTGAACCATATTATTCAAGGAATATTTTGAGGACGTACTCTAATTCTTGTATAGTAGTAAGTTTGCAGTAGTTTTTTTTTTGTTAAAAGAGGTTGGCGGCCTCTTTTAACTTTGCATTTGCCCATCCACATAGACTAAATGCCATTTCGTGGAACGTATACACAAGTTCAAGTTTGAAAAGCACTTTGGCTAATACTCCGTTCACAAAATTTAAGCGGTTTGAGGTGAAGCGATTCCATCCCCTCCACTTCACCCTAACTAAGAAACAACAGCAGGCAGCTGATATGTACATTAAGCTGAAAAAAATTGTGAGGGGACCCAGGAATCCTTCCCCACAGCCAAAATGTTGTGAACGGACTATAACCAATGGTTTTCAATGCAGGTTCTAATAATAATTAGATTGTTTAGAAGTAGGTACAGTATTCAATCTTGATATTACAATAATAATATAAATTCTATACTTTAATACTTTTCATTGAAATGGCGACCATACAAAGTACCGGTAGGTATTTTAAGCCAAATATGAATGGAGATGTATGTAGGATGAGTGGCGTGATCTTGTAGTCTTGTTGACTAAGGCCGACATATTCCTTAGACACAGCTGTTAATTAATAGCTTATACAGCTAATGGCAACTAAGGGACCTACAGTTTATAGTGGAATCCGAACCACATTTTTGACTTGGTATTAACGAATTGGTCTAATTATCAGGATAGTACTGCGGATAGTTGTGGTACTCACTAGTGCGGAAGTAATCCACACCAGGGAGCATCGCATCCACAGTGCATGTCTATTAATATCCACAATTCGTGACCTCCTAGTAGCTGGATTACAGGACGTGGCTACTGCTTTTAAAATGGGAGTCCTCTAATAATGAGTAATTTATTACTTGAGAAACCTATTAATTTTTACTTTCTCGATATACATGGATCTACAGCTCAAGATGAACTTCAAACTTCAGCAGGTATCATGACATAGCTAATTTACATTGGTGATTGGCAGGATTTGAACCCAGCCACAACAGAAGTTCTGTGCTCTAAATACTAGTCTTTAGACATATAAATACTAGTCAGTCTAGATTTACACATAAAACACTACTAATGCATAGTATCCATTACAAAGAAATAGGTCTAGTTTAAACCAGCCTTGAATGTTCAAATATTTGGCAGAGACGAATCAATAGATGAGCCAAGTTTAAAATAGAATTTGAACACGTGGATCCAACCAAACAAAGTGATGTCGAGAATCAATCAATGTTGCATCATTTGGCAATAAAAAGTGACATTGAGCTAATCGTACATCTGTACACACCTGTATACACAACATTGTAACAGGATAACAGTTTTGATTGGATGAAACGTCAAATTTATTTGTAGTAAATTACAAATGAAAACTCTTCATAAATAAGTTAGTCATTTGAGTGGATGAGATTGTCACTTAGGCTAGTTTGAGTTGCTGTACAACCTGACACTATTCGATGTATATATTGTACAAAATAATGAATAAAGAGTTTTAATTGAATTGAATTGACTGTAAGATATTAAGTTAATATTTTTGCTGTAAGGATTTTCGTTGTGCCAGGGCCTTGTGTTTTAAACACTTCAAAGTACTATTTCAAAAATGCAAGTAACATTCTTTACTTGTTAGTTGTTTATACAATTTATCTACAGTTTCAATATATAGCATAGTGGGTTTTCCTAAAGTGTTAGTATTGGGAAACATGTTGGTCTATTGGTAGAGCGCGGGACTTCAATCCCTAACAAGTCCCGGGTTCAAATCCCACCAAATCACCAATGGATTCTGATCCAAGTGATAAAATGCCAAAATCTTTAGATCTGACTTGAAGTAATGTGAAAAACGAATCCGAGCTAGTGCCTAGCGTCCTAGGACAAAAAAGTATCAGTATTTTGATTACTCTTTTATTTTAATACAGTATCAAAGAATGAGATCAAAATAAATTATAATGTTTTTAATATAGGAATATATTGTTTCTAAGACGCTCTAACTTTCAGCCGGTATCATATATCAACCAAAAACAATACAACTCAAATCGTAACACTAATTAACAAGTGATTTTACTTTACCTTTTATGGTTGCGTCAACAGCCTCAGCCGCCATGGCTCGGTACGTCGTCCACTTGCCTCCTGCGATGGTTACGAGGTTTGACGGAGAAACGTGGACGATGTGGTTACGAGCGAGAGACTGTGTGTCAGCTTTGTTAGGGTCGGATACTAAGGGGCGAATACCACTCCATGCTGATAAAACGTCTCCTCTGCGTACTGTGGGAATGAAGAGGTGTTATAGAAGATTAGTTTTGAATACTCTGCATTTGGTTTTTTTAGAAAATGCATGTGGCTAAGGTATATATTGAGGAAAGTGAAACGGACTAACTAACTGATCTAAAACAGAGTTTCAGACCGATTATGGCACACAAAAGGATCTCAACACATTAAACTTGATATTTAATCTCCTCAATGTTGGCTCCTTCAAAAGGAAAAAAACGGAAAAAAGGAGCAAAACATATGGTTTAAGGTGTTTAGAAGTTGTATGTGCTATAAACTAACTGGAACTCTTTTCTTATGAAAGTTAGCTGCGTATCCATTCTTTCTTCTTTGGACTATTAGTAGGCTAACTGTTTTTTAATTTCAATTACGCAGTTAAAATTTACCACTCACCCTCAACATCAGGGTTCAGGTAGTTCTTAACCTCAGTAAGGATGAACTGGATTTCATCCTCTGTTGGTTTGGGATGATGTGTAACGTCGCACGGGAGATCGGTTGTGCCTGCGATGGTGTTACGCTGCCAAGGCAGGAAAAAGATAACTCGGCCGTCACTAGTGGCTGGGTCCAGCAGACCCATCTCTGCTGGGCTGAGAACAAACATTTTACTTGATTTCTCGCAATATAAAAATTGCATTAATGAGTCACAAAAAGGTATTGTGGGAAAAGAAGATGAGTTTGTATGCAAATGAGAATCCCTGGAAACAAAACTAAGATAAATTTTGTGTAAACCTACTCATGGTAAGCCACTAATTGCACATTGAAACAAGTTTCTGCACCAATTTAATGCCTTCTTCAGGTTGTGTGTGGACAGAGCCTATTGTAGTCATCTTCTGCTGAAGCACTTTGAAAAAAGGTCTTGAAGATTACTAAAATAGATACATTCATAGATGTCCTAGTATAGGCAAAGAAAATAATCTTGTGTAGGTAAACTGGACCAATTTCACAATCAGTTAAGACTCTGACCACACACAAGCCTATGTCATCAAATCAAATAAAATTTTTTCAGCCAAAGTTGGCAATGAAATGCAGTTATGTCATATAGAAAATAACACACTTCATCAAACAGTTGTAAGGCTAGGGCGATTTACATTGTAATTCTAGTACAGTATATATTCAATGTTACAATACTAAGTTATTTTATTTTAAATGTGGTTGTTCTATCATACTTAGTGTCTACTCTACCTGTAGTATCCGGGCAGTACGATGTGCACGCCAGAGCTCGGGCAACAGATCTCTTTAACACTAGAATCGTCCATCTTCCGTATTGAGTCAGTGAAGGGACCTGTAGCGTTGATGATCGACTTGGCTTTCACGTCCCACTCCTTGCCTGTCAGCTCGTCTTTTAAATGCGCTCCGCAACACTTCCCTTGGGCGTCCTGCGTTCGTAAAAGTGTTCTATTTGTATTTTTTATTTCAAAACCCCTTCAGGGTCAAACCAGAATCCAAATTTGAAGGCGAGCATTATATACACTTAGCTACCTAGTAACCCTGTTCCGCAAAAGCCACTAGACACACAAGATTGGGGAATCAGATATATTTTGCAAAGTTTAATTTTCAGCCAATAAGTTTTAAAAAGATAATTGACAAAGGTAGTATTGAAAAACAAGATAATTTGGACAACCAATACATTCAACATCCATTTGAAACAAATACAGTAGGCCTAAGTAGGTTCATTTGACTTAATCGTAGGCTAACCGGGATGTCTATGAGTAAAAAAACTAAAAACATTATGAAAAAAGAGTGTTTAGATTAAACATCAATATATATATAAATTATCTAATGGTACCTTGATAAGAGAGCAGACTCGAACGTGATTGGCTACTGTCGCACCATGTCGAGTCGCAGTCAGGGCAATAGCTAAGCACATTCTTGCGTCGTCTTGCTGGCCTGCGACAACATTTTCCTTTTACACATGATTGAAAACTTAAACAAACATAAATCCTATTTGAGAACCACATCAAACTGTGTCTCCAATAAATAAAATTTAATCCTGACCTTCAGCAAACTAAAATCTTGGTAAAATTAAAAATATTAGTTTTAATCACAATAAAAATGGGTTGTTTTTAGGGATGGACGAGATTGGATTTTTAGTTCGAGACGAGACGAGACGAGATTTTTTATTTCTCATAAAATTTCGAGACGAGATCGAGACGAGATTTCTTTTCTCATACACAACGGGAAATGCACGTTCGAAATTTTTACCTGATTTTGTAACATTGTTAGATGACTGTTTAAATACTAAAATAATGATAATAGGCAAGAATATTTACAATCTTTCATAAAGTAACATCAGCATAACATTTTTTTATTAATCACGCCTAACTTATTAAAAATGCCTACGATTAGGAAACATGGTGATATCAGTTAGGATAGAGTTGAACTTATCCTAAAATAAAATAAATCATAAAATAAAAGCAATATTAATTTTTATAAAATAGTTACTTGTTTTGACTTTTTTTATAGTAATAAAACATTCCTCACACTGCTTACACTTAACAAAACTTCTCAAATGTTATTAAAGTAATATTATTAAAATAATGAAAGTAATATTTACATTAAAAGAATTAAAGTAATATTTACATTAAAAGAATTAATTAAATAAGAACGCCTTCGAAAAGGAAACGCAACTACAACACGCTCCTGTATTGCGGGTATTGCATTGACTTTCTGCAGGCGTTTTTAATTTTTTTTTTTTTTTTTTTTTTTTTTTTTTTTTTTTTTTTAAATTCTCGTCTCGATAAAAATCTCGGCCAAAAAGTAATCTCGTCTCGTGTAACGAGATTGAAAATTTCCCGAAAATTTCCCGAAATTTCGAGACTTGACCATCCCTAGTTGTTTTTGACACACAATCTTGTTTTAGTCAGAGAGCAGATATACACTGCCTAACAAAAGATGATTGTGTTGATATTTTACAACCAGGCAAAGCATAATAGACTTATGCTACGTTGCAAAGACTATAGAACTGTCTGAAAACCACATGTGGAAACTACACGAAACATAACATCAAATTGCAGACTGTGATGTCAGCTAACAACTTTTTTTGGCGCAAAATTTGATTACCAAGTATATCCGACTTTCAAGAGCCAACTGCATAACCAATCAACTTAAAATAATAGTATTTTAAACATTTAACGTTCGATCCCCCTCTACGTCAGCTGACTATTCATCGTCGTACCGTCGTAGTATACAATAGCGCCACACAGTTTGTCTCCCCGCAACATCGGAAACAATTCCAAGGTGTTCTCTTTGTTGACGTAGTAGGAACTCTTGACTGTCTTGGATCCGGCGACCAAGTCATAGGCTTTGATACCCACCCAGTAGTAAGGCACTTGCCACCATCTGAAATGAAGGGAATCGATTATAAATATTCTTATAGTATACACTCGTTAATCTTTACTATTATAAAATTGAGGTGGTGTCTGTCTGGGCAGCTGTCACGACTAAAATACCAAACCAATACAGCTAAAATTAATCACAAATATAGTACACATATCTAGGAATGTCTTAGACCTAATTTACTTCCCTGAGTTGCTTTTAGGCTACACCCCTTGGATGTCCAAAGTTTTGAGGTGAGTTTTGAAAAGTAAATATTAATAATTGGCCTCCATGGAAGTATAAGAAAATTCACAGTGTTTACCTTTGCATTGACATTTTAATGTAAACAACCAGAACTGCCTTAATGCTTATTAATTTTACAATTTCAGACAGCTGATCCAAACAAATTATTTATTCTAAAACTTTGTCATAGATTATTTTTTCTAAAACAATGTCATTGATTATGGATATAACAAACCGTTGCTGTATCAATCCAGGCTCTGCTTTTGATTTATTACAGTGTCTTAAGTTATGAAAATAATTTTATTGATATATTTTCATGTAAGCAGTAGGACAATTAGAATGTAGGTTAATTTTTTTTGGTTTATTGGCTTTTTGTTTATAAATTCAAACTACTAAACAAGGTTGGCAGCTAGTTGAGTATATTTTGGAGCTGTGGCAGTGAAGAATATCTAAAGATTCTGTCTAAAAATATCCATAATTACATGGAAACAGACATACAATTGAAATAGAGAGTCAAGGAGCTATTACTAATTTTACCAAGTAGTTCCCCTCTTCAATTTTGTCATTTGGGCAGATGGTCATGATTAGTAATTACTAAACAATGCTATAAAAGATTTAATCACTCATTCATATTAGGGTTCAAAAACGTCCAATTGTATCCCATTTTACTTGGATAGGCCTATATTGAAAGTGACGTAAACATTTTTCTGCCAACTTCAAACATTTTCAATAATTAATCTTTAGAAAAACCTTGATAGTGATATGAAACTAAAAACAAGTTTCTCCTGAATTCCAGAATAATGCGGTAGAATTAAACAACAGACAAGATAGCGAGTTAAGGTTATGTGTGACGCATTGCCGAGATCAATGACCTTGACCTTGACAGCCGCCTACACTGATAACTCAAGGTCAACAGATTACTACTCAACTGCTGATCAAGTGGTCGGTTACAGGGTTCCAGATAAACTTTTGGGATCAGATTTTTTCAATGCAAACAGTTATTAAACCTGTGTTACCGATTATGTTTCTTGGCTGTGAAATTATTTATCAGCTCAGATGTTTTGCTGAGCAGTTCACTTGCTTATAATTTAAACCGCACATGCTGCTAAAAATTCATGTGAGTTTGAGTTTATCACTCAAGAAAATTGGGTCACACAATATCTTTTTAATCAATAGTAATGCCAGACAATTTTTACTATATATAAACAGTAATAAGCACTGTGTTAAAGCGTAAAAAATACAGTAGTAAGACATTTCATATGGTGTTTAGAGGTGAATTCTCCAAAACAGGAAAAGTTAACCTACAAAAAAATAGAAGTAAAAAATGTAAGATAAGAAGGTAAATAAAACTGATATAATGTCAACCTCCCTTGAGAGACCTATATTTAATTTTTTTTGTTTTTTATATGGGTGGACCACTTGAAATACCTCAAGCAACGACTACATTCAGTAACAAATTGGTATGCTATTAATTTAAAATAAAATTACTAACAATAATGGTATGTTCCTAGGTTAGTTTCTTAGACTTCGGTGTGAGAGGTATTTGTTCAATCTCGCACATATCCACAAAAAGGTGATCTTGAGGGATTAAGATCTATAAAAGTGTTTGAAATGTTTGCTTAAAAGTGCCATTAGTGCAAACAGTAAAAATAGCTATTTGTTTTTTACCGAGCAAAACCCTGGTTTTGAAATCAAATAACAAATTTTGGTTACGTTAAATATTATATTTCTTTATATTTGATGTAATTGAAAATCTGTAAATATGTGATCAAGTTATTCGGGACTATTTTAAAGACAACTTCTGCACAGTTTGTAATTCGATCCCTTCCGTAAAAAAAATAAAAATAAAAAGTAAAGTACAAGACACCTATTTTAACAAGATGACCCTCTAAAATGTTTAATTTCTCATGTCTTTCAATTTCGTGCATTGTAAAACTTATCTTAGTAATAAATTTACTAAAAGGTTTTTAGAAAAGGAAAAAGAGAAATCAACAAATAACATCAAATTAAATTAAATAATGCCTTACAAGTATTTTTCCAATGCATTATTCCTCAACATTTAGTCATTTACATTATAAAACATTTTCTAAAGCTGGTAAAACAGAAGACAATAAGGGTAAAAAGATTAGTTGAATTATGTAACAAGTCTGAATTCTTATCACCACTTGCCAACTGCATGGCTGTTATCTTATGACCTCACTTGTGCTAGACACTATCACGGCTATCAACTCCTTTGGTACTACAAACATTCCCAAAGAAATTGAAACTATGATAGTGTTGCATTTGAACTAACTAGTAAAGGCACAAACTTTCTGAAGACAGTTTTCAAATGGACTTGACAATGGAAGATAGCCCACACATAGAAAACAAACTCTTAACTGATTTTACAAGACCAAAATAAAATACTATATTTCAATTTGAATTCTTTAATCTATTCAATTTGTTCATTTTTCAACCAATGAAAATTAATGCACCTTGTTGTTTATTCGATACTATGTCTAAAATGTTGCATACTTCCCTGAAAGTAGCTTGATTACGACACCAATTTTAAAACTTGATTTCCCAACCTATTGTTGACTATCTTACCAATCAACCTATCTTTGAACTATAAGCATGTACTTGCTTGCCATTGAGACTACAGATCTAACAAAATAATAAATCTTTTAAAATCCGAACAAAGTATACAAACAAATCCATCTTATCGTTAGCGCTTATTGAGTAAACCTCGGGTTGACAGTGAAACGAAGCCCTTTTTTTAACTACCGGTATCTAACTGCTTGTATTAGTATAGTGACGTTTCACTAAAAAAGAAAACTACAAAAAAGAAACATTTTTTTTCAAACAGAAGCGATATGATATGAACACTTATTGAATAAACCTCTCGGCAAAAATGAGGCGGAAGCAATTTTGCCAATACGTGTTGGTATTAAGGTATCAAATAAAAATTACCTAAAATCAAGAGACTTACTCATATGAGCAGTATGACGTACAGTGATTACCTAAACTTTTGTGATGACAAAACAGACACATTTTGACTCACTTGTACACAGGCAGCATGATAGGCAAGGGGTGTGTGAGATGAGGAGCCGATGTCAGCATGTTCGTACGTTCGTGGAGAGCTTCCTTCACCATTCTGTACTGCTCGATGTCCAGGTTCAGAATGGCCTTCTGCAGGTATCTGACTCCACCGTGGATCAGCTTCGTGCTCCGGCTGCTCGTACCAGAGGCAAAGTCATCCAACTCTACCAGAGCTGTCTTCAATCCTGCGAAAAAAGGATAAGTACGGAAACCTTAATTATTTACATGTAGATTCACGTTATCCATCTGTGTATATAAATGACCTGCAAAAATGATCGTGTCACCTTACCAGTTTAAAAAACGATATCAAGCACTTTTGTTTGCTTTGTATTCTAAGCTCTGATCAATCCCATTAGTTTATTTATTTTATGAAGTGAGTCCTTTTTACATTACCCTTTTTTAGAGAAAATCATAAACAGTAGCATGTTACTTTGACATTGAATACCCAACTCTTATAATTGGGTATTTACACTGTACTATGCTTTACAACAGTTATTTTGGATTGCAGATTACAAAAGTAATCTCACATAAACCGAAAATAAAAATATATCATAGTATAATTCAACCAGTATTAACATATGGAGATGAAACTTGGATTTTAAATAAAAAAGAAGAAAACAAAATGATTGTTTTTGAAAACAAAATTTTAAGAATGATATATGGACCAATACAAGAAAATGGAGAATGGAGAAAAAGGCATAATAGGGAGATAAGGAATATGTACAATGATTATGATGCAGTAGCACACGTGAAAGCAAGGAGAATAAGGTGGGCAGGACACGCACTACAGAGAGAACGAGGTTCACTACTAAAAGAAGCAAGTATAGGAAAGCCAGAAGGGAAACGACCATTAGGAAGGCCCAAGAAGAGATGGTGGGATAGTGTTTCCAAGGACGTCAGAGAAGTGGGGGCAGAAGTGGAAGAGGCAGAAGATCGAGAGAGATGGAGAGCAGTTGTTGGTGCGGCCAAATCCCGCCTTGGGCATAAATGGCCATGGGAGTGAGAGTGAGTGAGTGATTACAAAAGTATTATTTGTGAATCAAACAGTTTTCAACCCCACAAAAAACAGGTTCAAATATTTTTGGCTCGAGATCACAGAAAAAGTTGAAATCCTGATGTTGAATTTGATAAACTTGAGTAAACCATCTATCCAACTATTCATTTTCTTCTAGACACTTATACAACAGACACAGGTATTCAGGTGTAGGAATATACAATCATTAAACTGAATATCTAACAATTTGAATAAACAGATTAAGATTTACATTTATTACGTATGTTACTTTTCCCCTTCCACCTGTGCTGTAATTTATGTTTGATCAGGAAGTAATTCATGTTTAGTTTCATAGTGCCTTTGTTTTGTGTCTAATTTACCTCTAAACTTCTGGAAAACACTATGAGATTTTTACCAGATTGACATTCTCTGGTCTATACTTTACTTTCTTTCTTCAGTATAGCAATGTGTTATACTGTTTAAAGGCTTAAAACAGTTGTAGTTCAATTTAACTAAATTGTCATTGGACTGAAGAAAAGTAACACAGTAACCTAAGTTTCATGGTAAATGACAGTAACATAGGTAACCTAATGGTTCTTACAAAAGTAAAACGGAAAACCTATATTATATTTATGATAATCCAGAGGCTAATCCAAATCAATCCTGCGACCAGACAGTAGCATTACCTCTAGTGACAGCATCCAGGGCACAACCAGCACCGGTCGCTCCACCTCCGATAATGAGGACGTCAAACTCAGTCCCACTCTGGAGGGACTTGATCTGCTCATCGCGGGGAGGCAGTGGCCGCTTAGCTCGTAGCTGCTTTGTGGGAGTCGCTGCATGCACGGGCTGGCTACCCTGTAAACGCAGTCAAATATATTATTTCGATCTTTTATCAGTACCAAAATGAGAAGTCTGTTTTTCAATCTTGATAAAACTAACTAGACAATATTAGCTTCAATTTTCTAGGAAAATAATCCACACTAAGATTGCTATATAAGCAGAGGTGTAGTCGTAAGTTTTGAGTGTGGGATCACTCACCATTATCTTGAAAGATACAGGGGTTGTACCAATAAGTTGTATAGGATTTTTAGAAAAACAGACCGGGAAGCTGTTCCCACACATTCTCGCTTCACAACACCACTATAGGCATAATCCTGTTCATTTGTCAACCAAGGTTTCTGCCCCATTTCAACACAAAAAGATAACAAACAAATAAATAAAACAGCAGTGGAAATGCTATTATTAGTTTTACGACACTTTCAGCTGATTCAAACTATAATAAAATTACCTATGTGTTTTCTAAAACTTTAGTGTTGATTATTCCATAGATTAATCAACACAAGTAGACTTCTCATACTCATCCCATTGTAAATTTTGAAGCTCAATTTTGGTGTCTAGTTCATGTTGGGGACCCTGATTCTTAGGGCCTAATTTCATAATTTGTGCTTTTCTGTTTGTTTATGCAACTAGAAGACCAGTTATTGTTTATGATTAGTTCATTTTACTTGGTTAAATAAGGTTTTAAATTAGTTAAATCACAAGAAACAAATCGTAGACAAAACACGACCTCTAAAAGTGACCTCTAAACCGGACGGAACTAACAATAAAATTGTCTTTAGCTGATTGATAAAGATGAGAAATCTACTAAAGGCAGTTTAAATAAGTTTATTAATTATTTGAAGATGGTATGGACACTACGTGTTACGTTCACACTACAATGATGCATTTATGATGATACTGGTTTTCTAAAGTGGTTTCAATGCAATAACTTTTCCTGACAAGGATAATACTTAAGTACTTATAGTAGGCTTTAAAAATAAAAAAAATAAAAAAAAATTTTCAATATGAAAAGTTGTTTAAATTACAGTTTAGTTGTAAATGTTGCTATCAAACACTTTTTAAAACATCTCCATTTTATTCCTAGTTCATTCAAGATCGTCAATTCACAATTTGTCAGCCATTTCCTGCCGTTATCACTCAACAGCTGAGTGCTAAGTGTTGTCATGAGATAAGCTGTTCATTGAAAACTGGGAGATCGATCAGGATGAAATTAAGGCCAGAGATTAGTTTGGGATTATAAAGAATGTCATTATAAATTTTTCTAAAATGGAAAATTAGAACATTCAAAATTTATTTTGTAGTAAATAGGTAGACTTTGATGGATGAAACTATTTTTGCAAACAAAGTCAAATGTATTGGGTGCTAATTTGCGGGTAAACGCATAAAATATTCATACCAACAACATGATCATTTTAACAATGTCTGCACCGCTTTTTTAGCCTATATTGAATTTTAAGGTGAACATCGCAACCCTGAACGCAAAACCAAATTTTAGACCAATTAACTTTGGAAATGAAACTTCACCGTACTGTGTGAAACTAAATATTAACCCAAACTAACAGGCAGCCTAAAGAATCCCAAATCATTATTTTATCGACTTAATTATGAGAATTTGTGACTTGCCATAGTAAATAAGACAGAAACTTCACTGGAAATAATCAAACCATGTAAGTTTCCTGTGTAATTTGGTTTTCAAAACATCGACATTTGCATACATAAATGAGATCAGCTGTTTATATTGTTGCAATTTTGTGATCTAATGATATTTTAAGTCAGGGGCCTGTTTCATAATAAACTACAAACTAATATTATTTATTAGTAAATCAGCTGATTGTATATTTGCATCTCACAATAGATTAATCTACTACTTGTTAACAGTAACTTTAAAACAGTTTCGTCAACTTACAAATGGGTTTTCTCCTGTAAGGAACCATGTCGTCAGGTAAGCTCCCGCTCCTACTGATGAACAGACTACGGCCAAACGTTTGAACCTAGACGCCATCCTCTACAATCTTATCTGCAACGAATAATAAAATAATTATTTGATTATGACTGTAAACTTATTTCACAATGTTTAGTTGGATGACACTGAATCTTATTTTAATCTGTACTAAGGTTTAAACTTGAGAATAAAACTGATTTAAAAGTTAAAGATAATATATTCAGTTATATATACCGTTAAAAAGACTCAATATACAAATTGCCATGTCTAACAGTAATTAACAGTTGACAGCATGCAATTAAGATCATTAAACTCTGAAATAATCGGGAAAAATAAAAAACCTTGTAAACAAATAAAGATTATAAATTATACCGGTAGGGGAATAAATCTTTACTCGGAAAATTGTTCTAATTTATATTTAGAAACTGTCACTTAATTTTGCGTGCATAGCCTAATTTGTTACATTATGATGAAAATTTAAGAAATTGACTTAGGTAGAGGTTAAGCTGGTACTAGTACATCGAATTAGCAAATAATTTTCCAAACAAAAGACACACAAATTAAAAAACAAATTTTAAATAGTAATTTATCAGGATAATATAAAGCTTTAAAAATTAGTTGCTGTAATTGGACGTTCTAGAGTTAATAATGTTAATAGTGTTACTGTATACAAATTATTTGTTAATTATACCTATTAACTGTAAATTAAAAATATTGATTTTAATAGATCTAAAATCTCACAATTTATTGATACACACAAACTTTTATCTTTATTTATCAAAACACTAGACACAACTCAAAAGGTAGATCCTATTGAACACAGTTAAACCAGATAAAATAAAATCATTACCGGTACCAAAACTAACTACAGCACTTCACAAATCAGTGGCAATGTAGTAACAGAGCAAAGAAGTTATCTCATGGCATAAAAGAGTGGGGCGACAATCACTGGGAATGATAACAAGAGAGAGCCGGACATCGTGAGTCAGTCATGCATCAAACTTGTGTTGTGGTTGTTCATTCGTGATAAACACGTGAATCCATAAAAAATTTGATTTAAAATGTAATTCATTAGCGATTTGAATTGCAAAACTTTTATGGAAAAATAGATTGGAATAGTTTGTTAATTGGCATTATGTATAGGGAAAGAAGATGGTTAATAGTTCTATTCTAGTAGTTTCTGTTTTTTAATTCAAAAAACAAAATCTTTTCTTGTTAAATAAATTCAAGGGACGTATGAAATTGTCAGTGAGTAATTCAACAGTAAAAAAATGAAACCATATCATAAGTTTGGTGTGATAAAAAACAACCACAATAGTTGATGTAAAACTATAAATCTGGAGCTAAACATAGTTCATATAGGCTATTGTTTTATGGACATCTAAGTTTTAAATGGAATTTAAACATTTGGATGGGAAAACATGATGAATTAATTTCTTACATTAACAAGGAAACCTTAGTTACTTGCAATGGTTTACACCTGCATATTAACTGCTACAAGCTACCATTTTAAAAGGATCGCAAATATACCGAATTCTAAGTAAAAATCCCAATGTTAAGAGTACCTTACTAATATTGTTCATTTTAATCTTATTTGATCTTATTTAATCTTATCCCGTGTGACTTAGGCAAAAATTTTTACGTGCTCTTCCTGATGAGACAAACATTAACATTTTGTAACAACTAGCAAACTAGCATTTTGTATGTTGAACATAGCAGGTCACAATGGTTTCTAAGCAATATTTAGAATGATGAACCACTGCAATAGGTTATTGCTAAAGAAAGGGGTATTTAAAAGAAGAACTCTTTCAAACTTATTTATTAGTTTAAAGGCTTAATTACAAGGAACATTTGACAGGGAAAATGAATTTTAACTCCTGACAAATAGGTAATCTAAATGTTAAACTAAGCTCTAGGCCTATGTATTTTTTGTGTCTTTTTAAGTAATTTAAACAATAGGCTATGAAAAGTCAACAACCATACTAAAACTGTTGTTTCTTGCAAGACGGAGGGGCGTAACTTAAATTTAAGTACATTGCATTTTCTAATGTACTTTCCCCTTCCTCTTGCACACGTTGATTTAAGAAGGGCTTTTGTAAATACTTGTATATTGATCCTTCCAAAGGACATAATAAAATAAATCTAACGAATAAACTAAAATTAAAAACTGGATATTTTTTGTTGCCTAACATTCAATGGATGTTCGATTAACTTAAATAAAACAGCATTCTCAGAAATATCGGCAGTGCACCTAATAATCTTTCCCTAGAATATAAAAAATGTAGGCTAGATTATGTTATGTAATATACACAGTCTTATATGCTACAGTCAACAGTGATGAATGAATCGTAGTGTGGTTGAAAATAAGCCACAGTTGTAGTGCACTTGAATAACTGTCAACATCAATTACATAGTGAATAAAAAAACTTAATAGCAATGGGACAAAAGAACTAAGTTACAGTAAAACAAAAGTTATTGACAATAAATGATTAAGTAACTCACTATCGCCCAACAGCCAATATTGGGGACTTGGATAACACCATAGATCATAGATAGTAGGTTAGTCTATCGTTGTGCAATGTGCGATTCTAGGATTGTACGGAATTACGACCTAATTGAACTTTATGACCTTGAAGTAAATGTAACCTAGCCATGTATGAATGAGACAACTATAATTTCTTAAATACTTCCTCAGTTAATCAACGCTGGCTTCAAATACATTTATAGCCAATTATTGCAAGATACAGTTGTTAATAGACAACATTTTAAGGTTCTACTTTACCGGAATATTGAACATAAACAGCCAGCAGACGACGAGTAAGGAGTTGCAGACGACAAGCCCAATGTGATGGTGTTGGTTAATATCCGCCAAGGTACCAACATAAGAGACCTAAATCATTCATTTGAAAAGCTTTGTATATTGTCTTAATTAACTATTATCTAGTACCAAAAAATATTTAGCAATTCAGATTATTTGCGTCAAATTAAGATCAAATATTCCTCTAGTATTCATACATTTCCAAAAAATTTCAAATTATCTGGTAAGCGAATACCTCCTGAAAATAACTGTAGACCTCATATAGCACTAACTTTTTAAGATTTTGCATTGATTTCCACTGCTGGGGGGTGTCCCATGGTTTTTAAGTTCAAGGTTAATATATTGCATTGTAATTAGATAAGGCTGCATTAGATCTAGACATTATTTTCTGCACGAACAAGACCCATGCCAGAAAGATTTCCTTGCCTTTCTACTAGTGGTGAAAATTTTTGACAAATATGCAAGTAAGTTATTGTAAGAAAAGAGTACTAAAACAATAATTAAAGAGTTCTCGTTGTTGCATGTACAATTCCAATATACTAATAAGCATACCATTTTTGTATAAAAAATTAATTATCTTCCCATTATGTTTATAAAATAATAATGATGTCCTTACTTCTTACACTAACGAGGTCTATTGTAACATATGTTATTTAATGACAAATAAAGATTTATTTATTTATAACTAGAATACTCCCTAGTATCGCTTCATTGTAAAATTATTAATTTAATTATTATACTCGAATAACCTTAAATAAAAAAATCTATGTTAACCCCAAACCGGTATTAATCTTAGAATGCAAAAATAAATACAGTAAAATAAAATGTGATAATCATTCCACCATGTGCGATATTGAATTCAGGCTAAGGGTTTAACTCCAAACATTGCAGTTACATGGCTTTAAACTAAGCCTACTACTTAACAAATTGAAAAGCAACACTTTTTGTGTTTTGTTGATGTAAATTAATCAAATTAATAATATAAATAAAACAAAGCAAACCTTAACCTTTGTATCTAAACAACTTATTTTAATAACTTTTTGTTCGTTTACCTTATCTTACGTCTAAATATCAAATTTTATTATTTTTAATGGTTGTGTAATTATGATGGGGGAATCTGCTCAGCTAAATTTGGAAAGTGCTAAAAGTAAGTTTATTCTTCCTAGGCAGGCTAGGCCTACCTACTTTAAACTCAACCATAGGCCTAGGCATTAACATTTAGGCTATGATTCAACTAAGTTAGGCTAGTCCTAAGGGGTACACTTCCATGTCTGTTGGCACAAACAACCGAATTAAAATATCGATCGATATATTGTTTGGTTAGTTAAGTAGGTAAGGTTAACCTAACTATAACGATTTATTTAAATTTATTTATATAGGCTGCGGTATTATTTTTGCCTAAACAAGGATAGTTCTTAATTTGTAATTTAAATGCGTTTAAAGATATTAAAACTGAAGTACAGTAGACTCCCTCTTATCCGGACTCCTCAGGACCGAGGCCAGTCCGGATAATGGGTTTTCCGGTTAAACCGACGACCCCAAAAACTCGTTAAAACGGACTGTTTACTGTGATATTCGACTTAAATTTAGGAGAGCATTGTATTTAGACACGTGATCACCGGTCTCAAATCTTTCCCACAAGAACAGTCGTTTCAGTACTGCCCACTTCCTGCCGATCTAGTCTGGTTAAACCAATGTGCTGATAAAAATTGTCTGGTTTACAGAGATGTCATTTCCGCCGAGTGTAGTCCAGTTAAAACGATGTCCGGTTTAAGGTGTCCGGATAAGAGGGAGTCTACTGTAATCAGCGAGCACAGAATATAAATAGAGAGGGCATTGGACGAGAGAAGTGAAGCCACCCGAAAATCGGCGTTGCCCGTATAAGTGGTGGGGAGAGCGATCAATCAATCAATCAATCAAATCTTTATTCAGAACGTACATAACTGCACATGAATGCGTCATTGTTACATTGTTGTTACATTGTTATACACACATAATGTTAAAAAATTAAAATAAATAGTCTACTCATAGTTTAAAAAATTCCTCTTTACTATAAATAGAATTAATTATTAGAAATGTTTTCAATTTTCTTTTAAACATATTCATACTCAGCTCTCTCCTAATGCATAAAGATGAGTCATCCAAGTAGCGCGCGCTTCAGGCACTGGCGCCGGCGGGGCTGGCACTGCACTGCCACCCTCATAGTGGTTAAGCTATGTTTTTTGTCTGAAGCTGTCTTCTAAAGCTACTGTAATTCATATCAAATTACGACAGCAAGAAACCTAACTGATTTACTGATCGCAAAAGTGTTAAGTAATTGTATTGGAATCACCCTGTTTCCAACAGACCACTGTGATGAGCAGGAGTTAGAACAAAATCATGTTACTTTGTTAATAAAGGCTATATGTCGGAAATATTTTACTGTAAGACTGCACCACTACAGTAAGAAGTTCAATGACAAGTTACACGTAAGTCGAGTCAGGCGCCACCTAACAAAGGTTGTAACATTTTTAGGGCAATAAAAGTATTTTTGAACAGCCTTGTCTACAATATTTTGTTTTCAAACGTTTCAATTTCAAACTATTGTTGTTAAGAAATGTAATTTACAGTGCAAAATCCTATGTTTTCGTAATGTATAATTCATTTATTGCCATTTACACTCACTTGATTTGTAGTTGTTTGAGTAAGGTAAAACAAACACAAACGGATATTTTTTTTAAAGTTAAATGAAAGTCAATTCAGGCACATTCTAACAAAGGTTGTGCCATTTGTAGTATAGTAAAAATATTTTGGAACAGATTTATGGGCAGCATTTTGTTGACAAATGTTTTATGTTGTAACTAACTATTATTGTTAAAACATGTAATTTACAGTGTAAAATTATCTGTTTTGAGTTATTGATTTATTGCCATTTATACATGATATGTATTTTTTTGTAGCGAAGTAAAAATTACCAAACAAAATAAATTTGTTTTAATATCCTTATTAAAAGTTTGTAAACAGGCTTCAATGTATGGTTCAATATGGGGCCGATTTGGTCGTCATTAAGTTATTATTTACCAACACAAAATAATAATAAAACTAATGTGAATAGCAATTTTAAGTATACAAATGTCACCGTACTTATATTATAAATGTATAAATTAGAATGAATATTAAATGCATCAATCACTGTGTGTGTAGTATGAGAGACGTGTAGTCGCAAGGCATCGCCCGAGCGCCGGGGTCCCAAATTTTGCTTCTTCTTCTACCTGATTTATTTCCAAAACTATTCATCATTAATTTTTCCAAAAAATATATGTTATGATTCAACTCAAGCTCTCAAACTTTGCCACTGACGAAACTTTCCTGACCAAAAAATAAAAAAAATCTAGATCACTTACTTTTTCATGTTCTAATTCTAAATTTAATGATTTCTTTGGGTTTTAACGGGTGATAAAATTACAAAAAATTATTTTTTGCATTCCAACCTTACTGTCAGTGAGAAGCACTAATTTAGAGTAGCTGTGCCAAATTTGGTAATTTTAAGTCTACTCTATGTGTGTCTAATCATCGTACATTTGGAAAAGGTGATCTACCTACCGCTATATGCAGCAGTTGCCGCCACTTGCCCGTGTAAGTGGTGGGGGATTGGCTACAATGCCCGCAACGCTTGCTGGATATACGTAGCCCCTCTATTTCTATTCTGTGCTCTCTGACTGTAATACGGAGGTAAAACAAAAATATCGATATATCAAAAAGAAATCATTGATTTTAATGAATGTGCTTTAACAGGAATGTACCCAACTTTCTTATGACAGACTATTTTTCATAATTTTTTGAACTGAAGAAAGTGAATTCACTAAAAACAGAAGGCTTGATACAGTTAGTTTTGTAAAGAACAGTTTGGTAGTTACGGAATACCAGGCGTTGTTGTTTCTGACAGTGGTACCAAAATTAAGTTTACTGTTGTAGTTGGCTTGTTTAGACTGTGGATACATTTTGATTAAAGGATTCACAGATCATCATACTCGGTAACATCTACTTGCATATTATTCCACATTATCAGATTCTAAATAATGTACAAGTCAAGCATAGTGTTATCCAGCCTTAAGTTACTTGCAATCGCCTAAGATAGGCTAATAAAATTTCAGTTGGGAGACAAGAGGGATCCAAACCAGAAATTTTTATTTATTTTTATTTTTTATATATTTATTTTAGCCTATTTTTATTTTCAATTGACCCTCAAGATCCTCTTTCTAAAAAATATATTTTTGAATTAGATCACAAACAAGAGTATGATTGTTTAACTGTACCTAAGTTTAGTAATCAAGCTCCTTGATTATCGGCTACAATAGTTTGTTAAAACTTATCATTTGATTGTCTTAGCTGCTTTACAAGACATCTTGGACACGTTAGATGAACAAGAGAATGCTCAAAAACTTTCAGAAGCCAAAACCAATGCTGGTAATGATATGTTGAAAATGATGCAGTACGTGTTTCCTATGGTTGTGCAAATTGAAATGGAAGTGATAAAGAAGTATGGATTTCCGGATAACAGAGATGGTGAGTTAATTTTTAAAAAGCTTTTTCCATAGTGTTTTGTAACATTTCTAGTATGCTGTTTAAATTTTATGTTTTGATTAAGGAGCAGGTTTTAACCTCTAGTTGCGTTTTTTGTAGTTACCCTGCTCAATAAATGTCCTGTGAAAATGTTAAGAAGTTGTGGCTAAAGCTTGAAGCAGGTTGAGATTTAAACATTTCAATGCATCAATATTCACTATGAATAATTGCTCCACTGACCAAAAGACCACTACATTGGAATGCTATATTTGGCATAACGATTTGAGTACCTAACATACTAAGGCTGTAACAGTCTTTCACAATTTTTCTTCAAACATAACATTAAAAATCCACCTCCAAGAGTTATAACAAATCGCAATTACTACATTTAAAATTCCAACTTCCAAGCTAGTAAACTGTTGACATTTTGGATAGTAATTCAATAATTTGTTCCCTAGGCATTATCCAGTTCACCCAACACATTGTGACCATGGAGCGAGAGGATGGGGAAATAGCAGAGCTTCATAAGAAAGTCCGAGCTCACTTTCTTCCTCCTGTCACGATAGCGTCTGATGCGACTCCATGATTTCATTATATTATTTAACATATTATCCTGGTAATCTTAAAGCTTTATATAATTTTTCAATTTACTGCCACTAGATGTAGATTTTTTATTTTATAAATATAATATTCATATACTTGTTTGGTAGTGTTCATTTAAAAACTTCAAATATTTGAAACATGAAAAAGTCTTAGTGATATCCAAAATCACATAATAGACGTTAAGTCTTATAGTCCATAGTGATGTAGTAGAGCAGGAACACGTGGGAACGGCGTTCCCACCCAGCTTTTTCCAACAGTTCTTTATGTTAGTCAGTTCGTAGACGGTGAGCGTTCCCACACTCGACTACACCACTGGTCACTCTGCTAATCAAATCACATCTAATCTCTGAAGCTGGTCAACACAAATACAATACCCAGTTTAAAATACCAACTCATCAAAGAGCCTCGGAACTGTTTTAATTAAAGTTTCAATCATACAACAAAAATTAATCTGTACAGTACAACTAATACTCCATTATGAATCTGTTGGTTGATGAATTTGTGTGTTTGTTGTTATGTTTCCTCCACGATCACAATCTAACCAATTGACCTACAGTAATGGACTGAACTTTGACGAGTACGTTTTCCTATTCATCATATTCACGTTATAATCTTAGTATGCCCCCCATTGTTTTCTCAGTTAAAATATTTTTGATGGCCTATAACGTAATGTTACAAGAATTCCATGTTGAATTGTTTTTATTTGAAACCTGGACAAATAAAATGGTATAATATTGTAGGATAAAGAGTTTGCATTTTTAGAACAGTACAGCTGTAATGAATGACCTTTTTAGCCTGATGGAATTGACGGTTTGTTACAATTAATTTGTCTCTCCGCTAGGTCATAAGCATTAAAGTGACATCTCAATTGTAAAACTCGATTAAGTAGAACAGCTGGAAAAGGGATGTAACCCAGAAAATCCGTACTGTATTAAGTATACAGAAAGATAAATTTGTAAACAGCTGATTGTTCAGTTCAATGTTTAGAGAATCTATATATAAAATCCAATGTAAGTTTGTATGTTTGTATATTTGTATGTTTGTCCTTTATGGACTCCAAAACCGCTTGACAGATTGTAATGAAACTTTCAGGCATTATTAAGCATTATTCAAGGATGGTTTGTGTGAAGTTTGGTGCAGATCCGTCAATAGGGCTCCGCCCCAGTGGCTCTGGAGTTTCCCATGTTAACCTTATGAGTACTCATATTTAAATGGAATTAAAGAATCTTAACAGCTGGTACAACTAAACAATTTGATTCTGTGATGTTCAATAGCATTAAAAAGTTAATAGGTTTAGCAACAGGGTGCAGCACTATATTTATTTTTAATTTATGAGAACAGCTAATTTGCAACCAAAAGGTGAGTGAGCGTAGCGAACGAACTTCAACCAGGATGTGATTGAGCCATGCGAACGAGCTCATCTTGAAAATGAACGAGCATGTGACATAAAACCACAATAGGACAGGACGACGTCTGTCGGGCCAGCTAGTCTATCTTTAAATATAAAATCCAATGTATGTTTGTATGTTTGTATATTTGTATGTTTGTATATTTGTATGTTTGTATATTTGTCCTTTATGGACTCGAAAACCGCTCGACAGATTGTAATGAAACTTTCAGGCATTATTAAGCATTATTCAAGGATGGTTTGTGTGAAGTTTGGTGCAGACCCGTCAATAGGGCTCCGCCCCAGTGGCTCTGGAGTTTCCCATGTTAACCTTATGAGTACTCATATTTAAATGGAATTAACGAATCTTAACAGCTGGTGCAACTAAACAATTTTGATTCTGTGATGTTCAATAGCATTAAAAAGTTAATAGGTTTACCAACAGGGTGCAGCACTATTATTTTTTTAAATTTATGACAACAGGAACTTCAACCTCGAGGCGAGTTAGCGTAGCGAACGAGCTAACCTGAAGGCAAGTGAGCGCAGCGAACGAGCTCAAACCTAAAGGTGAGTGAGCGTAGCGAACGAACTTCAACCAGGACGTGATTGAACCATGCGAACGAGCTCATCTTGAATATGAAAATGAACGAGCATGTGACATAAAACCACAATAGGACAGGACGACGTCTGTCGGGCCAGCTAGTATTTTTATAAAATCCAATGTATGTTTGTTTGTTTGTCCTTTATGGACTCCGAAACCGCTCGACAGATTGTAATGAAACTTTCAGGCATTATTAAGAATTATTCAAGGATGGTTTGTGTGAAGTTTGGTGCAGATCCGTCAAAAGGGCTCCGCCCCAGTGGCTCTGGAGTTTCCCATCTTAACCTTATGAGTAATCATATTTAAATGGAATTAAAGAATCTTAACAGCTGGTTCAACTAAACCAGTACGTGATTGAGCCATGCGAACAAGCTCATCTTGAAAATGAACGAGCATTTGACATATAAAACCACATGAGGACAGGACGACGTCTGTCGGGCCAGCTAGTAGTTTATAAAAATAGATTTCAAATAAACTACTTTTTTGATGATTGTAACATGATTGACATAGCCAAGGTATTCTCTTTAAAGGGTGTACATATAAAATCAACAAATTTAATTTATCGTAAATTAGTACCTAGTTTTATTCACCTAACGACTGTCTCACAGTAAACCACATAATATTTGAAAATTAAAAGTGGTATTGCATAATTTCTTCAGTTACCAGTTTTGAAAACACAATTAAAATGCACAATTTGCCCACGGGTCTCCCTCGTATAGTTTGATTTAATTTTATTGACACTTTCTATTGTTAATTTTTACAAGAAAGCCCCCAGTAACATTTTTTGCTTGATCATCAACTTGATATTCATTATTGCACAAATCCTCCCAAAACAACCAACTAATAATTTAACTCCTAAAACAACAGGGATTGACACAAACAACATAATGAATTATTACATTTATTAAAATTATAGAAACATCATAATAATTAATTAGAAACCGTATAAATTAAATGTGTTGCATATGTAATGTCAGACAACAACGAGAGGTAAGCGGATCACAGAGAGCCTCCACGCAGCGCCAGCACCAGATGCAGCACCGAGCCTCCTTGTACCTTGTAGTCGTGCGCCGTCTTCTCATCATTCCTGCGACAAACAAAGCCCAACATTACTTTGTACACTGATTACTTAAAATATAGTATTCCCATCTTATGTAACTTTACACGTCCCGACCACCAAATCCATGGTCCAGAAAAAAATCAATCCTCACTCAAGACTGATCCAAAAGTTGAGATTTAACCAGATACCGAACTTTGTGCGTTTGAAATCCAAATTACAATTAGTATAATTTCATAACACATCAAATGTATTCAAGACCATTATTACTCTTTTCAATCCTATTTTTTTAAGGTATGTGTGTGATGGTGATATTAACAGTCTGTAAGTAGTATGATGATGTTAATTTATAATGTGATAAATAATGCTATGGATAAAAGTATCACACTTATTGAAGATAAAAGTGTTAACTATTCATCAAACATGGTCGGCAGGAAACATCTTAGAAAAACTATACACAATCAGTGACTAAAACCAATAATTTACAAACTTAGTATTCCGAAAAATTCTAGACAAATATCACGTAAAACTGCAACAGGTTGTGTTTTGGATGTAATTTAAAATATCGACTTCCTCACAACTATATTGTCTACACCAACTTTCTAAATAGGTAGCTACCAACTCACATTTGTTTGCCGGAGAAGATAAGTCTCTGCTGTTGAGGAGGAATTCCTTCCTTCTCCTCTACTCGCTCCTTTATCCTTTCGACCTTGTCTGTTGGCTCGATGTCGATCTCAATCTGAACAAAATAAACACAATACAAATTGAACATTTTATTTTAACACTCGGTATTTAGTATTTTTATGGCATTTTGAAATGCATTGTTTTATGAACTTTTCAAATACCGTACTTATAAGTGTGTATCCAAGTCGTTGTAGTTACACTACCTATTACTATTAGCGAATTTCCCATAGGGAATAAGCTATTAACGCAGGTCTCATGGGAAGACCTGGACCCGGGGCAAATTTGTTTTGAAAACACCATCTATTCAAATTCATATATTTTTGTGTCCGCCAAATTATCTGATTTTGATTAAATTTGGTACTGAAATGTGTAAACCTATGTTAATTATTCCAACAAAAATGATCATATTGTTTATTTATTGTTAGCGAACATCCATGATCAGACTATGGGAACGACGCTTTATGGGGTAAATATTGGTACTGGCCAGCCAGTACAGTTTAAACCAGTTTTCTCAATTTTTATTCCATTTAAATTATTTTATCATCATGAAATGTTTTAATTATTGTGATTGTGACAGTCTTTTAATGAATCTATTGACATACCATAGTATATAATATTAAAACGTGACAGGGTTTTTTTTATTATTTATTTTTTTTTTTTAAGAGGTTGGCTGCTTCTTTTAACCTTGCATTTGCCCGTCCACATAGACTAAGCGCCCGTGCGTGGATCGTTTACAGCAAAGCAAGGACTGAGCCGGTACAGTACAAAGGTGAACTGTACTGATAAAATGTTATTGGCAGTGACCAGGATCCGAACCCACGACATCGCTGTCTTGGGCCCGAAGTCCGCGATGCTACCGACTGAGCCACCGACTCACTCACGATTCTGAATCAACCACTTGACGGATTTTCATGATTTTTGTGTTGAAAGAAAAATAATTTTGAGAACTAGGGAATATCAAAGCCATAATTTTAGTTTAGGGTTTCAGTTTTTTTAGAAAATAAGTTTAAAATTTTTAAGTCTAGCATCCGACGCTAACATTTTACACTAGCTTTTGGTATAATACCATTTGCCGTAACAGCTGTAAACATTAAGCGTGTGTGACACAAATTCAGCATTTGGATAATAATGACATGCATAGGGTTGACTTATTTAGTAATGCTACAGTCATTGATACGTTCATTTAATTGGTAAGAGGATGACAAGACTATTTAAATATACATGGTAAAATGGTAGATGTTCTAATTTATTTTTTAGATCCAGTCTTTGAAATTGTTAGTATGTTTTAGTGCAATATAATTTGTTTTAACAAACAGCTGGTTGAATATAAAAATATTCTATTGAACTATCAGGTTAGTTTTATTATTCTGTGATTTTGCCATTGATTATAGGAAATGAGAAAGATTCTATAACCACTGATGTATACAAATTGAGGCTCTGCCTCCGAGTCTTCAAAGGAAAGGTTATGCAAATTATTTTTCTGTTGGACTTTTTGTGGAAAGAATAGGAAAATAACAATGTTTATATGTTTTAATTCACCTTGCCAGCTTTTTGTTTACAATAAATGTTTAACCGCTTAATCTTCGCTTGTATTAGAAATGGAAATATTGACATGACTACAGTTTTAGTTGACTACTTAATTCCCGTACGTAGGGCGGGCCAACAGCTCGTAGTGTATTAAATTAAAACATTGATGATGCGATGCATACAAAATGACCTGACAAAGTTCTAAGGGAAGAAACTAGTCATCATACCAACAACTGTAGATTGGAAAAGATACCGGTATAATCGTTTTATTTTATCAATTGGTTTCTCATTTTTTACTGTAAAGACATGAATTCTGAAATTTATTCCTAGACCATTTAGAAGCGCTTAAAAAACAAATTATTTATTATCAAGCATCGTTATGCACTTTTCCCCAGGTACTGAAAAGTATGAAAGCCACTGTGCTAGATTTTATCTGGAAGTAACTTATCTTATTAACAGGGGCAGGCCAAAACCATGAAAGCACTTCATCCGAAAAGTCGAATTATTGCGCACAATCTGGAGGTAAACTTAGCACTATTTTACTTCAAATGACGTTGGTTGGGGTAAGGAGGTGTAGAATCCCCGAGTCCGGAGAGTGTTAAACCTCAATCATGTCAACAGCTCTATAACTTACTAATTAATTATATTGAATTCCTTTTTTGTTTAACTTTAAGTCAAATAAACTGTTTTTGTTTTCGAAGAGTTAATACGAGTAAGTTAATAATAATAAGAGTAAATATGAGTACACATATAAATCAATATGGTTTAACAAATGATTAACTTATAAAATAATCGGGTTTAACTTTTTTCCACATCGCAAATGTATACCCTTCGAAACAAACCATGGGACTAGTAAACTATAAAATAGCCTCTAGCAGCACAAAATACCCCCAAAAAGTTCTACCTCCAGATATTTATTTTAACTCAGCAAAAAGAAAACTGATACCATATTTTAACCTAATCAACCCAACTTTTTTTTATTCAGAATCTCAGTGGGTTCAAAATAATTCAAACCTACCAAAAAAATCACCAAGTTAAAGTTATAATGGGCTGTTATTACCATACTTTTCAGATATGGAGAGCATTAAATACAAAAAACTTAGGCTTCTTCTACAATAAACCTCAAAGCTTATTATAAGCCCTATCCGTACTTCAAGAATAAACACTAATCAACACATCAATTACCTCTTTTCCTGTTAATGTCTGAAGAAGTAAGCAGGACATGAAACAAAACAAAGTGTTAAGAATACATTGAAACTGAATAACGGACATACAATACTCAAATTAAATCACAAAAAGAGACAAATCTGAAAAAAATCAATAAGCAAATTAAGTTAGGCCTATACTCACACAAACTGAGTTTCTAGCTTCCTGATCTGGCGAAACTTCGATATCCAACTCCATTGTATTACCGTATCAAACATTAGAGTCTATCGAGAACCAAGATTATCCTAACCATAAACCAAACTTCTATAAATTTGTAACAATAGATAATAACAATGGAGATGGATAAACTTATAAAATTTCTGCCGAATCAGTTCTAGTATTTTAAATTATAACCAGTCTATGTCATATGTAAGGCTTAGTATACTTTTATATAAAACCACGGAATAAAGATTGAAACTTGAAACACTATTAAAGATATACTTTTTAGGCCTACAAATGGTAAAAACTTACAACAGATGAAATAAAATGCTTTATTTCCGTAAACATAACACATGTATGGAAATTTAAGTCAAACTAATACTAAGAGTAAAATTGCAACAGTTAAAAATTTGTTTGATCCTGCAACACTCCACGGTTGCAGAACTTATACATTCAGACACAGACCCTAGCCTAGACGCACTGTAGTGTAAAACTGTGTAAAAACTGCATAAAATGAAGTTTGTGAGGATAATAACTTAAGTGGAGGGAAAGCGATATCGGCAACAAAAATTCACCGGAATATAATGAAACCGAGCTTAAGCACAGTTCCTCCAAAATCTCGTACACATACACCATACTTACTCAATACCACACCCCAGGAATATTTAGGCCTAATTCATCAATAACATTCTTAAACAACAATAACTTAACAGTAATTTTCTAACAACAAGAAATTATGCTCGACATTAATTTACTTCTGTCTAAAAAAGCACAGAAATTAAACTTATGAGCACCGTGTCTTCTTTGGTTTTCCGAATGAAACAAAGGATTCCCTTCCTCCAACGAACATATTAAGTACCCACATCTTTCTTTCACCATATGAAGCAGCCCATTTGCTAAAAATAATGATTAATGCCCAAACGCAACTCCCGAACACAATCAGTAAAACCATTGACTATACCTAAACGCAGCTATCGACTTGAGCTACACCTGCCATTGTCACTAGGCTACACTCCATTCTGAACTAACAAATAGCCCACACGTGCAGTGTTAGTCAAAGAAACCAACCACAACCAATAGCAATGCAGCAACAGGTCACTACGATAAATTACCCCTAGATTCCCCCTCATTCCCCCTGAAATCTCACTGTTTCCACCAAATTCCCAGTTTAAGTAACAAAATAACTTATTGCGCTTTAGATTTTGCCAAGTAGGTCTAGCTCTTAGAAACTCTTTAACCTCTAACGGAAAACAGGTGTTCGTTAGGCCTATAATAAAATTAACTTTTAAGCCTAAAGCTAACCAAACTAGCAGTATGATTTCATAAATTGGTTTTAAAAGAGAAAAGGCATTGGGGAATGCAGGCCTGGCTTTAAGAGGATTCGTGCGTGACTGCATTAAGTCCTTTCAAGGTAGGTTAGGCCTACATTCTAGGTAAATTAAAGTATAGGTTATAATTTACCAAGGTGGTTAAGTTAATGCATTATAGGGTCGGCACCTGATTTTTTTTTATTAGGCTACATTTTTGCATTCTCCCTAACATTTACTCAAAATAAGTTACAACGCTGATTCCAAAAGTGGCATTCTTTGGGTACAGTTCCGCAGAGAACCTGCGATAGGTATAACTTATTGTCGAATTAAACATCAATAACTTATATCAATTTTGATTCGGTTTGATATATCGTTTCCACAGTTTTAGCCTATATTTGGGTAGACTTCCGTATCTGTTGGCACAAACAACCGAATTAAAATAATGATTAGGGTGTTCGATTGTTCCATTCGATATATCGTTTGGTTAGTTAAGTTAGGTTAACCTCACCTAACTAACCAAACGATGTATCGAATAATCAATATTTTTATTCGGTTGTTTGTACCACCAGATAGCCTACGGAAGTCTACCCAAATATAGGCCTAACTTATTGTGGAAAAGAAGTAACTTATAGGCCTATCAAACCGAATCAAAATTATATAAGTACTTAATTGTTATTTAATTTGATAATATATATCGGAGGTTCTCTGCGGAACTATATTTGTTCAATGTAAACATCGAATTGAGCTATGTTTGTTTACATTTTTATTTATGTACCGTATAGTTTAGGTATCCGAGGTTTATACTTAATTAAAACAATCAATAAAAACAAAAAGTACAGTTGGTTCTACCATTTGTAGTGGCACAGATTTAAAATAGCCTATAGAACCAATAACTTTATTATGGTTCAATACCTCGTCAAGTAAGTCAAAATTTGTGGTGACAGGTACAACAACCTACATGTTTTTCCGTAAAATGAGGTATCTTTGGGGTTACAAACCATATAACTCAAAACATAGGCTATTTTAAATATTTGGCTGCACTTTACTTGACGTCCTACACTCATTCGATTGTTTTTTCGATTCGATATTTTCATTCGATTGTTTCGTTTGGTTAGTTAGGTTAGGTTAACCTTACCTAACCAACCAAACGATATATCGAATGAAGCAATAGATTAATCGATATATCGATCGATATTTTCATTCGAATGAGTGTAGGACGTCAAGTAAAGTGCAGCCAAATATTTTAAAAACCTTTGACTAGCCTAGGTTCAATGGTCAATGGTATAGGATAGGCCTAGCCGATGTGAGGGTAATTTTAGGCTTACAGCAAACCAAGTTTAAGAAGTAGCCTAATGGGCAAAACCTTTAAAAGATTGAATGTTTTCTTAAACTGTTACTACAGTACAATTTTCAAATGTTAGTGTGTTTAGCTTACAGACTTAAAACAAGCAAACTTACCTTGACTTTGATCAACATGTTGAGTTAATCTAATTTATCTTGCCAAAGATATGAAATTGATGAACAAGTATCCTTTTAATTTGTTAAGAATGAATTATTAATGATACAGTTAAATTTTTACTTGCGAGAATATTTGATGGAATTGTTAATATTCGAAAAAATACATGAGAATGGCTTTGCAGTTTGCAGTTGCAGAACAAGACGCTCGTTTCGATTTCAACTTGCTTCTTGCTTCAACCAATCAAATCTCAACCAGCAGCGGCTGAAGTGAAGTCTGCACTCGACAGCTGGAGCTGGAGGGAGACCAGACTAGAATATTTTTTTTTATTTTACCATTATTTTTCTTTCTAAAAGCAGACTATTGATCATACAATGGAGCTTCAAAGTCTTCTGTGTTCTCGTTACTATTTTAGCCATTTCGCTGTGCAATTTAATTTATATATAACATTATATAAAGAGAATCCAAAGTAAAGTTATAATTAAAGTACTTTTAAAACTAACTAAATGTAGGTACATATTTTTTTCTTCTTCTGGTATTACAGAATTCAACTTTGAGTCATGGATGTCACTCCTAAGCTTGAGAGTGACTTTGATTATAACTTGACTTTGAGTGTCTTCTTGGAATAAGAAGGGATACGAATGATTGGGATAATAATGATCGTGGGAATAATTGATAGTATTCCATTTTTAGGTGGTGAAGTATTTAGATCTGGCAGGATGGTCAAACTGGTTTGACACTTCTTCTTTCTCTTTTATCTGTCTCGTCTCGTCTGCCTGTCTGTCTATAGCCAGACCGGGTGATATAGCGAGTTGTTTATATCTAAATTGTAAACGTAACCATAGTTTTCATTAACCTAAAAGTGGGTTATTGGCATTATTAGGGAGCGAATTCTAATGTTTGTCAAGTGTATAGTGAAATCACAACTTTATAATATCATAGACGAGTGCGTAATTCAATTCAATTAGGCTACTACAACTTTATCGGTATTTTAAAACCTTAGTTTTGTGAAATCAGCCAAACTTAGTTTATTTTCAGCATGAATAGGCCAAATTTAAGGAGAGATCTCGGAGGTGAGCATGGGTACAATCGGTTGGTTTTTAAAATAGTTTTGGGACTCTTTATATTCTTGGTGCTGTTCAGTTTTCCTCCCTTATGTGGAGGACATTCTCACGGCCATGGCCACTCTCATGGCCATGGTCATTCCCATGATCATGAAATCGACGAACCACCTTCTTTCAAGTATTCTCAGACAGCAAATGTGAAAAAACCTGAAAGCCATTCAGACAAACCACCTAGCCCCAAAGTCTCAAGAGAGACGTTATGGATGGAAGCTCTTGGATCGACATTACTCATTAGTTGTGCTCCGTTTTTCATCTTATTCTTAGTTCCTCTGGATAACAGTAAAGAGAAGGAGCCACTTTTGAAATTGCTCCTAAGTTTTGCTTCTGGAGGATTGCTAGGTGATGCATTTCTGCATCTAATTCCTCATGCGCTTGCCCCACATACCCATGGAGGAGATCATTCTCATGAGCCTCATAGTCATTCTCATTCTCACGAGCCAGTCCACAGCCATTCGCACACCCATGATCACGGAGGTCATGGTCATGATATGAGTGTAGGTCTTTGGGTGCTTTGTGGAATCCTTACATTCTTGGTAGTGGAAAAGTTTGTTAGGCTTGTGAAAGGAGGGCACGGTCATTCTCATGGTGCTCCACAAGAAAAACACCAAAAAAAGGAAAAACAAAGCGATGAAGAGGTAACTGAAGATGAAGGTAAAAAATCGTCTAAAAAGAAGCAAAAGGATAATAAAAGTGTAGAAGACAAGAAAAAAGAAGAAGAAGCAGGTAAGTTATCCTATGTAAGTCCTTTTTTTAACATATAAAAATCCCTTTATAAAATAGATTCATCACGTAGGCCTAGGCTACCTTACTTACTACTATTTTAAACTAGAGTAAGCCTATAAAGATATCTTCAAGGGTATTCCTCTAGGTTCTATACTGTATGGTGTACCAGCTATCTCATTAATTATCACCCCACTCTAATCCAAACGTCCGGTTTGGATTCACTTTTTGAGGGAAAAACATTACCTTCGCATTTAGTAGGCTTATTTAAATCAAAAACAAAGTTACCGGTATTTGTCCTAACAGTGTGTCCACCTTCCCAGCCAACTTGTAAACCGGGAGAACCGGGAATCGTAACATGAATTTTGGTGGTTTGATTGTAGCCTATGTTTGGTGATTAAAACAACAGCAAAAAAAAACATAGCCCCTCCATATATAAGTTTTAACTTTATGATTTCAGCATATTTTATTAAACATTTTAATAAATATCTTTCCTTCCAGATGATATAAAAGTTGCTGGTTACTTGAACTTAGCAGCTGATTTCACCCACAATTTCACTGATGGTCTCGCTATTGGAGCGTCTTTTCTTGCTGGACGCAGTATTGGTCTTGTAACAACAGTTACGATTTTGCTTCACGAAGTTCCTCATGAGATCGGTGATTTTGCCATTCTCATTCAGTCTGGCTGCAGTCGGAAAAAGGTGTGTATTCAATTTGGTTATTTCTTGCTTGATTTTTTTAAAACAAATAAATTAGTATTCAGGCTATAGGCCTACTTGTTACCAAAGTAAAGTCAGGAATGTAAGCCTTAGGTTGGGGCTAGCAACAATTTAATTTACCGGTAAGTTAGGCTAAAAAACTAATTTTTGGAAGTCCTTAGCTGATCTCTTACAGTTTCTGCCAGTAGGACTAATAGTCTACAGTAGAGGGTTCAAAACAGTTAGGGATTGGGGTGTTCAGATTAACTGATTTTTTTGGATAATCGGTCATTAGGCTACAGATACACTGAGATACAATACCTATTTTAAATTTGATTGATAATTGTAAAATTTATTTTTAAATGTTTGGATGTAGGTGTCGTACCTATTTTTTACTGGTTTTACTATTTCCTGCTATTATAGCAACTCCATAAGCATATCTAGTAATCTCTGTGACATCGGTAATTGTCTCCCATGATCGTGGTGATACCCGGGAGTGATACCCGTAAGCAGGTTACTATATAAGGTAATAAGGCTACTTGTTGGGGGTTTTGTCTCTTCCTTAATTTTGGTTAGCAAAAATTTTGGTTTTGGATAACCAGGTTTAGATAATTGTTGCTCTTCTATAAGTTATTTAAAAAATGTAATGAAGTTGCAATACAGGTAGTGATAGAGCAACTTCGTATTAAAAGAAAAACACTATTATGGGGCTGCTTATACTGCCCAGACTAAAATTAGTTTTTTTGTGTTGTTTAGGCCTACCATTTGAGCCCCAGGAATAATTTATTTTTTATTTAATTATGCCGTCTATGGTACTTTTGTATTATACGGTGGCCACTTATTTTAGGGGGATTTTTTTACCGAAGACCAAAATAACTACAAAATTGGAAAGAACATACTGTACCTACTTTAATTGACTTACTGTCCAAATTTGACATGATTACGATTAGCGGCCTTCAGGTTCGGCCTCCCAAAAGGCAGCGATGTCGGCGAGGATTGAGTTAAATGCGTCGCCGCTGCTAGCTGCCACATGAACTCTGCCAAGTACAGCGCGCTGCAGTGGTTATTTTAGGTTGGGTTATCATAAATATGTATGTAGGACTTTCCTCGTTTCGTTATGAATCGAACGATTCCAGATGAGTCATCACTCAGCACCAGTGTTGGGAAGTAGCGCGCTACAAGTAGCGACGCTACAGTAGCGCGCTACTTTTTTTGTAGCGTTAGCTGTAGCTACGCTACTTTTAAGATTTTGTAGCTTTAGCTGTAGCTAGCTACATTTTTAAACTAGTTGTAGCGGAATTTTAGCTACTTTTCTCGCTACATTAACATTGTTTGAAATAGTGATTTTTATCATAACCTCAACCTTACGTGAAATAACCTCTTTCAAACTGGGGTTTTCAAAAACATTTGGCCTACTTTCTTGGCTTCGTACAGCTGGTTGCAGCCGTTTCATTCCCTATTACAACGTTCTGTGGACATGGAGGCCATTAAATGAGTGTTATCCACATTTTTGGCTCTCATTTCCTTAATTTACTACTCTATGATTACTGTCAGATAAAATAAAATCGCTAGATGCAGACGACGTTTAAACGTTACCGGTGACAAGAGAAGCTATTGAATGCTTGCAAATGATTGACAGGGAAATTAGTAATCAATTTAGTTTCTTTATTATATCGATAGTTTTTCAACTTGGGTTTCAATTGAAACCAACACTCCTTAAAATAATGAGAAAGCTGGTCTATCGACCTTTGCTTCAGCTGTTGATTGTGGTTTATCATCACAAGTCCTTCCTTGGTTAGATTACGAAGATTTTTCAAAGGTTTACTAAATTAACAAAGAGGAAATTACCTGATGAGATTTAAGATATGCCTAGACTACATGATAATTGTAACGATAAAATCTCCATATAACATGAAACTTACATTGAAAAAATAGCATAGTTTGCTCCTGCTAACAGCTCTTGTATAGGACTGTTCCTAGGCTATGCTATGGTTTAAGACGAATACCAAGTTCCAAGTCCATTTATTAGGAATATATCTGTTTAGTCCTTGCAAGAACAAGCCTACTATAGCCAAATTGTTACATAGCCAAGTAGGCCTACATGTTATTTTTACTTTACAAATTTCAACATGTTTAAATTAAAAGCCGATTTCAGGATAAGTTGCTGAATACTGTTTTCTGTACCAACTAGGTTGAAGCACAATTTGTCCTTTGCATAATGACAATAAAGGACGATTTCTTGACATTGAAAAGTGTTATTCATAGAACAAGTGTAACTTATCACTATGGTTAAAAGTTATATCAATGTCGTTTTTAACATTAAAAGTAAAGAAAGGCAATAAACTCCCATTTCAGTAGGCTAGGCTCTGTAACACAAAAATGTATTTTTAAATAATCGTTTTACAGTTTTATTGGCCTTAATATTGTTGATATAAGACATCTATAAATAAATCTTTGAAGAAATAAAATGAGCTTTTAAAATATAGTTTGGTTGTATGTCCTTTGAACTTAATGAAATTTACATTTAAGATGCTTAAAAATAATGCAATATCTAAAAATAAGTACTAAATATGATGGGACACCCAACTGTTAGGTTCTGTTGTTATAATGTTAGGTTTCTAATGCCAAAAAATTAAATACTATCTAGGAATAATTTGTTTTCCAAGTAACGTAGATACAATACTGCCTTTTTTATGTTTGTTCAATAAAAATGTAGTTGCAATTAATTTTACATTTACCTAATGTGCGTGGGATAAAAAGTAACGTCTTTGGAAAAGTAGTTAAAATTGTAGCTGTAGCTACATTTCATTGTAGCTGTAGTTGTAGCTAGCTACTTTTTCGGAACTGTAGCTGTAGCTGTAGCTAAGCTACTTTTTTTGAAATGTAGCAGTAGTTGTAGCTAGCTACATTTTAAAAGTAGCTTCCCCAACACTGCTCAGCACACTGACCCAGATACAGGCGGTGATACAAGTGAGCCGCACACTCCGGTCAACAACCTAACCTTCGCCTACTTGGAGGGGATTTGGCGGGTGAAAGTATGACTCATCTGGTATCGGTCGAACGAGGAAAGTACTAGAAACATATTTATGATAACCCAACCTAACATAGCCGCTGCAGCGCGCTGTATAAGGCCTCTGTATAATAAGAAAGTACTCTGTCTACATTTATCAATTTTTTCCCCTTATCGTACACAAATCATATCCTCCACAAGGCCAAGGCATTGGTGTGTGGCAACATGGCACCGACATGCAGAAATAACAAACGTGTAAGCAAAAACATTGCATATAGCTCCAATGTAAATTAGAGCAACAGCTGTTTCGGTTCGCCAGGACAGCAGTGTTGCCACTTTTTGTCTCGCTGCGGCATTGTCAGAGAAGGCTATACAGTATATGAACCCAATCTATAAAATAGCCTATTCATATAAAAAATCAAGTTTTTGTTATAAACACATACAGTAAAGAAGGTTTGTTAAGTAGCGTAATGCCTCATCAAAGGTGACACACACCAAAGTTAATTCTTCTTTCCATCAACTTCATCCCTAGCCGTCATCAGTTTAATTATGCAACTCTTCCATCAAGGTCTGTCACAGACTGATGAGCTCCTCATGAGTTGGCTTGACGGATTTGAACCCTCGATAGAAAAGTTGCTGTCAGATAAGATCGGATAATTGAGACTCTACTCCTACTGTATGACTGGAGGATTTTTTGTAATTATTTTATGTTTAAGTGAAGCATTAATCTAATTTCATACAAATTTGATGGCAGGCAATGCTGCTTCAATTGACAACAGCCGTAGGAGCCCTCGCTGGAACTGTCGCTTCTCTCTGTGCGGAGGGTCTTGGTAAGTTTATATAAAATGTGTGCTTTTTATATTACACGTTTACATTTTAATACATAAAAGCTTTTACCCTTGAAAATTCAAAAAGATCGGCTCTAAAAGTAAACTATAGGCCTACAAATTTTATGAAATTTGGATGCACAACTAATATGTATTACTACCGGTACTTAATTATGTTTTTTTGATTGTATTATGAGTGAAATCCCTTGTTAGCTTTGTTGGCTGTTTATCAGCCAACAAAGCCAAAATCAGCTGTTTATTTGGTCCTAGGACCATTTATTAAAAACTCAAATGATCAAGGATAGTTGGGTCCGGTTTTTAACTAACATGTTAAGCTACTGACTTTTCTTAGGATAGATTTAGGGAACTTCTAATCGTAAGAGGAGCTCTACACACTTTAAAATTTACATTGTTTTGCTTAAAATAAATTAAAAATTGTGATACCGGTATTCATAGTAAAACCTCCAATAAGAATAAACTTGGTTTGTTAGTTTGGAAAAATGTATAGGCGGCTACAATATCTAAGAATTTAGCAATATAATATTTTAAACAAGATTTCTCAACTAGTGGTATCTTAATTAGCATAGAAATAGTTTGATTGAAACATGAACCAAGCGACATTTTTTAAATCAAATTACTTTGGAAACTAAAAGAAAATAATTAGTTCTGTAGATGCATTATCGAATCAGCTTTTTAAAACAGCATCTTATATATCTTAAACTCGTTGAAACATAGCATGCTTTTGCATTTGTGCATGTGAGTAGCCTGAAGTGTGTGACTTGGTGTGGGTTTGGTGATAACAGACAGACAATGCCTTGACACTGCAAATATTGATAAGAGGTCTTACAATACCTGTCTGATATCAGCTGAATAGTATTGTAAAATTGTTTGTTTGGTTTGTATAGTTTTCAAACTGAAATTAAACTACTAACTAGAAGACCCTGTACTGTTCCGCAGCATTGAAATATGTTTTTTGATTGAGTAATGCAGTATATTGAACTTATCTGATTCAAACAATCAATAGCTCAAATGCCTTAAAGAGCCTTTAAGAGTGTTGATTCGTGATTCAGCAGTGTGCTTTAGGTAGTCCGATCTTAATAATCAATAGCTGAAATGAAAGCTGGTATTTCACTGAAGGTTCTTAAGACCAAAACAAACAGGATGATGTAAATTGTAAATAGAACTGATGGAATACATCTTTAATTGAAGTGAATTAAAAATAAAGTCAATTTTTTGTTTTTTTTGGTCGAGCAATACAGTAGGTAAATTAATGATGGTGGTTGATTGTATATGTGGCAAATCTATGTGTGCATGCCTTTAATTTAAGACCAAAGTTATGAAAATCGGTCAGTTGAGCCAAAACTACGCGGAAAAAGAAAAACCAATATATTTACTACACAGATTAGGCCTACAGCTAGTGAATAAAACAAGGTTTTAACTAAACCAAGGGTTAAATTTTTATTAATAAAAAGTTTGTGTTCTAAAAGATGTTTGTTGGTTAAATGTGATTATTAATTTATTTGTTTAGTTTAAAAATGTTGCATTGTAAAGCCAGTTGCGTCTTTTTAACTGTATAAAATTGGAATATTTAGCCTACATTTTGTGTTTTACCTTTGACTATTAATACAACCAATCCATTAATATTAACTTCACTATCCAATAGTCAATGGTTTAAATTAAAAAGAAAGAAAATTATGTAGCATAGGTCAAAAGGGCAAAGGGTTCAAGCATTTTTGTTTGTAGACTCACCCGAATGGAAAAAGACCGCCCTCCTGAAGAAACACAAATCTTAAAATCCAACACAATAATTAGGATATTCTACTGTTGCTGACAGCATTGTTCTTGTTGTAGACTGTTCTGGTTGTTGAAGGAAGAAGAAGAGAAAATTCTATGTTTTGGGTCTATTTGTGTGTTTTTAACTTTTTTTCCCCTAAGCTAAGCCACCATAAAAATAGGTTTGTTCTACCATGTTCTACCTATCCATCACAAAATCCTTAAGATCTAGCCTAAAGCCATTGTTACCGAACAAAGTCATAACCCAACCAAACAAAAGTTTGGAAGCTAATAAATTATGTGCCCAGTCTCACGCAAGATGAACACAATCAACCTCTGAAAGCACAGTAGGTTTTTTGATATTTGTTATAAGCTTTTTGTTGAGGTTTTGTTACCTAGATTTGTTCGCTTCTTAACCAGAATATCGTTTCCAACAGATAGTGCCGCCACTGCGTGGATCCTCCCATTCACAGCTGGAGGTTTTATCTACATCGCCACCGTCTCCGTCATCCCCGAGCTTCTCGTTGACACCAAGTTCTGGCAGTCCGTCAAAGAGATTATTGCACTGCTGGTCGGCGTCTACATGATGGTTCTCATCGCTGAATACGAATAAATTCTGACACAGCGTTGCACAACATTGATCAAGTAATTCATATTTGAATTACAGAATTTATATAGTTTTAATGTGAAACTACTCTTCAAAGCAACTTAAGTGACTGAACTCAAAACTTAACAGTTTATATGTTGTTTACCTACTGCTAAAAAATGTAGGTAAAAGTAATTATGAGTCAGAAACTGATTTCAGTGTCTCAGCGTGAACTCAAAAGATAACAATGTAAAGTAAAATATTTATAGGGTTGGTAAGTATTTTTTTCTATAAAAGTAATGAAATTGCAAGTTCGAAGTATTTATCTATCTCCCTAATCGTTCTTGAAGACTTTATTTCAAGTTAATTACTTATTTTTAACAAACAAAATCACATTAATGTGGATCAACACAAATTTGATATGTACATTAATGCAGGATTAAATTAAAAGCAAGTATTTTTGATTAATTATCAGCAAAAACTGTTTAAATATTTGATAAATTTTCATTAGCTTAGTTTACAACATTCCATAACTAATTGTTTCATTTTTTGTAAGGAATTTTTTTTTCTGATGGTTATTTTTTAGGACGTCTCTTTATCTAGAAAAGTTATTGCTAATTTACAGCGCAAATTGTTCGAATTCAATGTCAATTTAGCTTAAAACAACTCTCTACTAAAATACTAAACTTCTGATGAAAATAACAGAATGATAACAGCTATTATGATTGGCCTACACTTGTGTGGAGCCACCTGTCAAAAATATCCATTAGCCTACTTACTAGTTTATGAACTAAGAGAATATTGAAGTTAAAATGTCTTAATTTCATTATCGTATATGTGTCCTAGAATTATATTTAGTACTGGATCGTATGTCTTGTGTATTTTTATGACCAAGCATAAATGAAAAAGTCTTGATATTTGTTGGGATTTATTTTATTTTGATTAACTCAGTTCTTATTATGTAACAGCACTGAGGGGGAATGATATATTTTGTTACCTTCCTAAGGAAAACCTAATCATTATTTAGCATACAGACCTTAATGACAATAATCATCTCCTGTTTATTGTAATAAGTAAATAACTTTCTTTACTTTTTGATCATAGCTTTAACAATTTGTTAAAACTTTTTTTCAATGAGATTAATATTTTTGTTTCAAATATATATTGTATAGGCCTAATTAATAATTATGACTTGTTTGAAATCAAAACAAAGATTTTATCGATTTTTTCATTTAATTTGTAATAATGTTTTCACTGTAATAGAAAGGTGTTGTTTAAACAAGTCAAATATTTTTTTGACAGCCAAATTATCGATATGCTTGAATTGAATGCCACCCAATAATTTGTTATACCACTTTAGTCTTACTTGATGTATTTGAGGGATACCTCAATTTAATTTATTGCAAGACGGTTCACCCTAAATCATTGTGAAAAATATAAATACAGAATACACATTTATTTGCATATTATATTTTAAAATGTATACTTACGATTGATTTATCTTCATTCTGAGCTGGTGATCGAAGGTAAGTGTTGAACAGTTATTGTTATGATTGTTTATTAAATTGTTATAAATATTATTATATTTTTACTATAATAGCTCAAACTTATTCAAACTATTATTTGTGTGTGTATTAATTTGACATTCAATTAATTGTTAAATTAAATGTTAAGAGCGATTGGTTGAGTGTTTTTTTTTTATCTTCGCTGGAAAAGAAATTGATTTTGTTTGTAAATATTTATAAGTAGTCTCTTTCTATTTATAAATAGAATATCACATTGTGTTATATTTAGTTATTGTGATTTATAAATAAAATGTATTTTTATTGTACTTTTGTTTTGATACAAATTCCCTTCAGCAATAGCAGTTTTACTGTGAAATTGATTGTGGTTAAAGAAAAACATAACATTTTAATTTTGTCCTGTTCTATCATTAAATATCAGTATAGTTTGTCCAAAAATAATGTAGCTATACCCAGAAATGTTATGTGTTCAATTCAATTCAAATTAAATTTAACATTAACCTACTACAGTAGACACTTGATAATTCGAAATTGGAAGATCAAGGAAAACATTTTATTTACCAAGATTTTTGAATTAACAAGAGGTTAAATTTATTGGGAGAAAAAGAAAACATTTGAATTACAAAGAGTTCATTCTTTTATTTGCTGGGTTCCTTTGTAATTTTGTATGATACCTTGGTCAAGCAGTTGAAACTTTGACGGTAAATTGAAGTTCTACGTTTGACAATTGAAGAGCGTTATTGTGGACCAAACAATTGTCAATCAGAATCAGAATCCATTTATTGTCATTTGTCAACATTACATTGCTTTAGACAACGTCGAAGAACATAAGGAATACAGTAATATGCAGTATAAAAAGAAATAGTACAATGTACCTACTTGTCAGACTAACAGATATAACAGAATAAAACATAACAAAGAAATAACATTCAGCAACAAATACTAATTAAATTAAAACTATGAAAATTAACAATAAATCAACTACAACTACTCACCATAGAATCACTACAGCTAATAACATAGATTAGTAGCACAAATATGGTCTATATATCTAGGAATGTCGTAGGTCTATTCACTGCCCTGAGTTCCACTCGGGCTACACCCCTTGGATGTCCAAAGTTTTCAGGGGAGGTTTTCAAAAGGTAAATATTAATTGGTCTCCATATTGGAAGCATGAGAAAATTTACAATGCTTACCTTTGCTTTGACATTTAAAAAGACAATCAGAACTGCCAAATGTTCATTTCACAATTTTAGACAGCTGATCCAAAGAAATTAAATATATTTTACTCAACTATGTGGTAGGATTATTTAATCTAAAACTTAATCATAGATTATTTTTACTAAATCTATTTCATTGATTAAGAAACTGATTTTTCTTCCTCTTGTGAAGCACGGGTACAACAGCTAGTACATTTCTAAAGCCAGCATAGAATGACTCCAACTGAGCAGAGGATTTATGGAACCTTAATAAACAACACAGGTTAATGTTTGTGACTAAAATAAAAATTATGGATAAAAATTAGCTGTAGACAATTTGTCATTGAAGTAGAACCATAGATAAAACAACCCCTTAGTAGATTTCTCATCCTTATGTAACAACTGAAGACAATTTTATTGTTAGTTCATGTACGGTTTATGTAGAGGTCGTGTTTTGTTTACAATTTGTTTCCCGTTATTACAGCCATTTAAAACCTCGTTTAACCAAATAATACGATCTAATCATAAACAATAACTTGTCCCCTAGTTATATAACCAAACAGTAAAGCACAAATCAAGAAATTAACCCTAAAATAATGGAAACAAAGTTTCATCGACACTAGCGCCTTTGTGTCACGTACATGAACTAGACACGAAAAACGTGCTTCAAAATTTACAATGGGATGAGAAGTCTACTTGTGTTGGTTAGTCTATGGTAGAACACACCCGAGTAAGTCTCCTAATAGAGAGTGCTGATGTAAAATTATATTCTCTCCCTTAGTATTTAATGCCATCAAGAGATGCTGTAGTGGTAGTTTCCAACAAGTTGCCATTTCGGTTTGGCTTTAAAAAGTTGGCGTATTCAGAATAAAAACTTATTAACTTCGGCTTTATTTTATGTCAGTGACTCAATTCTCCATTGTTTATTTCATTCCAAGATTGGTTACAAATTTAGCATGGGAATGTTATGTCCACTTAAAGCATTGACTTTTGGATACTGAAGTCGGGATCAGCTGTTACCAAATCTTTATTAACCCACGCACAAAAAGTCAAATTCACGCAGACGGGCGAACTAAAATCTGCTTCCCATGTTATCAAATGTGGAGGCTTGAGTTCACAGACCAATTTTTCGGAATCGCCTCACGGGCGATTTGAAATAATATCTGGGCGAGTGTGTGCTATATTGTCAAAATTGAAAATTCTATTTTTTCCTCATAGTTTTTGTATTATGATAGTTCATGGTACATCAAATTTGCTATAGTTCACAGTGAGATATTTTTTCAGTTTCAGTTTGGTTGACAAGTTTGTGTATTTCTCATAAAACGCCAACCAAAAAATAACATCAACGTATTTCCTGTCACTCCACTCATTAAACTGTGTTCATTTTTAGCGAATTTCCCATATAGGGAATAAGCTATTACCGTTGACTGTAAATCCTTATGGATTTAAAGTCAACACTATTACCATAGAATTGATTTCCATGTTAAAAACAACAACCGTTCAAATTCATATATTATATATGTGTCCATTGGCACGATAACTCCAAAAATGATCCGATATTGATGAAATTTGGTACAAACGTGTAAACATACGTTTATTCGAACGAGTTCGCAAACCAGCATGATCGGATCATGGGAACGGGGTTTTATGGGGTAAACATTGGGTTTTCTCGTTTTTGACCCTCAAAACGTAAAATTTCCCAAATTTTCTCTAGACCAATTTGAAGAGCTTAAAAAACAAATAATTGAGTATATTGAAGTGTTTCTGTATGATTGGTTACGGAGAAAATTGTAAGTTAAAAATTCCCATGTTATTCTCATGGAGAATAAGTAAACGGTTGTAGTTTGCTTATTTATGGATATATTTGGATCAAACCTGGAAATGTATTTATTTTGTACTAGCTAATAATATTTTACTAAACAACACACTTTATTACCCTCCCTTACTCGTTAAACCTAATGTTGTTTGATTGAATAGATTTAATTGAAAATCAAATCAGGCAAATGGAAATTCGCTTAGTCGGCAGGTTTGCTGCGGCGGGGGTGTTATTGTTTATATTTTGTATTGTACTTGGTGGGGGGGGGGGGGGTATTTATTCCATAAACCTGCAAAATATTTAACATGGGATTCCAATCAAAATTCCTGTCTTTTAGAAACAGACATTCTATACGTAAATTACTACATAGTGTTGTATTGAATCTTATATTTCCAAAACTTAAAAGTAAACATAAACAAATAACATGTGATTAAATAAAACATATTTTACTTGTCATCTTCCCCTTTCCTTTTTTTTAATGAATCTTATCATTTCTTCTTTTCAAACCCTTAACTTTAATAGAGATTAAGATCAGGACTGTTAAAGTTTCATCACTATTATTCCTTCATCCCATTTTGTATTCAATACGTCTTGCACCCATCACTAATGGACAGGTAGATATTGCACAGATAGTGTAGTATGAGTGATGAATTATTTTGGTGTATGGCGCCCCAGTTCACACACACAGTTTGAACCAGCAGATCCACATGTTGAGCTTGGGAAGATAAAAATACCTCAGTCTGTGCCGAGAACCCAAACTCCGCGCGACTCTGTGTTCTGTGACTTGTGTTGATCTTTTACTGACTAAAAATGCCGTACACGATGAAACGTGTCTCGGAAAACCAAGCCGGGTGAGTTCATAAGTATTTAACTTTACATAAAATTTATTACGTTTTGAAATTATAAAGTTACAAAAAATGTATAAGGTTGATAAATGCACAAAGTACCGTAACTAGTAAGGAAGATTTTTTTCATTTAAATATTTTTACTGATATTTGCAGCTAGATCTTGAAAGACATTTGGTTCATTGAAATATACAATTATAATAAAAAATGTTTGGTCCAAACCAACAGTGTTCTTTTGAATCATCGCAACTTTTTAATTAAAATTATATACCGCAACTGTAGGCTAATGTAAAATATCTCTGAAGGTATTTTCTGTAAAATTTGGTGTCATTATACCTATCTAAGCACTTCATTTTCTTTACACAATTTTATTTATTTCAGGTTCCCCGGCATTCCCAACTCTATCAGTGGACAGTTCGGTTCTTTCGTCCCGTCTCTAGGATCTCTCGGCGACACATTAGGCTCAAACTTCGGAAATGTTCTTAGTGGAGGTGGTGGAAATTTGGGCAACATTGGAAACTTGATCGGTGGTGGTGGCAACATCGGTAATTTAATCAGTGGGGGAAACATAGGAAATTTGATAAGTCAAGGGGGAAACATAAAAAATTTAATCAATCAAGGAGGGAATATTAAGGATTTGATCAACCAAGGTGCGAACATAAAAGATTTGATCAGTGGGGGAGCAAACATCGGAAATATTTTCGGTGGGGGTAAACCGCCTTTTGGCATTCCCAGTGATATAAAAGGCACTTATCACTACATCAACAGAATTCTGCGTTCTGGACAAGAAGGGACTTCGCCTTATCATCCTGCAACTACAGTTTTCAATGTGAGTATTGACTATGATTGTTTAACTTCCTCCAGTTTACTATAGAAATTGGATCGAAAAGATTCATTATTTTGTGCCCCTGCTGTTATGATTTTATTTACGATTAGTGTGTGCTTCTGTACTTGTTTCTGTTACCATTCTAAGGTTAACCCATTTTTAACCAGAGAATATAATTAATTGTAAAATAGTGTTTCCCCATAACAACCCAATAGATGAATATAGGTACCAAATTGCAATTCTCAATGTAAAATAATTTATTGTAGACGATTGGTGCCATACCTTTAAGGAAGTAATTAATTAGTGAGAATTTTTGGCAACATTAACTTATAGTGCCTATTATTGGCAACAATAATTAGTGATAATTGTTACTGTGTGTAGCAAAAATCTTTCTAAACTGATCAATTTGAAAAGTTTAACCATGCATGCCATGACTACATTGGATGCTAGAGCAGACATCCAATCTATATGCAACCAGCTGTAGCAAGTTTTTTTTTTTCTTAGAACATGTTTTAATGAACTTCTAGTTCATTTAAAACATTTAAATACATGGCTAAAAAACTAAAACATATTCATAGTTTACTACCAATACTAATGAATTTATAATTTCTCTTTTAGTTTTTCTCTAATACAGTTAATGATTGAGATATGAAACATACCCTGCCAGCAAGTTACTCTTTTAGTTTAGGATGGGAAAAACGTTGGTGTCTAAAAAATATAGTGCTATTTTATAGCACTACTAGCACATATGGGCCTAATCTATCAAAATCTCAATAAATAAACTATGCTCTTTTTCGTTATGAAACTGGCTGTAGTCAATGCTGTATAAATATATAACATTATAGAATAATATTTTTTATCTATCACAGTGTATACATGTTCAAAGCTAGTGACTGAATCTATACTAAATAGTTCGTTTAAAAAACCAATAGGTATTTTATTTAATTTTTGTATATTTAACACCAAAAGGAGATTTTGTGAGGGATCGGTCTAGCTCTGTTTTATTTATTAATTAACATTGACAAGTTAGAAATCATCATTAATTAATATCTTAACATACATGTGAACTGGAAGAAACCTCTGTCAATTGTATTATACCAGAGTACCCGTCTTTCGTACGGACTCTTTTATATAGGCTAAAGTCATCGGAAATTATGACTGCTGTTTGTTTTAAAATACTGCCTTTAATACTTCATAATTGCTCGAATTTGAGCAACAGGTTCACTAGTGCTATAGTATAGCACATCTACCATAGGTAGCCGTAATGTACCACTGCACCGAAACCATAGAAAAAAGTTAAGTTGTCATTGTGTACCACAGCTTTTTGTTGCTAGTTGGTTTAAATTAGATGTTATCATAAACGCAAAAAAAAAATAATAGTGCTGCACCCTGTTGGTAAACCTTATAACTTATAACTTTTTAATGCTATTTAATATCATAGAACCAACTTGTGCAGTTGAGTCAGAGCTGACTAAAGTCTTTAATTCCTTTTAAATATGAATACTCATAAGGTTAACATGAGAAACTCCAGAGCCACTGGGGCGGAGCCCCAAAGGATTTTTGAGACAAGAATATGTCTATATGGTGATCGAGAATTGTGAGCTATCATCACACAAAATTTCAGCCCAATCCGACCAGTATTTTTTGCGTTTACTTGTCACAAACCATCCATACATCCAAACTTTCTCACTCATAATATTAGTAGGATATTACAAACAGCATATAAGTAAGTAGAAATTGATTTTGTACAGTAAAAGTTACTTATAAGCGTTGTACCAGTTTTAAAATAAAAAAAAACACACACGTAGGTCTACTATTGGTGATACGTTTGTGTGTGTGTAACCTCTGGTAGAATGCCAGTGACTCAACATATTAAACAATGTTCTATTTCCTGTGTTCTGTCTAACATCATGTCTAATTCTGACCACCAATAAACCCTTTGTTTATGTTCGGTGGACAGATTAATTTCTCTCAAGAAACCCTCTGAGCATTCCACATAGTTAAGTACCATCAAAGTGATGTAATTTATACAATACTAGCTGTACCCGCGGGCTTTGCCCCGTTTAACTTCATATATGAGCTCGTTCGCATGGCTCAATCACGTCCTGGTTGAAGTTCGTTCGCTACGCTCACTCACCTTTAGGTTGGAGCTCGTTCGCTGCGCTCACACATCCTGGTTGAAGTTCGTTCGCTACGCTCACTCACCTTTACGGTTGGAGCTCGTTCGCTGCGCTCACTTGCCTTCAGGTAAGCTCGTTCGCTACGCTAACTCGCCTCCGGGTTGAAGTTCGTTAGCTACGCTCACTCACTCAACTTTGGTTTAAAATTAGCTGTTGTCAAATATTAAAAAAAAATAAACAGCTGTTAAGATTCATTAATTCCATTTATGAGTACTCATTAGGTTAACACGGGAAACTCCAGAGCCACTGGGGCGGAGCCCGAGAGTCCGATCAGAATAAAAACGACTTAGTTTTCCTATTTAATGCCTAAAGAATCAGTGTACCAAATTTCAGCCTCCTAGGTAAGTGGGAAGTGGGAGAATTAGTGATGAGTGAGTGAGTGAGTGAGTCAGTGAGGGCTTTGCCTTTTATATATAGATAGGGGTGATTGATTAAAGAACTCTTTCTTTAGAAATGTGATGTATTGTACTGATGTTAATTTAAATTTACCTTCAGTGACTGTGAAGACTTTTAGGTAAAAACCATCGGTGGAATAGTTTACTGAAACCTTTTTGGGAAATGTTTTTAGTGTTTGAAATTCTCCAATTGTAATACCAAAAAATTAATAACACCATTCTAGTTTTTGTAATAAATATTTCAATTGAAATTTATCTCTGAAAGTTGTTTAATACCCCCGCCACAGCAAACTTGCAGACTGAGCAAATTTCCATCCGGGTAACGACTGGATTTCTACTAAAATATTCCTGAAAATTGTCAGATTTATTTCCTATTTTAAATAACATTAATTTTAGTGAGTATACTTATGTTTGCTGCTACAGGGAAGATATTGAGGTGTGCTTTTTTATTGAAATGTTGATAGCTTAGTATGAAATAAACAAAATTGTCAAATTTGATTAAAATATATCAATAAACAAGCAAACTTCAAGAGTTTATTTATCCTCCATAAGAATAACATGGAAATTTTAAATTTACAACTTTTTTAACTATCTCCATAACCGTTGGGTATACAACAACGCTTCAATATACAAAATTATTTCTTTTTTTAAGCTCTACAAAATGGTTTGAAGAGAAATAATGAAATTTTGTGTTTTTAGGGTCAAAAATCGGAAAAATCAATTTTTACCCCCTATAAAACCCCCCATAGACCCCCATTTCCATACTCCGATTATGCTGGTTCGTGAATTTGTTCAAATACACGTAGGTTTACACGTTTGTACCAAATTTCATCAAAATCGGATCATTTTTGTTCGAGTTATCGCACTAAAGGACATAGCCTATATATGTATATATATGAATTTGAACGTATTGTGTTTTTGGCCTCTGGGGACCTCAAAACGAAAAAGTAAATCGGTCTGGGGTCTAGGTCTTACCATGAGACCTACGGTAATAGCTTAATAGCTTATTCCCTGTATGGGAAATTCACTAACAAGGGTTCATGTGTGAAAGGTCCTCTTAATAGAGTACTTCAGACTAAATTGAATGCATATTAAATCAGCTGATTCTTATATTACTACATTCACATTGTTATCATTCAACTATATGTTAAGCCCAGGTACAAGATTGCCTCTCAACATAAGATCTCTTCTGATATTGTATTTTATTGATGTAGGTGTTCTTATAAGTAAATACTAGCTTTTTACAGTTTATTGAATTCTAAATTAGAAAATATTATTTCATTTTTCAATATGCATGTTTGTTTGTTAAGATAAAATGTATCAAGACATTTTTGTGATAAAATAATACCAAGAAGAACACCTACTGGCAGATTTTATTAATGTCTCGTAATTATTGGTATGGATGCAGAATAGACTCTTTGTGGATCTGTTATATTATCAGTATTACTATTTATTACAAAATATACAGTTCTAATACTTTTTTCCAATTTTTAAAAGATTAATCATTGGATTAAAAAAATATCCAATTCATCTTATATACTGTACTTATAACTAGATTTCTCATCCTTATGGAACAGCTGAAGACAATTTTATTGTTAGTTCTGTACGGTTTTCTGCAGATGTCGTGTTTTGTTTACAATTTGTTTCCCCTTATTACAGCCATTTAAAACCTCGTTTAACCAAATAATACGATCTAATCATAAACAATAACTTGTCCCCTAGTTATATAACCAAACAGTAAAGCACAAATCAAGAAATTAACCCTAAAATAATAGAAAAAAAGTTTCGTCGGCACTAGCGCCCATGTGTCACGTACATGAACTAGACACGAAAAACGTGTTTCAAAATTTACAATGGGATGAGAAGTCTACTTGTGTTGGTTAGTCTATGTTATAACTTATATATATCTTATAACTTATAATTATAAGTTTGTATAATTAGCTATGAACATTGTGGATTTCCAATCGATTTTACAATACAATTTGCTATTTGTAACTTATACATCAGGTATAATAGTCCAAAAAAGGATATTTTATCATCTATTTATCATTTACTTTACACAATTTTTTCTTCGGAAATTAAATAGTTTTTCTAATAAATTTTTACTTCTAAACAGCCCTTAGATACTGTGCAACATTTTAACCTTTTTACTGACTAGCTAATCTAGTATATTATTTTTCAATTTAATCCCTCCAGAAAAAGTTCTCCAGGAATAATTATGCTGAAAGAAACTGCTTTCATCATTCTGGAGACCAAAAATAGCACCATCTGGTGACGAAGATGTGATTCAGTTGGCATTTGTTGGTTGTCTCTGTTTGAAATGCAGCTTTTCAAATGTTTGACAGATTCTGGTGAATGTTATGGCTGAATGTTGATAGAAATGTAATATAAATTTTGGCTCCATCTCTGGCTGAGTTTATGTAAATCT